TTCCAAATTCATTTAGGATTACGAGTTAATGGCTACTGATTACAATTGGAGTGAGGGAGACCGTTTGGCAAAATTACATCTTTACCTACAAGGAAACGCTCGTGATTGGCTTAAAATAAACATAAAGAAACTGGACACTTGGAAGAACGCAAAGGACCAGCTTGAAAAGTATTTTATGCCAACCGGTCACAAGGAACACCTGATGCAACTGTTGAAAAACCGTAAACAAAAGGTAGGTGAACCCGTGCTTACTTATATCCTTGAAAAGCAAATTTTGTGCCACAAATTGAATCAATGGAAGAAGATGAAATTTTCGATCATCTCTATTCTGGTATGGATGGCGAAATAAGTTCACGACTCTATCAATACAAACCAAAGGATTTGGAAGATTTCATCGAGCAAGCCAAGAGGATAGAACATGGGCTTTCCAAAACAGAAAAGAAAAGCGAAACCTTTCAATTAAGAGAAGAGATGAAGGAACTAATTTCAACGTTGGCTGATGCAATGAAGACCAATTGCCCAAATATATCGGGACAATATCGCCACCCTCAAAGAACAAGTCATCAGACTACTGATAATCGACCAATATGTTGAGAATTGCAACCAGTCAGCGCCACTGCAACTTTCACCATTGGGAACACTACATACGACATCAAATGTTCACATGTTATATCCACCCTTAACATTAGATCCTTCAATAACGGAGAAGATAAATTTCCTTCTCACTCCAGACCTCCATCTGTTCGACTTCGACGAGACTATCAAGGAATTGAAAGAAACAAAACGAGAACTAGAATCTATTCCCGCCAATCAATTTATGTTAGAATATTACATAAATGTGATTCTTTTATCTGCCCTAGTTATAATCACAGGATTAATTGTTCTTCATTGCTTACGTAAGCAAATGGGTCACAGAAACCGTACAGGAGTAACCGCAATTGCGTCAGAAGCATCTGAAGAACAGGAAATGGCTGAAATGGACTCTAACAAACCAAAGAGCAACAAGGTCATTCTGATTCGACATTGAGTTAGACCCATAAGACTAATCCGATAACTACTTACTTAGAAAATTTGCAATGTCCCTAAATTGTCTCGAGATTTTAACTTAGAAAAATTTCCCTTGTTCCGTTATTGTCCCGATATTTTTACACTTACCCATTACGATTATTGTATTTCTGCTATTCCGTATTTTAAAATAGTCAAAACCTTCAAAAAAATATACATATATATTGTCAAAAACATTTATTATTTCCAAAGAAAAATATTCAAAATATTTGTGATACAATTATGTCAAATACAAGTTTAAGCTATCTTGAAGCTACAGGTGAAGCGTAGTCCGTCAATCAAGAACAAGTTGACAATTGGTTTTATAATGAAGCACCTGAAATATTGAAAGAGTATCCAGATTATCAGATTTGGAATGCTGATGAAACAGGGTTGGAGTATCGGCAAATTGATCAAAAATCTTATTTTGTTAAGAAAGCTGACAAATGTGGAATCAAACAAGCAAAGTAAAGAGTCACTATCATGTTATGTTGTAGTCTTGATGGAAAGAAGAAAGATCCATTGGTAATAGGAAAAAGTAAAAAACCAAGATGTTTGTCATCAATTTTATACAATACTAAACAATTACATATTGATTACCGGTCGAGTAAGAAAGCTTGGATGACAAGTGTATTGTTTGTTGAGTGGCTCGACGATTGGAATCAAGAACTGAAAGAAAAAAAGAGAAAGTATTATTATTCATTGATAACTGTCCTGTACATAAAGTTGATGAGAAAAAATGAAGTAATTTAATAATTATTTACTTATCTGTCAACACAACTAAGCGATGTCAACATTTAGATGCTGGTATAATAGCAAATTTTAAACATCACTATTTCACTGATTTGAATGGTTTCCTTGCTTCACTTATGTCGACAGATGAAACAATTGAGAATATAATTAAGTCGATAATACTTAAAGAAACAATTCAATGGATTAGTAAATCTTGGGAAAAAGTAACCCAGAAAACAATAAACTGCTTTACCAAATGTAAATTTTTCAAAGTTAATTAAAAAACCATAGATGGCGACTGTGAAAATTGCTTTAAATGGGACCAAAAAAATTGCTTTGAACGGGTACTTTACAGTAGTTTGATTTTGCCAAAACAGCTTTCGCTTTGAAGAGTTTAGCTAAGATGGTTTTCGCTCAAATGATACAACCACACTCACCGGTTTAGCTTGTTTAACCATTTTCAAGTCACCGATCATCTTAATGAGTGTAAACAGTGACTTGAAAGGGAAAATCTTTACAACTAAGCCCGGTGCTTGATTGTGCGGAAACACGGTATAACAGCTTTTCTTATTTCAGCCGGTAAAGGATTTACCTGATGATATTTAACTTTCACTTTGCCTTAATTGGACTCGAGTGTTACTTTTTCATTTGTATATTCCCGTAGAGTAAGCGTAAAAAATTATCTTTTTACCAAACACTTCGTCGGTTACTGTTGAGTTTCAATTTTTACCTGTGATCATTTTATTGGTTCATCTTTACAAAAGATCTCCAAAACTTGCTGTTATCATTGATTCATTAATAGTAATAGCTGGATTATTATACAGGACTGGAGATAAAAATTTGAGCCAAATTGTAAATAATTTTTCTAGAAATTGGTTTAAGTTAGAAATTTAATTTATTTCAATTTGTCTTCCTTCATTAGTAATTAATTTGAAAAATCTCTTTTGCCATGAGGATAAGCATTTTTGGATAAGGCTTTGTGGAATTTCATTCCATATGGTTTTTATTGCATTTGTTAAGCCTTTTAATGTCTTAGCTTTTTTGCTTGCAAGTTTGTTTTTCATGTAACCCCAAATGCAATAATCCATCGGTGCGAGGTCAGGTGAGAAAGGAACCCATTTAGATGGGTGGATGAATGAAATTCCACTGGCCTTTAAAAATTCTAAGGTTTTTGCCGAAGCATGGCTTGGAGCGCTGTCCTGATGAAATATGCAATTTTTATCAGGGTAAAGACGAGGAATGTCATTTTCAATCATTGGTTTAAGTACATCATTGATATAACAATCAGAATTGATCTTGACTCCAGATCTGATAAACCACAATTCCAATTTACCGTTGAACGAAATTGCACCCCAAACCATAACACTCTTGCTAAATCGAGATGGTTTTGTCATGTAATGCGTGGTTTTTTGACCTTTTCTTACATAATAATAGGGGTTTTCTTGATTAGCATCACTCAGGTGAAATAAACACTCATCGCTGGTTATAATTCTTTTCCAATTTTCGTTACCTAAAAAACGATACATCCAATTAGCACGCTTGCGTCGAACTTCAATTTGTTTGTCGGTCAACTTATGAACACGCCTTTTTGTTCGCTTTTTCAGGCCAAATTTTTTTACATAATAACGGATTGTAGATCGGGCAACTCCAAACTGCTTAGAAAGATGAGTAACTTTAGGTGGATTAGGTCTACTGAGCTTCCGTTTCAGTTTGTTCAAATCACTTAAATTCAACTTTTTCAAACGATTAGGGTTGATGGTCACTTTTTCCTTATTTTTTGGCACTTTTTTTGTATTAGATAAATCAGCATATCTATAACGTTTGATAGTAGCGAGGGAAATTTTAATATTCCGTTGTTTCAATTTTTTATGAATAACTGAAGCACTGAATCCCATGGCAAATAGAGTTTTTACTTCACTGACTAAATCTATCGATAACTTAAGTTTACCCATTGTGACTTAAACTTAAAATGCATTATGTAATTTTTCAAAGTTTAATCTTTAATTTACCTAAAAAAAGTTGACAAAAAGACTAGACATTAAGGCGCCATGACCAGACAAAGTTGGCGCAAACCTTTATCTCCAGTCCTGTATACTGGTATTAATGCATTCATCAAAGATGTCCATCCTCACATGTTAGCCCGTTCAATGAATGCATGGACTTTTGAATGTAAAACTTTCTGCTTATACTTTTCTACTTCTGGTAGTACATTCTGTATATTCATTCATTTTCATTCAAAGTCCTTTTATTTTAGCTTTATTTTCTCAGTGCGGTAAAGTTTTGGTTTTAAACGTTTATTTTTCAACTTCGACTCATTTTTGAATCTACACTTTCCCTCCTTCATGGACATATTTCATTATGAATAAGTATGAAAAATCAAAACCGATCTTGGTAAGTATCATTTTATTTAATATTTATACAAAAAACTTTTTCACTACTTTTTACATTAACTGTTTAATATGACAGTAATTAATTTATTGGCATCTCCGTCCATTCACCCCATTCATTCATTCTGGATCAAGTTTACTAGATGCAATAAACTAATAATTGCTGCAATCGGATTAACTTTGTTACTTTTACTACCAATCTGGGTTATTTTGGAAAACTATGTTTATGGAACAATTTTGAACTTTATTTTCTATTCTTCGACTTTGCACTGAGGCTGTATGTACATTTGTTTTCATGGGCAATTCCGATGGAGAATTGATGCTCATAAAGAATATTACATTGGGAGAACAAATTTTCAATGAAAATAACAATTAATGTTAAATTTACGGATGCAGATTATCTTTTAATCACTGATTTTCATAGCTATTTCAAATTGCAAATTTTCTCGAAGAGGCCGTTTTCGGAACCTCATCTATTATTGGTCTCTAAATTTTAAAGCCAAATACCTCAGGAATGAATTCTCATACAGATGAAACCCTCGACAGTTTTTTTATAACTCAATGTGCTTCAATGAAACCCAATTCATTGAAATCAGTTTCTGGTCTCTCGTTAGTTCCCTTGTATTAAATATTAATATACGAGATAAATGTTTCCCTCTATTAATCAATTGATTATTATTATCTTCAATTGTATTTTGAGACAAGTTTCAGATTCAATTTATCCTCGTCCACATTACAATCTGTATTATTAATACATTATCTAATCATCATCAAAAGTATGCAATGATATCAATAACATGATGTTATATCCAAGTTTAATCAGAGAGTAAAGTAATAATACCTTACTCTCTGGATTTAACAAGCAAAAATAACGAGTAGCAATTGAATTTGTTAACAATAATTGTTAGCAACAATAATTGTGAATTTTTTTACTCTTGTGTTAAATGAATATTGTGTGATTTTATGCAACCTTTTATCTCTGTGTTTACAACAGTCACCAACTATGTGATGAAACAAACTCGTACTGCTTCAACGAATCAAAAAATTTTCATTGTAGTAATTAAATATACATAGCAACTATTGCAGGATAATTGTGATTAACCGATAGTTAATTTATCAGTTTAATCCCTAGTTACAGTTGTAAAAACGAAAGTGTCTGAGTTATTAATAAATCCATTGTACATTAAAATCATCAAACTCATTAAACAGTCAACAGTGCCTACCGTTACCTCAGCTGTACTCATCACCATACATCTTATTTTTTATTGGACATTGGATCAACCGTCACCATGAAACTAAAGAAAGTGATCCTCAACACAGTTGCTTTGATTATTCTGGTTGCACTTCTGGTTCTGGTTACAGCTGCAAAGCCATATAGACGAGGATTTTGGTGTTCAGATGAGACAATCAAGTACAAGAAACAGAAGGAAACGGTTGATGTTAAACAATTGGCCTTGCTTTGTGCTCTTTTACCGTTCATTGTGATAATTATAACTGAAATTGTTGCTTCCAAAAAAGTAGAAAAGCTTATTCTTTCAAAGTTAAAGAAGCAAAATAATAGACGATCGTCATCAGAACCAGAGTCATCATTCTGGGCCAATCTTGGATCAGTCACCTATTCCTGGTTTTTCACTTTATCTCTGACTGCACTCATCACTGGTGTCATTAAAGTACAAGTTGGACGTTTGAGGCCAGTTTTTTATCTCATGTGTTTACCCGATGTTTCATGTAGTGATCCAGTAAACCAAGGAGTCTATCTAACCAATTACACTTGTACAGCTGCAAATGAATCGACAGAAAATTTCATCCGATCGTCATTTCCTTCAGGCCATACTTCATACACCATTTCATCCATGCTTTTCCTAATCATTTACTATTCAAAACGATTCAATGTTGATAAGAACAACGACTGGAGATTTTTGATTGCCTTAATTCAAACTGGGTTTCTTTCAATTGCTCTCTATGTCGGCTTATCAAGGGTTGCTGATAACATTCATCATTGGCAAGACGTTTTAGGCGGCTTCATTATTGGTGTTGTTGTCACTTTAGTTTGTGCATGCTTTTTAGACCATTTCAACAGCTCAAATGAAGAAAAATCTGACCAAAATGATTCAAAATCCAAAGTAGATTATCCTGAACGTTTGGAAACATTTTAACTTGAAAATTTTAAAAATGAAAATCAATTGACTTTCTGGTAACTAGCATTAAGTATGATTACCAGAATACATGTGATCCGTGTTAAGTGATGTATCTTTTATCATTTTGTATTTTAACATTGAACAGTTGTATCACCATTGATAATTTATCAATGTAATTCAAAATCATTGAACCATCTTTTTACCCCTCTGAGTTAACAATTGAAGAGTATCAAAAAACCTAATCAAGTGGTTAACATGTTAACAAGATTTTATCTATCAGTTCAGTATTTGACATGTCATTGAACATACTAGGAATGTAACCATGATTTTCTTTTCAATAAAAAAGATCATTTTAATGATTCCATCATATGAGATGAGATTGAATCCAACTTCAATTGTGCAAACCTTGAATGATACTTTTGTTGGAAACCAATATTCAATGAATTAAATTTCAGGACAGCATTTCCCAGCGAAACAAATTAAAGTTTTGAATTAAAGATTAGTAAAATTTCTTATTTATTAATTCGATCAATTGTTTATGAATTCAACTTGTAGTCTTGCTATTCCAGCAGCACTACAGTTTAAAATCAAGTGGATTGTTTTTAACGATTAACACAGCGAAAGGCTTCGACCAGCTTGACTACCAGCAAGGCTTCGTGGATACTCATCATCTGCACAATATTTCTTGGTAATATGTGGTCTGTTGATGAAAGACAACGATTAAAGTTGATGATTAGTAGAGAGCTACAATTACAATTTGCAATGTTACATGAAGATAACTTACTGTTTTGGAGTAGTTTCAGTCAAATAAGCAGTCTGGAAGTTGATATCGGCAACATGTCCATAGATCTGACTCATGTCATGCCAATTTAAGAAAATGGTATCAACTTGACTGAATGGCATAACCGTTTTGAACGTATAGTTGTGTATTGAATAGCTTTCAAAGATCATGCTATAATACTGGCAGTTAGTAAAGAGCTTGATTCATTATCATTAACTTACTTTTTGTTCAGCTCATATGCACTATCACAAACCCATTGATATTTGTTAACTTGTTTACACGGCGAAATGGATAAAGGAAATGGACCGACTTGGGAATCCATTTCTCCGATTTCAAAGCCAAGGGAATAAATGTGTTGAATACCATCTGATTTGCAAGTGAAAATCAGTGTAAAAATAAATTGATTGAAACAAATATAATACAAACTTGAATCGAAATTTACTTACCACGCTCGAAATCAGCCGGTGCAGCAGTTATGGTTGAGCACAAAGCAAATAATACTAAAAAAATGAGAGATTTTGCCATAATTTTTAAGCTTGTTAAACACTCAATGAGTAAACTTTAAAATTGTTTAATTAATAGACACGTATTATTTTCACAAGAGAAGTGATCTAAATCTAAATTGAATTCATATTTATATGTACCAAAATGAGCCACGAAATTGTTTTAACAAATTCTTGATTGATCAATCGATTTGATTAGTCGAGTAAATTGTATTCAAAGATCTTTTATATTGTCAAAAATCAGATATATTCCTAGGTGCAATAATTTATTATTTTGTTATTTAATTGAGAAGCACTGATAGTAGACACAATTTGTGTACTTACAAGTATTTTTTGTTTACAAATGTCACATTTGGATTGATACAATTGCGTAAAATATCAGGGTGCTGGAATACGTACATCCACTGCAAAGCCCATCTCTTCAGGTTTACTACATCATAGATATAATTTTTGTCAATATAAACTGATGTCCAATGGTCGTTAGAAGGAAGCTGATCCAGGTGTTTAAACTTACAATCGAACTTCTTTATAATAAAAGGTTTGAAAATATTTCCATCTTCATGAAAAATGAATCCACTATTAAGTAGTATTTATCGTCTATACCTTGCTAACCCATCTATACTGGTTCCAGCACCTCGCCTGCCATTGCTGCAATATCTTCGGATAAGTCGAGTTAATAGTGTTACTGTGGAGGTTGAGGTTAGATGAGATGTTACCTTGTGCTGGCACTGATTGGTAAGACACAGAAGATGGCAATCAAAACAATTGACGACTTCATTTTGATTTTGTTCAGAATTTTAGATTCTAGTATTTCGTAGAAGATGATGAATGGATCTGCACAGCTTTTGTGACCATTTAAATAGATTGAAATTCAGTTTTTTATCAAGAGTAGCTTGTGAAAATCCGAATCTGTGACTATGTAATCTTTAGCATTTAATTAACATGAAATAAATTTACTTTTTGAAATGAGCAAGTAAATTTTCATAGAAAGAATATCTAGAAAAATTGAAAGAATAGATCATTTTGCTATTTTTGACATTCTCCTTTGATTATTACCTTTCCTCTAATACTTTAGGTTAGATTGGGTAACGTTCAGACACAAATCCAACCTGTAACTCGATTTAAGGCATTTCTTCGATTTTTCACAATTGTTAACCATTTTGCTTGATTCAATTTAATCCAAAGCATAAAAAGTTATTGATGGATTGAATATTCTGTAGAGAAATTGTAATTTTTTGACAAACAACTTAACTTTTACAACTTCAATAGGTTCAAGAAGGAGATCAAAAGCATGCCAATCTGAATGATATTTTTCTTGTAATGTGTATTCAATAATTTGCACTTCGAGACACCATTTCGCAGCAAAACAAATTAAAGTTTTGAATTAAAGATTAGTAAAATTTTATATTTATTAATTCGATAAATTGTTGTAGTCTTGCAGGATTCACCAGTTTGATTGTTTTACACGACTAACACAGCGAAAGGCTTCGACTAGCCAGACTACCAGCAAGGTTTTTTGGATACTCATCATCTGCACAATATTTCTTGGTAATTCGTGGTCTGTTGATGAACACAACGATCAAAGATGAAGATTAGTATATTTGAAATTACAATTGACAGTATTAAAAGAAGGTGACTTACTGGTTTGGTGTAGTTTCAGTCAAATAAGCAGTCTGAATGTTAGCATCTTCAACGTGTCCATAGATCTGACTCATGTCTTGCCATTCAAAGAAAATGGTATCAATTTGACTGAATGGCATAACCGTTTTAATCGTATAGTTGTTGGTTGAATGGCTTTTAAAGATCATACTGGGATAATGAAAATTAGTAAAGAGCTTGATTCATTAATATTAACTTACTTTTTGTTCAGCTCATATGATCTATCACCAACCCATTCATATCTGTTAACTTGTTTACTTGGATACATGGACGAAGGAAATGGACCAACTTGGTGATCCATTTCTCCGATTTCAAAGTCAAGTGAATAAGTGTGTTCAATACCATCTGAATTCATAAGTGAAAATGAACATGAAATCAATTGATTGCAATAAACATTAACAAACTGGAATCGAAATCTACTTACCAAGCTCATAAGTAGCCAGCCCATCGAGTGGTGCAGCAATTATGGTTGAGCACAAAGCAGATAATACAAAAATCAGAGTTTTTGCCATAATTTTAAGTTTATTAAAAGACAAAAATCAGAAAAACTTATCAACAGTTTAATTAATAGACACGTATACTTGTTCAGAGAGAATTGGTCTAAATTTAAATCGAAACAGTATTTTATATGCAAAAGAATCTAGATATTGTTATAAATACATGTATTGTGATACAGTGACATTCAAAATGAGCCACGGAATTGTTTGGCAAATTTTTGGATGATTGATCAATTGATTTGATTAGTTGAGCAAATTGTATTCAAAGATCTTTTCGATTGTCAAGCAAATCAGTTATCTTCTTAGGTGCTTTTTATCATTAATTTGCTATTTAATTGAAAAGCACTGAGACACAATGTGCAAACTTAAAAGTATTTTTTGTTTATAAATGTCACATTTGGACTGATAAAAATGCGTAAAATAATGTGTGATGATTTTCTCTTGAACTTCCTTATCATTGAGTTGGAAAATATTTAGATCCTCATGACAGGAAAAAGAAAGACTATTATGGAACATTTATCATCTATACCTAGTATACTCATCTACCGGTATACGGGTTCCAAGCACCTCACCTGTCATTGCTGCAATATTTGGATGAATATCTTCGGATAAGTCGAGTTAATAGTGTTACTGTGGAGGTTGAGGTTAGATGAGATGATGAGACCTTGGTACTGATTGTTAAGACATAGAAGATGGTAATTGAGACAATTGATGATTTAATTTTGATTTTGTTTAGTATGTTGGATTTTAGTATTTCAATGAAGGTGTCTAATGATAGACAGCTTTATTCCTACTCATTTTTATACCGACGATTGTGTCCATTGAAATAGACTGCAATTAAGTTTTTTTATTAAGTTTGTATTATAAAATTCCGAACCTAAGTCTATGTATTATAATTTTAGCCTTTTCAGCATCTCAAAAACTATGCATGCTACAAAAAATGGATTCAATTTTTGAAATGAGAGATGAGAAATGAGTAAATCTGCATCAGAAGAAAATCTGGGAAAATTCTGATTGAATTTTCTGTTGATAAACGCCATTAAAACTTAGGGATTCTGGCGGGCTTTATATTTATTTTTTTTGACTAACAACTTAATTTTTCAACTTCAATAGGTTTGAGAAGGAGATAGAAAGCATGCCAATCTGAATATTTTTCTTGAAAACGTATATTCAATCTTTTGCATTTAGAGAAATCATTTCACAGCGAAAAATTTAAGTTTTAAAAATTGATGATTTTTAAATGAAGATTAGTACATGTAATAACTTTTATTTATTGATTCGGTAAATTGTTTATGGCTTTAACTCCTTGTAGTGACTAACACAGCGAAAGGCTTCGACTAGCCAGACTACCAGCCAGACTTCGTGGATACTTATCATCTGCACAATATTTCTTGGTTATATGTGGTCTGTTGATGAAAGACAACGATTAAAGTTGATGATTACTAGAGTTGAAATTACAATTGGCAATATTACAGGAAGACAACTTACTGGTTTGGTGTAGTTTCAGTCAAATAAGCAGTCTGGAAGTTAACATCGTCAACATATCCATAGATCTCGTCCATGTCTTGCCATTCAAAGAAAATGGAATCAATTTGACTGAAGGGCATGACAGTTTTTATTGTATAGTTGTGGGTTGAGAAGCCTTTGAAAATCATTCTGTGATAGTGACAATTAGTAACGAGCAAAATTCATTATCGATGGCTTACTTTTTGTTCAATTCATATGAATCATCGCCAACCCATTCATAATTGTTAACTTTTTTACTTGGTGAAACGGATAAAGGTAATGGACCGACTTGGTAATCCATTTCCCCGATTTCAAAGCCAAGTGCATAAGTGTGTTCAATTCCATCTGAATTTGTACATGAAAAAAATATAAAATAAATTTATTGAAATAAATATGCTAAATAAACTGGAATTGAGATTCACTTACCGCGCTCAAAAGTAGCTGGTGCAGCATGTATGGTTGAACACAAAGCAAATAATATAAAAATCAGAGTTTTCGCCATAATTTTCAAGTTTATTGAAACACTAAATGAGTAAAAATTCACAATAGAAGCTTATTATTGTCCAGAGAGAAGTGATCTAAAGCTAAATTAGAATCATATTTTATATGTAACAAAATCTGGATGTAAAATATTGGGATCTTCAAAATGAGCCACGCAATTGTTTTAGCAAATCTTTGATTGATTGATTGATTGATTGAAATTCAATTGATCTGGTTTGATTAGTTGAGTAAATTGTATTCGAAAATCTTTTCTATTGTCAACAAAATCAGATATCTTCTAGCAACAATCCATTATTAATTTACTATTTTAATTAAAAGCACTGATTCTAGACACAAAAGATGACAATTGAAGCACTTGACTACAGTCACCTACCAGAAACTGCACCAAGCTGGAAATATAATAGCTTATGTATTTCATTTGATTTTGGTTAAGATAAAATTGAATTTAAAAGCAAGTATTAAAAGTAAGGAGTCGGTTATGTGATGGTTTCATTGATTCCACGTTAAAAAGCTATGCTCATAAAATGACACGAATTACCTGATACCTTTCATCGATGCAGGTGTAATGGCTCAAAAAAGAGATTGAAATATAAAAGTTTCTCGAAATGTGCAAACTTAAAGCATAGTTTCTTTGAAATGTCACAGTGTGACTGATGCAATGGAATGAAACATAAGGGTGATTGACATGACCGCTTTTCTTGCAGGCTTACTTAAGCATAGGTACAATTTTCGTCCGACTAAACTGATTCCAATCTTGCTAGCTGGAAGATTGAAATTCTGAAGAATGATTCTTTACGAAACTGAAGAAAACACATTCGAATGAGGCAGGTCAAAGCCTTTCTCTGGGTCAGTCGTTTAAAACAGTCCATTTGATTTGAAGCTGATGAACGCTGCATGGCTACAAGAAATACAATGCAAAGACGATTTATCTAATGAATATTTATATTAATAAATGAAAGTTTCACCAATTTTAAAAATCTTTAATTTGTAACTTTATCGTATTATATTCAACAAAATACAGTAAATCGTAACAGATTTATTCAGATAGCAACAGTAAATTAGCTAAACACTTGAAACACTGCGAGAATGAAAAAGACTTTTGAAATATGAATGTGGCACCTGGTGCTAAGGTAGTGCAACTAAAAATTGACACACAAATTGTTTTGCTAATTATTCAACAATCAGATTAGTTAGAGAATTATTTTTTAATTTTTCATTAATCGAGGCCTAATAATATACCATAACTAGCCACTGTTGCTATGTTCATTCTATCTCATGAAAAAATCAGAGAAAGCAATCTTTGTCAAATTTTTAAAAGTTTTCAAGATATTTAACCTTATTTTCTATGCAATTTTTTCCAACTAGCTGTTTGGTCTTCAATTTTTGTTTCATTTTGTGCTCTTGATGGTTCACTTAATGAAAACATAGTCGACCCGATTTCATATTTAGCTTTTGTTTGGTTTCCGGCTTGATACCTGAAAAAAATGGTGCCTTTAAGTCTAGACATTCTGTCTCAAATTTCATTTGAACTATTAAATCTGAATGTGTCAATTTTTAGTTGCACTACCTTAGTTCCTTACTGTATCCATATCATCATATTTTGTTCATTTTAAGAAAAATTTGAATTGCTATAAATCAATGAAGAAGCTAAAAAACTAATTTTGGATGCTCATTTTAAAGGTCTCGTCTAAAACAGAGTCAAATTCATGAATAATTATGAGTTTTATCGATGAAAAATGAGTTTCAGGCCTCTTTTAGGATGAAAATCATTTTTCTGGTGCAAATTTTGAGGATCAAGCCAGAAAATGCATTTATGTCGCCAAGTCAAATTTTGTGTTTTTGTAAAACAGATCACTTCTTATCAGTTGAACTGGACGCTGTGATTGCACTCAACATAACGTTAAGACACAAATCAAACCTAAAGCTCGATTTTCGGCATTTTTCACAATTTTTAGCCAATTTGCTTGATTCGATTTAATCCAAAGCATGCAAATTTACTGATGGATTGCATATACTGTTGACAAATTGTAATTTTTTGACAAACAACTTAACTTTTACAACTTCAATAGGTTCAAGAAGGAGATCAAAAGCATGCCAATCTGAATGGTATTTTTCTTGAAATGTGTATTCAATCATTTGCACTTCGAGACACCATTTCGCAGCAAAACAAATTAAAGTTTTGAATTAAATATTAGTCAAATTTTATATTTATTAATTCGATAAATTGTTGTAGTCTTGTTGCAGGATTCACCAGTTTGATTTTTTCACACGACTAACACAGCGAAAGGCTTCGACTAGCCAGACTACCAGCCAGACTTCGTGGATACTCATCATCTGCACAATATTTCTTTGGTATATGTGCTCTGTTGATGAAAGACAACGATTAACTGATTCCATATCAAGGTGGATTCCATTACATTAGGATTATTTATAGCTGGATTATTTAAGTTCTTACACAAAAGAATGATTCTTACACAAAACTTTGCCGCTGCTCGAAGAAAAGCACATCCAAGGGCTTTAAGAAGGAAATCGGCCCAGAACCAAATTATTTTGCTAAACTATTTTATACTTTGGCATCTTCCTTTCAACATTGCCTTTACCTCTAATACTTTGGGTTAGATTGGGTTACGTTTGAACCAAGAAGAACCTAAAACTCAATTTAAGACACTTCTTCGTAATTTTTTACAATTGTTAATAATACTTTCTTTCAATTGGATTTAATTCAAAACATAAAAAGTTTGTTATTGGTCTCTTGGACGTTCTGTTGATAAACCCCATTAAAACGCATATTCAATCAGTTGCATTTCGAGACTGCATTTCACAGTAAAACACTAAGTTGTAAATTAAAGATTTTTAGTAAAAACTTTTATTCATGAATATTAATATTAACTCGATAAATTGTCTGTGAATCTAACTCCTTGTAGTCTTGCAGGGTTCATCAGCTTGAAATCAACTGGAGTGTTCTTAACGCCTAACACAAAGAAAGGCTCCGACTAGCCACACTATCATCAAGTTTTCCTGATACATTTTTACAATATTTCTTGGTAATTTGTGGTCTGTTGATGAAAAACAACGGTTGAAGTTGATGGTTAGTAGATGTACAATTAAAATTGGCAATATTGCAGGAAGATAACTTACTGGTTTGGTGTAGTTTCAGTCACATAAGCAGTCTGAATGTTAACAAAGTGAATAGCACTATAACCATAGTACACTTGCATGCCGGAAAATTGAAAGAAAATCTTATCAACTTGACTGAATGGCGTAGACGATTTTACCGTAAAGTTTTGAGTTGAATGGCTTTCAAAGATTATACTGTGATAATGACAATTAGTAAATAGCATCAACATTAAACTATTATAAATGGCTTACTTTACGCCCGCTTCATGTGAACCATCACCATCCCATTCATGTTCACCCACTTTTTTGTATAGCGTAACGAAGACACGCGATGGACCAACTGTGGATTCCATTTCCCCGACTTCAACGCCAATTTTATAAGTGTATTCAGGACCAACTGTATTTATAAGTGAAAATGAAAATATGAATTAACTGGTTGAAATAAATATGATACAAACTGTAATTAAGATCTACTTACTAGGCTCATAATCAACCTCCCAATCGAAAGGGGCAGCAAGTATGGTTGAACACAAAGTAAACAACACAAAAATCAGATATTTTGCCATAACTTTTTAACTTTTTTAAACGCTGAATGAGTAGAACTTGACAATAGTTTAATTAATTGTATTAAGAGTATTAATGTCCAAAGAGAAGTGATCTAAATCTAAATTTACATCATATTTTATATTCAGCGAGATCTAGATATAATGTCCTCAATGGCATTGAAATAGAGTCACAAGATTGTTTCAGGAAAATATTTGATTAATTGAGTTGATTGTAATACTCAAAGATCTTGTCTATTGTCAAAAAATCATCTTATCAACAGCATTGCACGAATCATTTATCTCAATTTTATCTTTACTCTTTCATTTATTCATAATTTGCCAGAATTTCATGACATGATCATTATTAATCAGTTTCCATGCAATGATTAAAGATTAACCCATCAAAATGCTTTCGCCTTCATGGCTGAACCAATACAAGATGACCAATATTATATACAAATGAACAATGTACACATTAGTCGAGGAGATCAAATAAATAAGCTATGGTTTAAATTGAACAAAAAAGCATCGATGGTTACCAGCTTTCAAATATCATTTAAACAATCAGCAATGGAAAAATTTAGAGATCACATTGCTATTTTTGTGATTGCAATTGTAATCATTGAATATGTATTTAACAGCATTTGAGAATTAGTTGACCAAAATGATTTGCGAAAAGTTTAGAGATGGCTTAATTATTCTCGAATGTAAATTCAAAAGTTTACTTGTGAACCTTTAACTTCAATCTATTTATAATATAAAATTTATTCAGTTTGCCAGAGATTTGAGCCGCTCGTCTGGTATTTGTGACCCTTTTTCGACGATTGCCGAATGAAGCTCCTAAATTTTCGGTAATGATAGACACTAACCAATTTTGTCCATCAACTTGCTTTTTCTTTTTACTATCAATAAACTCATTTAACTTTATTATAACCTTAACCACTAACTTTCGTCAGCATAAAAACAAACACATCTAACCTCAATTTAGCCAGTATTAAGCATCTCAGTCCTCTCAGATGTAGATGAGGTTTTCGCTGCCGCTGTAATGCTTCTCATTGTATCAGTCTAGAGAACTGTCAAAACCATTGAATGAATATTATATAATAGTATAATGAAATATGGGGCTATAAGTTTAGTTGGAGAATGGGTGAGTATAATGGAAAGGCTTAGGTAAATGATTAATAAATTGGTGATGATAAGTACCAATTTTGACAAATTGTTATTATTTAATTTTGATTTTATTTTGTGTTTTTGTAGAGCTTGCATCAAAGATGAAATTGAATTGTAAAGCGATTAATGCAATGCTGTTGATAAGATGGCAACTGATCTTTTGTACAATAGAAAAGAGCTTTGAATACAATCAACTCAATTAATCAAATCAATTGATCGAATATATTCTCTAGCCATTTTGTGGCTCAATTTCAATGCCATTGAGGACATTAAAGATTTTTGCAAATGAAATGTGATTTTGATTTCAATTTAGATAATTTCTGTTAACGCAATAATACGTAATAATGATTCTTTATTACTATACGTCACCAATAACAAAATGATGCAAAATACATGATTTAGCTTCATGAGAAACTAAGATTGATCTGTATTTACATGCAATGTAGATACCATCGTGATGTTTGTTATTGTTTCATTAGAGCTTCGTCGAACTTAGAGAATCAAGTATTCATCTAGACGGTTCAAACCCTTCTCGAAGTACAAAAAACCCTGAAAGAACAAAAGTAAACAACCAAGAGTTAACTTTTGGCCCACTACTGTACTGTTCCAGACTCTGTATGGTCAAAGACGAAATAAATCACTTGTGAATTCAGAGGTAAGATATATTAATACTCTGAATTGGCCATCTACTAATATCTACTCTGATTATGGCACAGATGTTGATATATCGACCGTAATCAACTCATCAGATCACCATCAACATTTATGTTGATGCTTTTGGTTAAGATAAAATTGAATTTAAAAGCAAGTATTAAAAGTAAGGAGTCGGTTTTCTGGTTTTATTGATTCCACGTTAAAAAGCTATGCTCTCAAAAGAATGACATGAATTACCTGATACCTTTCATCGATGCAGGTGTAATGGCTCAAAAAAGTGATTGAAACATAAAAGTTTCTCGAAATGTGCAAACTTAAAAGCATAGTTTCTTTGAAATGTCACATTGTGACTGATGCAAGTGAATGAAACATAAGGGCGATCGACACGATTTATATACACTGCCAACCGCTTTTCTTGCAGGCGTACTTCAGCATAAGTAAAATTTTCGTCCAGCTAAACTGATTCCAATCTTTCTAGCTGGAAGATTGAAATTCTGCAGAATGATTCTTTTACGAAACTGAAGAAAACATATTCGAATGTGGCGGGTCAAAGCCTTTCTCTGGGTCAGTCGTTTAAAACAGTCCATTTGATTTGAAGCTGATGAACGCTGCAAGGCTACAAGGAATTAAATTCAAAGACGATTTATCTAATGAATATTTATATTAGTAAATGAAAGTTTCACTAATCTTTAATTTGTAACTTTATTGCATATATGTTTTCAACAAAATACAGTAAAAATCGTTTATTCAGACAGCAACAGCAAATTAGCAAAACACTTGAAACACTGCGAGAATGAAGAAGACATTTGAAATATGAATGTGACCTTACTGTCACTGTCCTTACTGTATCCATATCATCATATTTTGTTCATTTTTAGGAAAAATTTGAATTGCTATAAATCAATGAAGAAGCTAAAAAACTAATTTTGGATGCTCATTTTAAAGGTCTCGTCTAAAACAGAGTCAAATTCATGAATAATTGAAAACTGGATCGTTCGTTTGCTCAACTTTTTGATTCTCTCATACTAGGGAACCTCACCAGTTGTTGAATCTCTATCGAGATTTCATTTGTAGCTATTGATATATTCGGTCTTCTCAAAGACAAATACAAAATTAGGAAAATTCAGTTTATTAAATTAAATTTTAGTCTAATTGAATGAATATCAAAGTAAAACTTACAGAGTTACAGTTTCTGTTTTAGAGAGTTATTCATTTTTGTCAAATGTACAGGCATACACAAAGTAATCCACAAAATGGGTAGATTTGTGCTTAAAAAATGCTAGAAATTGAAATTGTAATAAATCGAAGAGCGTCATATTACATTTCAAATAGCAATTTACTCGTCTTTAAGATGAGATGATTCGCTTTGTTTATCCTTTGATTTAATTGCTTCAGTTAAGTTACCGTATGGACCCAAAATGAATAGATGAAAAACAATTCCAGCAGCAATTGAAAGGAAAACGGATGAAAATGTGTGAAAAGCCTGAATAAAAACGGGAGGAAACAAATACAATTAGTCGATATTAAATGATAAATTAGATGTGCTATTATTACCCATTCCGAAATTGTTAAAACTGGATATCTGTGTTGACTATAATACCAAAGCAAGACAGGAACATGGACACAATACGTTGATCTGAATACAACAGTTAAAATGTGTAAAATCTTATACTCAGTTTTTCCAGAGATGTATTTCAATGTTTTATTCAACTTCGGTTCCAGTTCAGTTTGGTTCACTGAGTCATCGATTATTTTTCCATGATTGCCATTCGAAGCCAACGAGTTGTTATTGTTATTATTTTCACAGGCCTTAGAATCCTTTGGTTTATACGAAAAATACTCTCTGAACTCATCAGCATTGTGAAATATTAAACATGCATAAAATATTCCGGTAAAGATACGATAGATTAAAATGTAGCCGGCATTGAACATTGGAGTTTCAGGGATGGACAATGAACCTCGTATAAACGGTAACAACATAATAAATGGTGCTAAATAATACATTCCAAGCTTGAATTTATTTCGGTTCTCCTGGAAATAGATAGAAACAAAAAACATAAGTCATTATAATCATAATCATAGGTAGTTTAAAATAACAAAATGAAAAACTAATGATGTTTATAACCCGTTAAGCGTTTTTTAATGGATAAAAACATTGAATAACTAAATTTGGGTTGCATTTCCTCGTACAATACTGATTGATAAATTTATTTGGCTGAGTGTAATAAAAGTCATCTCCGACAGTAAATGCAATAATTTCATAGTTAGATGTTAGGTAAACAAAAAAGTTGTCAAGTGTGAATCTCAAAAATTTGCAGTTATAATTGAATTCTTGCAATCAATTCACATTGAAAAGGCCTAAGTACATAATGAGATCAACATGGCTTACAATAAAGATTGAAACGGAACTCGAACTTGACAACGGTGAAAGCAGACGCTGTCTATGAAGATGAAGCAAAATCATCATCTTTAACTACATAACCATTTATAGCCTCGCATCTCAAGCTGTAAAATCCCATTTTTGTGCCGTGAATCTTTTCAATTTAACTAGGAGTGAAAGATTTCCTGTTTACCGGCATTTTGAGTTTGAGTCTTTGTTATGTATTTATTAGGTTGCCCGGCTCAAAGTGGCGGAACTTTTATTTTTAATATTTCATTTTTACCTGAATCAATTCAGTCAATTTTTTTAAAAATTATTTAAGTAAAGATTCAGAATTTTTTTGACACATCTTAAACCCTTTAGACATTGGTAATTCGAAAGTAATTAGATAAAAATCGAAAAATGGCAATTTTGTAAATTTCGAACTTTGTGGCTTTATAGCGTTGTTACCGATGAAAAATTTTTCAAAGTCATTTCGTCTAATTATAGTAATTGGATTGATTAAAAATCACTTTTCTCAATTTTTATCATGATCACCAAGTTTTCGAGAAATGTTCGATTAAAAAAGTTTCTATCGCGAGCAAATCACAGGGGGGACCCTTGGTTTTTTAGAAAATTTTGAGCCGCACGAAATTTCATTTTTTTGATTTTTTTCCAATAAATTTCGAATTAGCAAACAGAAAATTATAAATCATGTATCATAAAAATTCTGCATCCTTCCTTATATGATTAGCAAAAGAATTGTTTTAATTGCTTCGATTAACAATAAAATATTAACATTTAAAGTTCCGCCACTTTGCGCCGGGCAACCTAATAAACTGGTTGACAAAAGTATAAGACCACTTAATTTTTAGGTCTAAATCTTTCGCTTTTTCGATTTTATAAGTTTTGATAACAGATTTGATCAGAGCGTAAGCAATTGAATCAAATGAGACCTTATTTGAAAAAATATATGATATAATTAGAAAATTATTAAGAAAAATCAAGATTTGAATGTGACAAAAGTATAAGACCACTTTTTAAACTTCACGATTATTTTTCATACATGGAATTTTTTACAGGTTTTTTGTGCAAATAATGTGTTATTAATATAAACTTATCTAATTTCAGAGTTTGGTGGGCAATATGATTAACCGATTTTCGTAAAGTTGAGAAATCAAGTTTCCATTGAAATACATTAGAAAATTACGTAAATTCCAATTATTTATCAGATTAAGTCTATTTTTTGGAAATGATTTCATGGTCATTGTTCAGTGTAAGAATTAAAACTATCAGAAGTTCGAATTTTGGAAATCAGATGAATCGTTTCCGATTTATGAATTATTTCTTAAATTCTTTACCTTTTACATTGCTTTTCAATGTAAAAGCATGCAAGAAATAATCAATTGTTCATAAATTGACAACGATTCATCCGATTTCCAAAATTCAAATTTGTGATAGTTTTTATGATTTTTTTGGAGAATTACCATGAAAAAATTCCAAAAAATTGACTTTAATCTAATGAATAATTGGAATTTACATAATTTTTCAATGCAATCCTATGGAAACCTAATTTCTTAATTTTACAAAAAACCGTTTATTGTTCTAGCATCGAACTCTGAAATACGATTGATCTATAGAAATGGCACATTATTTACAGAAAAAAATTTGACAAAATTACATATATTAAAAAAAATCGGGAAATTTATGAAGTGGTCTTATACTTTTGTCACCTGCAAATCTTGATTTTTTCATGATTATTTTCTAATTATTACATATATTTTTTTGATCATGGTCTCATTTGATTCAGCTTTTTACGCACTTTTTAAATCTATTAAATTAATTTATAAAAGCAAGATATTTAGAGATTTAGATTCAAAAATTAAGTGGTCTTATAATTTTGTCAACCAGTGTATATTGGACCGTTACATTCAAGAAAATATGAAAGCTAATTCTTCTTCTGCAATTTTAAACTTTAAAGGAAAAAATTCTGAAACATGTTAAGTTTTATTACTATGACTTTTATCAAACGTTATGATTATGAGTTGTTTTAAACATTTTGAGAACATAAAACTTAAATAAAACAAGTTTCTAGCTTAGAAGAAATTACCTTGACTCTCAGAGACTAACTAAGTTAATTATCAGTTTCTCAAGTTCTTGTACACTTATTTTTTTAATAACAAGAAAAACTACAGAAAACCGATGAACAATTGATTAAAAAATAAAATTTATAATTTTTATCGAAAAGTATTCATCACCTTCAGTCACAAATTCATTGATAAAAATCAAGAGAATGAAATTTACTAACTTTAATGGTTGACTGTCTTGAATGTACTTGATTCTCGTTATCCTGATTTATAAATTACCCAGCAACTGATCTGACTTAAAATTTAATTTCTATAAATTTAAACATCAGATTTGATTAAATATCAGAATAAAATGAAAAGAGAAAAACATGAAATAATTACCGTTATATATTTCGCTTGGATTCCTGTCATGATTATGTATATGTAACATGCTGGGGTGATGTACAACCAAAACTTCATTGATGATGGGAGATAGACTGATTCAATCCATTTTGATAAAAGGCTGTTTAAGAAAGTGGACCGAATTAATATTAAGATTATCTGAACTTGATGTTTTAATCTGTCTTACCCTGGATCGAAGCCTCTAGAGATTGGGTGAACGGGTATATCATATTGATAATATACTCGACCAACATTGATTAATCCACCGATAACTCCGACGGCATTCAAACTCAAAGCCACTTTGGGATATCGTTTATACAGTATAATGAGACCAGCCAAGAAGAAAACCATTTGATACTCAGCTGCCAATGACCATGAATGAGCGATACACTTTTTGAAATGAAAATGATTAACAAATTGTAAGCATCAAAACCATTTTCGGTTACTTTCAAGTGACAACTTACAACTTTATCCAGTGAACCAATGTAATTTTGATAGAAGAAGATATTTGCTGTATAAGTTTTGGAACAAATTTCAGCATTTTTTTCGGCAATTAAAGGATTTAATGGTCCAGAGGCAAATAATGGCACAATCATTTCCACGCCAATCATTATTGCAAATAGGCAAGTCAATCTGCAAATTAAAAAACACTTTAAAAATTAAGTTTCCAATCTTACTGTTTTAAATTATGATAATCTCTTACTTTAGCATCTTTACGACAATTGTGTTGATTATCTGCCAGATTGAAGTTTTTGAATTAGTTTTGCGCCAAAATTCACATGATTTGCAGAGTCCACTAGAATTAAAAAGAATGGGTATTTGATATTAATCACTATCTTGCTAAAAATTACCCACGTTTGCTTGTTTTGATAGAAAATGTCTCAAAAATTAACAAGCATTATGCAACTAATTACAAAGATATCATGTAATTTTATTGCAGGTTTTCCAGCAATAACCGTTGAAATTCAGCTAAACAAGCTGTTTTGTATTTGTTTCTTTCCGCTGATTTATATCAAATGAGAGTGAATTACTATTTCTTGGAAAAGGCACGAATCAAAAGAATAATAATGACAAAAAAACATACGCATAAGCAAAAAGTCCCTCCATGAACCATTCTGCGACCATATACTTCAAAATCTGACTATCCTTGTATATCACCAAAGGATCACCAACTGCTGTAAGTGGATAGTTGTTACATTAATTAGATGATAATGATCAAAAGAATGGAAAGATTGGAAAAGGTTATGAAGAGGTTAAATATGATGAATATTATACTTACCATAAATTACAATTGCTCCGGATATTACCGGCCAAATAAGAGCATGAAAATGTAAAACTATAACATGCTGGGTTAATCCACATCTAGTTATTGTTGGAGATTTACTCATCTCTTCATCTGGTTCAACCATACTTTTCCAATTAGTTCGCAGAGAAAAACTTCGAACCCAATGTTTATCAGCAAACTGTTTAGGACTTCCACTCGTATTTTGTTTTGATGTAACATCTTTCCAAGTCGCACAAATGACGAGTAAAATAAAAGTCGCAAAGAATGCCCTATGACCAAAATTCAAATAAATTAACAATGAATGTAAAATAAACAAAATTAAACAACTTACAAGCTAAATTTTTGTAAACTTGAAGCTTTAATAAGCTTATCAGTAAAAGATATCCTAATCTGACAGGAATCAACCCTTGGCACGGTCCATGAGAATGGTTCCAAGGCTTTTTTTGGCAAGCAAATCGATTTCAATATCAATAACGGTCCATAAAGAAAGGTGATGCATAAATATAAATAGATAGGTTAAAAATCATATTAAACATAAAGAAACAATAAATTTTACCTTTATTAGCGATTATATGTAAATCATTTTTTTGGCAGCCGGAGGGAATGCAAAATCCAATTCTCAACGAGAAAGATGTATCATAGTCTGAAATAACTTTACTAGACACAAATAAATCAATAGCTGTCCCAGGCTCGGAAACCACGGGAAGAACTGAAGTTAAACAATGTTGTCCGGTTTCTGTGGAACCAGAACTATTGAGCCAAGATAGCTGTAAACAGTTTTCAAAGCTTCCCAAATCGAGGTAGCCATTTCCAGTAATATCTGAAGGCATACGACCTGAGGCATCCAACACTAAAACACAAAAATTCAAACGAAAGATTATTTTAACATACAATATAATGTAAAACAAATACTAGAACTTATTAGTTCAAGAGAAGAAAAGTTTACTTTTGAGAGCCCATGGATCGCCATTTTTTAGAGAAGCATTGAAATGCTTTAAACTGTTGACACATTGGCTGGTTACACCATGTTGTTCCAATTGGTTAACATTCTCGTCAATATAATCAAACAATAATTTGCTAAATCCAGATTTAACGAGGATGGCTTGTTGTCTGTTGACATGTTGAGTTGTTTTGTTAATCTGAAAATTGTCTGGTAAGTTTATGGCTCCAGATGAGTAACCGGTAAATAAAGTCAGAAGATATAAGGAGAACAAAAGACGAGTTAAAATGTAAGGTAAAGATGATATTGGACTTGATATGGTGGACATTTTGAGCTAAGTTACAATTAAATTAACAAATGCGAACTGATTTGCCCGGAGTAATCATCATTAATACTTGAAACAGAGGGAGAGAGAGGAAAAAGTGAGACAATCAGATAAACAAGTGAGTGGATTAACAAGGAAGAAGAAGAAGTAAACATAAGAAAGAGAGAAAAGATCATAGGCATGGAAAGAAAGGGACAGAGATCCTTGATATTGAAATTCAACAGTTGCTTCTTTCGTAAGTTTCTAGTAACCAGTCAACCAAAATAGCGGCGTTGTCATGGTATTCAATACGATTGCCTCCGGATAAATAAATGATCATCAAATTCCTGCAAGGTTGATTAGCCAGTAAATGGTAAATTACTTTGATAATTTCACTTGCACTTCGTCAAGGGTTTCTTAATGTTTTTTACTTGCATTTTACCTTTTCTTCACCATCATTTCAACCATTACACCTTAGATACAACATATTGTCTGAGGTAAATAAAGATATACGTCATTGGTTCAATGGGTTAATACATTATAATTTAATTTTTGTGACTTTAAAAGTCATTCAAAGTTCATACAGTTAAATCTGATCAACAACATGTTGACAATTTGTTTGCTAGTTTTCCTTTGATAAACACATTGGTCCACCATTGATTTCAATTACCATTTAGGTTCAAAAGTCAAGACTAATTGTATTGTTAAACACCAAATCAGCTAGTTTATTGTCCTTTTACCAAACAAATTGGCTATTAATAATAGATTTGAACCCAATATCAAAGCATTTGCTTGTGTCTTCTCCAACAGTCTTCAAGTGGTTTGTAACTCTCCTCCACTTATTACAATTAAACATGTTGCTCTTTTAAATTGTTACTCCAATTACTTGCAATAGGCCATTCAAATTAAGGTAAAAACCTGTATTAATCATTGTAAGAAAATCCACTTCAATCAACAATTGAACTTGTACTAATTTAGATTGATGGTAAACTGATGCCAATGGAAAAGCCTGTGAAGTAAATAAGAGTAGACATTAATTAATGGTTTCTTTTGTTTGCTTGATTAAAACGACTAATCATTATAAACTATTTCATTCAATTAATTATTATAAATTAAACATTATCCAAAAAAATTTACCAACCAATGATGTTCATTTTCAATCCTAAATTGAATTACAGAGCAATCTTTTCAGGTTTGTCTGCATAAAATCCTATTTTGTGTCGATGGACATCTCAATATTCTGGTTTGGTTTGCTTGTAACAGTAAATACCTAAATTTTGCATGATAAAACTGGTTATTTGATGATCAAGCCGCTTGATTTTTTTCCTTCAATATCTCTGGTTATAATTAAATACGAATTCAAGATTGGTTAAAATCTAAATACTGCAAAATGCCTTTGGTAATTGTTTGATCAATTGTAGATTTTGATATCCTTCAAGGATAGTTGCCTCAGGTTGTCAACATTTCGCAAATTTCATTCAAACTCATTCGCTGGTAATTTAGTTGAAATGTCCATGAATCGACACAATAGTTTAACTGTCGTTAGACTAAACAGTCATTATAGTTGAGGTAATAATACAAAATTATCAATAAAATTATCCTGTTAAAATAATCGTAGGTTCAATTTTTATTAATATCTTGTTAAATTGTTATTGGTTATAACACAGTCATGATGATTGAATAAGAGTATAATTTGAGGAATGTTAATATACAGTCAAAAAACAGTTAACATGTGTCTGTATTAAGGTTTGTAATAAAAAGAGATTCAGATTGATTAAAGAATAAGTTTTGGTGATTGATTAGTTAACACACGTTTTTTATACAAAGAAGGATAAAAAACAAGTTAATTGTGAGATTTAATTGATAACTACGATGCTAATAGTGAATCAAAACAAAAGAACTTCTCCTTCTTTGTTAGTTAATAGCTTCTGATCAGTGGTTTGTTTCATTGATCATCATTAGCTTAAAAATAATACATTAGATAATTGCGAAATTAAATTAACAGCTAGAAAATTAAGACATCTCTTGTTCCATTAAATGCTAATGAAGATAGCGCTTATAATTAATTGCATCCAAAAGGTTTCGTGATGTAAATTATTGGATATTGTGATTGATAAACTTAAATCATTTGGAAATGGTAAAAATGTTGCAAGTTTAGATTGAGATAATTAGGAGTTTGCATAAAGCATTTGAAAACTCAATGTCGATTTACATTGAACTGGTTAATGGACTAGATAGTGATTTTTGATTTAGATTTGATTATTTGATGAACATAATAAACGATTCACATCTAGTAAATTATCTTAATAATAAATTACCTGTATATATTATCGCCATAGTTGATAACAATTACATGACGTATCATGCAAATCTATCACATAATCTGAAGTCACACATCAACTGCTCCTTTAGGTTCTGAATTGCTATCACTTGAGTCAAAAATTCGGCTATTAGGTTTATTTGTTTGCTGAACCAAATTTTGCGTATCCTCGTACGGGGTTATCAATATTTTGAGTCTCTGAAAAATAGATAAATGAAAAACGATCAATACTCTGAGCTGGCCTTAACACCGCTTTAAAGAATTCGAAGAGAATCTTAAAAAAGTGATCAATTCTATCACATCGATAGGATGAGACTTACTTGCACGAAAGTTCCCGGAGTGATATAAATCTGATAAATGGCAACAATTGGTATGCATAAAACTGACGAGGCAGCAATGCAAAATCCTAAAATATTAGCCCAAACAGGGTACCTGTAATCACCATATGTCAGTGGCTCATAACTTATAAGTCCGTAAATTATAATAACCTTTGACCAGTAAAATAAAATATCGTGTTAAAATACATTTTAAAGATTGAAAAAATGTAACTCACCATGATAAAAAAAGGTGCCATACAGACCCAACAAAATTTCCACCACCAGCTAATTTCAAAACCAAGCATTCGGTGTAAATTATTGGAAAATCTATCATAACCTGTAAAATTGAAAACCTCGTCAATAAAGCTTCCATTCTGTATTCATTGAAAATTAAACAACTCACCATATATCCAAGAAACTGCGATTGATTCGCAGAAAACAGCGAACAGAATTGAATAGCCAGCAGCATAGGTGTCTAATAAATGGACTACATAAGCTCCTCCCTGAGAAAATTTAGATGTTTCATGGTTACAAAAGATTTTGGTTGCTCATCAACTCAGTTAAACAGAATCATTGAAAATTTTCTAATCTACTGAAATGATATTGTTAAATCGATAAAGCTCAATATTAATGGTGATAGCAAAGAGACACCTAATTCTCATCTGTAATATTTGCGTAACTTGGTTAGTAGTGAAAGTCCTGTGTTAGTACAACGTTAACACAATGTCTTTTGTATTGGCAAAAAATACACTTGTGTGCACTTATTTTAAAAAAATCCACTGTATTATGATTGAGTCTAATAGGGACGATTAGAAATGCATTAGGATAAAGTTTTATCGATTGAACCAATAAATTAAATCTATTCACCTGAGCACAGCTAAATTGACCAATGAAAAAGTAAAAGGTAAACAGTATAGCAACAAAAATTTCCCGGTTCTTCTTGATCAACGGATATTCATCACTCAGAGCAGTAATGATCGCCTCTGAACCTCCAAACTGAATAAAGGGAGAAATAAAAATGCTATATTAGACTGGAAGAATAAGTTTGCTGAATAGAAAAATCAGTGTGGAACGTACAGATGAATCTAATCCAAGCGTTAATAACATGAGGAAAAACATTATTGACCAAAAAGGTGCTCCAGGCATGGTTGCAATGGCTTCTGGGTAAACTACAAATACGAGACCAGGTCCTTCCGATACAACATCTTGAATTGATTGTTTACTTTTGGCAGCCATGTATCCAAGAATTGAAAAAATAACAAACCCAGAAAGAAAACTTGTTGCACTATTCACAGCACTGGTTAATAATGCATCTCGATAAACATTGTTATGAAATTCATTATAACTTGCAAAGGCCAGTAAAACACCGAACCCAGGGCCTAGAGAAAAGAATACTTGGGTAGCAGCATCAACCCAAACCTAGAATAAGATAAATAATCGTATTAATTAAATAAATATAAATCAAACCACGAAACTAAATAAAAGATAAACTTACATTTGCTTTGGTAAGAGCACTAAAATCAGGAGTTAGATAATATTTGATTCCATCTAAGGCTCCAGGCAGCCAGATTCCACGAATTAATAAAGTAATAAGAACAACATAAGGAAAAAGAGCTGTAAACCAAACCACCTAAAATTCAATTAAATTACAATTAGTTAAACAAAGAAAAGGACACAACAAATGTAAAGATAGTGGTAAATATTGATAATCAAAAGAAAGCCCGCTTCAACAATGATCAAATACAACCCCATCTATTGTTAAACCAAGTTGTTTAATAATCAATAGTAAATATCGCAATTTTGAAAAGTCATATTTAATTTATTTTTGCAATTAATCTGATATGAAATTAATTTCAACCGATTCGATAAAAATTCAGTAAATTTCATAGAGGAAGCATTGATCTATTGCTGATCTATCTAAGATCGAGCATAGGATTGATAAATAGATTGGCAGGTTACATAGGATTTTGCATATCAATTTATAATTTATTTAAAATCGACATCTAAATAGAACATAGAAAAGTAGATTTATCTTAAATTCTTATTTCATGAACCCTGAAAAGATATAGATGAAGGTTCATCTTCAAATCCTTATTGTCAACACATACATTAATCCCAGGCGAATCAAGATCAAATGCAAAATGAAGAGAAACTCGATTATCTTTGGATTTGGCCACTTCTTCCTTCCTCTTCTTTGGAATCAATTGTATAGTCTAACCCAAATTTATTGTACTGCTAATGTAGGATTAATCAATCAATTTTTTACCCTCATCATCTGACTTCGAGAGAATCAATCAAACCACAAAGTGTAAAAGGCGAGAAATAGCTATTAATCTATCTTGGCGAATCAACTTGTTTAATCATGAAATCAATTTACATTATCAAACTTTAACTTGAATAAACTCACCTTTCCTGAAGTTGAAATACCCTTCCATAGACTGAAATAACAGATTAGGTAAACAATCAACAGGCATACACTCATTTCCCATTTGATTGCTCCCAATCCATCGATACCTGAGCTTTGGTCTAGTTCAAGGATATGTCGACTGTGAGCAGAATAAAAAAATATCATAAATTAATAGTGTAATCATTCATCTTCAATCTTGAGTTGGGATAATTTGGATTTGTAAAGGGCTTGAATGATAAAAATTGTAGAAAATATTTTCTGGTCAATCTTTGGTTGAACCAAATCATAAGATTTTCTTGATGCCATAATCTATTGATTTGCTAATTTTTCCGTATACATTGGATATAATAATATATCAATGCATTTCAAGCTTGATCTACTATTAATTGATACATTAGAGGACAAGCGATTAAGATGATGTTGGTAATGTTGATTCATTTGTGGTTAAATGAAATTGGTTTTTGCTAGTGAACCAGATAATTCTTGATATATTAGAGATGAATGTATATACAAATGCTGATACTGATTGATTTAATGCCTTTATGAGCAAAAATGGTTCAATAAATATTAATATAAAAAGGTTGTACAAGTTATTATTATATTGTGGGACATCAATTTGTTTGTTGTAGCCATTGAACAACAGTTAAATGATTACCATTAATATGTGACATGAAACACTGGTAATCAATTTGAAATAGCAAATTGTTAGCAACTTACTTAAAATACTCCATTGCTGGTGAAATCCGATTACGAGTGATAGTCTCCTTTACAGTTGAATTGGGTACTAATTTGATCATCATTGAAGTAGGTAAGGGTGATGAAGATGGATATGATACAGATGAGAGAGAGGTTAAACCGGAGAAAGGTGATATTGAAGATGATATTGGAGACTCGGATGAATGAGATTGTACAGATGAAGATGGTGATGATAATAAAGAATAAGTATAATTTAATGTTGGGTCAGCTAAATTGTATTCATCAACAGTTTCATCGGTCATTGGTATTTCTGAGCAGTTATTGGTATTCCAGAGGTTATTACATCGAGTCCAAGGCAATTCGGTTGAAAATGAAGCAAAGAAAAAGTATAAAGCCCAAGCAATGATAACATTGTAATAAAAATCTACATAAAAAGCAATCAAGACAACAGCATAACCAACACCTGAATAAAGAAGAGGAAAAATATTAGATTTACAGTTTCATCTTTTCATGAATAATTTACCTTTGAGTAAAGGTACGATTCTTCCCCAACAAGTAATGGCACCTTTCCTGAAATATTGACCCAAAGCCAGTTCCATGAAAAACAATGGGATTCCTCCGATGGCCAACATAATTACATACGGAATTAAAAATGCTCCTAAGTTATGATAATAAGGAGAAAAATTGAAATTAGAAAAGTGGAAACTTAAAATTCAATTGTTATTGGATTGCTATTGAATTAAAGGGTGAAATTGATTTTGTTTGTTTGCGAATTGAGACAATTAATTGGAATGAACTTGATCACAGTTGATTGATGGTTGATACTAGGTTCACTTGTTGAGCAAAAGATTGATCAATTGTACCAGAGATTGAGTTTGATCAATTTTGTCTCGGGTTCTGGTATTGACATATCTGAACCTTCAGACAAATTCATCAATTTATACTTCAATGGGCTCATTTGCCAACCAAATTAATGAGCCCAACAATTCAGCCTACAAGCTTGCTGATTATTTGCATTTACTTGTGTTGATTAATTTGTGACAATTTCAGAGATTTCAAATCCAAACAAATCGACTACTAATCATGTGAAAAAAGCTCGATATCTTGATTGAGGAAATTGATTTTTGAAAATGTGAACATAACTGGTTGAAAATAATATATGAAGTTAGTTTCTAGGGGAGGATAAAAAGTTGAGCCAATTTAGTGAACAATCTGTTAAATCAGATAATAGTGCATTGATAGTGGAAGGTTGACAAAATGACTTACAATTATCTGATCGTATTTATTATCCTCATTTTTTATGTTATCAACTTATTGATAGCTCGAGTATACTTTGGGTTAAACGATGATTACCCAAATAATGTTCAACTCAATTTTTATCAATCTGATTTTTGAACATCCATATTTTACACGACAACAACACATCAACAAAGTAGACTATCAAGCATCTCATTATTTGAAAATTTACAATCAATATTGATTTTGTGGTTAAACTTTGCTTTTTTTGTCAAAAGGGATAAAAGATGTTGCCAGAAATTACAATCATGCTATTGCGAGGTTGATTAAAAAATTGATAAACATGGAAATGTCCATCGGAAATCTTTACCATTGTTTGGACATTTTCACCTTTGCCAATTTTTTAATCGCCGTTGAGATATGATAATTCTAAGTTTATCATATCTCCCAATTATCATATCTCAACGATGATTTACATTTTGCATGCAATTCACTAGTCAGTCTATTGAAACTGAATCATTAGACAGACCTAATGTTAGTTATTGGTTATCAATTATTATTTGCATATTCAATAACTGTTGATTAGATGAATAATTAAAGGATATCATAGTGAAAAAAGGGTCTCACCTCCACCATTTTTATAACATAAATAGGGAAATCTCCAAACATTTGAAAGATCCACAGCAAAGCCAATAACTGAGAGTAAAAAGTCAACTTTCTTGTTCCAAACTTCACGTTCACCATCTCCTGGATCATCATTGGTACCAGCATTGACACTATTATTGTTATTAGTACTACTAGAAGTAATCACAATTTCCTGATTTTCAGGATCCATTGTTACAGTTGGTCTAGCTGTTGATGCTGCAGGATTCACACACTTGTTGGTTTTATTTGTTGGATTAACTGTTAGACAAGTTGGAGCTGAAATGGAACCAGACAGAAAACCTGTTGATTGCTGATCACCACCTGATTGTTGTCCATCATCTATACCTTGCCTCGTTATAAGTCCATTCAATTTGTTAACACAATTAAAATCAAATTTACTTTGTCTACCAAATACTTGGTTTGATGAGCATAAACCCATCGGGCTATTTTCACTGCAAGTAACCATATTATGATCTGTCATAGTTGAAACCAAAACAATTGTAACAAAAGGCAAAAAGGCTTTTAACCCAAAACTGAATTAATAATTGTGAATTGATTGTGTTTTTTTCACATTTAAGTCAATGACTTTCCATTAAATCATTTTAATTAACATTGAACAATTAAAAACAATAATTAAACTGAAAGTAAACAAAGAAACAAGAAAATAGTAAATAAATAAAGCTTTAATATGCGTAAAGAAACTTAACAAAGACTTGACTTGAAAGTAAACTTAAAACTTGAAAAGAGCAACATAATGCAACAGTTAAGTTTCACTTTATTATTATGTTACAATCAAGACAATCATATCTTTAGTTTTTAATAATGATAATGATGGTTCAAGATTATCTCAATTATCTGAGCTTGTAAAGTTTCAAATAACATCAATAATTGGAAAGTTAAGTGTAGATGAAACTGTTGGCTAGTTGATTGTTTAAGCCTACAAAAAAAATAAACTGAAATCCAGAGACACAAGATAATGTTTCTATTAACGTTATATCTCATTAATTTATATACATGTAGATGCTACAATTTAGCTGGATTCTTGGGAGTGATTGTTGCCTGAGACTCGATACGATTGCGTCTTCAAGAAAAGTCAAGAATCTGATTGGTAAAAGATGAGGATTCTGGTGATGATCAGGATGAAAATGAGTCTCACAGGGGGAAAATGTTGACTTAACTCCGCCTGTAAGGAAATCCTGGATTATTGATCAAGAGATGATTTCCTGTAAATAATTGACAGATAAGATAAATACGTTTATTTTAAAGTTGATTCCTCTATTCATACAAATATACTTTAATCAGCATGTATCCATTTAGCCTACTCATTACGTTTAAATTTGAAGGGTTCACTCAAAATGTAAAAGGCAACATCAATTGTTGCATTCAATGACATTCCCAATTTAAGCTTTTTACAGTTGAAAGTTCAATGTTAGGCTTGAAGGTTGATTTCAATAATGATCCTGTGATCCTAAAGAAGCAAAAAATAATACAATTAGATGGTTAAACAATCAATTGAAGTCACAAAAGGATCAAAAATATGAAATACATTGTTACATTGCCATAGTGACTTTAGGCCTAACATTTCAAGTGAAAATGTTATTCCTATTCAGGGAGTAATATAAGTTTCCATTGTCCTTTTATTTAGTTAATCTGTTCAGTTGCCAGTTAGATTGTGAAAATCTTGTCGATTAACAATTATTACCATTAGAAGCTGAAAATTTGACGATATTTCATCTGGAAAAGACAGTTTTGTGAGACTCTACCATTGACTGGAAGCAAATTGAGTTGATTTTCAAGCATTTCACTTTGCTCCATTAATTACTAATTAATGGTTTCCCTGCCTATCTGATCCTATCATCGGATGGACTGATTTTGAACTATCACCAGTGAATAGGACAGAAGCGTACAGATGGCAAGGTTGAAACCTTCAATGTTGCCTGGGCATCAATCCAAAAGTGTGAAGACTTGAAAAGCTTTTAAAGTGGAGTAGTTTACAGTTTTCAAGATGATCACCACCATCGTTAAGATGATCATGGTAGTAATAATATTATTATTTATCATCTTGTTGCTTCTTCTTGTTGCTCAAAGAGGTAAATGGGAAGATGATGATGAAGTGAATGAAGGCGAAAAAAGTACATCTTATCTTTTAACCCAAAGAAAATGTTCAACTTTTTTGCTTCTCTTCTTGATAATACAATAGACAGAAACGATGATGATGATGATGATGATGATAGTAGCAGCGGAAGAAGGTTGGTTGAATAGACTGAGAAAAAGAGATTCAGGAAAATGGGCAAAGTGTACAATAATTCTGTATCAGAATTTCTTCTCCTTTTTTTCACTTGGATTCCCTTTAATCCCTATTGTCGTTAATAATAGATGTTTTCATCCGAATCAATTCTTTTGTCCCGTTTCTTCATCATCTTTTTACCATCCTTAATTGTATTCCAGTAATACTTATATTCATCTCGTCCTCTCCTCTCTATCCATGTATATTGTTGTTATTAACATCTACCTATAGACACCATATCAACATTATGAATTGCAATAATCAATTTACATTCAATCAATTACTTAGTTGCAACCCTGTAAATCTATGATTGATATCATTCTGATAGTGTTGATGTTAAAGATGACAATGATTATGGTTAAGGTGAAGGTGAAGGTGAAGTTGATGAGTTTACTCTTTCATGTTATTATTCCTGGGTAACCTTTACCATTGTAATACTTTCTTGAGGTTAATATTTCTTTTTTTGTTTCTCTTTGGTTTTCATGAGCAATATTATTGTTATCATGTTTTCTGTACTTCTTTATAATGGTTCGTCGATTTTATTATCATGAATATTGGTTTCTCTTCTTCCTTCTCGGTGTTTTCCTCGTTCACTCTTTAATTCTTTATCCTCTTCATTACTAGTTATTATTGGTATTAATAACTTCGCTGAGTCAATTTATTCGACAAATCTTTATTAAGCTGTTTTTTTTGGTATCCATTTCACATTTATTTCATTAATATTTATGCTTATTGTGAAAATCATCTTTTCCAAATTGAAATGGGAGCCTCTTTTTACATATTAATCCTTGAGCAACTGCTGAATCAACGGTAAACAGTTTAATCCTTGCTGCACTCATTAACTGGTAATCTTTTAATTTGTCACTGTTATTGTTCAGTTATTGACAGGTTGAAAAACAAGAAACCAGTTTCTCTGAACTCTGCAGTTACAGTAAAGAGTTTTGTCACTTCTCCTAATTACAAGTTTTTCTGTTACATTCTTGGTTGAATTTGGAGTCTTTGGTCAGAAGATGAAGTTTTGATCAATCCAGGACAGTCAGGATAATTTGATGTAATTAGTATCATTTTCCCAGGCCAATTTGTCTTGGAAAATTAACGATCAGCATTTGAACACATTGGTGATTGATTTGATAAGTAGTTTTTTAAAGCAACTGGCCTTGGTTGTTATTTTTATTTGGTTTTCTTTCTTTGAGCATTTTTTATAAAAAAACTCAGGTATCAAGTTCATTAATAACACTTGAGTGAGCCAGATTTACCTTGATTACTTTCAGACACAATAAAAAATCTAACTATTTGATCAAATAGCTGGGAGAAAAGAGTAATCAATTGTTACTTAAAACACCGGGAAAATGAAAATTTGTTTATTTATCAATTCAATAAAATCAGAACATTTGAACTTTGAATAATTCCTTCTAGATAATGTGACTCCATCTATTGCTTGTTTTTAAATCTTCTGCCTTACGATTTTAAAAATTAGATTTGAAAGAAAATATTTGTATTGATTTTATTTAATAAATCAAGATTTTTATTGACTTTTTTGCAATAAAAACACATTTAATTTGATGGGAGTTTTAATTTTGCAGATAAATTGTTAGAAATGGAAATACAATGTAGAATTGTTGCTCGTTGAATAGTGGAAATAGCCTATTTCAACATAACTCATCTTCTTGTTTACATTTGTTTACTAGTTTCTAGATGGTTTTTTTAATTGTCAATTCATAAATTGTCTATGATATATTTTCATCTACTTTGTTGGAATCGCAATATTTAATTGGTTTTTCATCCTGGAGCCTGAGAAGTTGAACTGTTAAATAATTTAATTGGAAAGAAATGTGATTCGTCTAGCAAAATACATAACAAGAATTTCAACTCTTGTCAACTGGAAAGTTTCTCATCAACTGATTGTTTACATTTTTATTTTCTCAGTTTCTGGTAAGATTAAATTATTAACCAATTTTCAATTCGTTTGTTTCAATTGACATGTTGCTGATATATATTGTTAATATATTAAGAAATTTTACCCAGAAAGTATAACGTTTGTTTCACTTTTGATAAACTGTAAACTGTGTTTTTATTGTAGTAGGTAGAAGAGTCTTACGCCTGCCAAAAAGTGTGGTTTAAGGAATGAGCGGAAGAAATGATGACTAACTGAATAGAAAGAGAAATAGAAAGTAGATTGAAAAGGATGAAGGAGGATGATGTGAAGATGAAGAGAAGAAGAAAACAGTTTATATACAGAAAGAAAATGTTGAAGGGAATCTGAGTTTTCTAAATATGGTCATAGCTAAATCTATTCATAATCTTTATTTTTCAGTTCTTGTTCGTCTTTTTAATTTCAAATTTTCAATCTATTTTTTTACTAAATAATCTCAATTGTGGTCATCAAAGTTAATTTTAAAATAAACATCTTTTTTCTCTTCCTTTGTGCCTGATCAAATGTAAACTGGAAGTATTTTACAGTAAACTTTGACTTTGTTATTACCAAATTGGACTACTTCATAATCTTGAATAATCAACTATGGCTGCTTCACCATCAACCCCACAAGCAGATAAATCTGTTTTAGATTATCTTGGTACAATTGGTCGTCGGAAGAAAATTAAGGAAGGATTAGAAGGTAATTAATAATAATTAAACAAACTAACTGTTAAGTCTAACGGAATTACAATCATTTCAACATTGATAACTAGAGTGAAATCAGTCATTCACTTTGACTAGTAATAAATTTTGACATTTCAATTTTTAGCGTTTCTAATCTTTTTATATTTACCATTTATTTACAGTTGAAGAACTCGAAAAGGAAGGTAAAGATGCCATTGATGGACCAACGTTGAGTCCAGCCATTGAAAATGGACCAGAGGAATACATTTTGGGTGGGTTTCCCGTGATAATCAGCATCCAGTAATATGATTAATGATAAATTGTTTTATCTGTTTGATTAGGTGAATATGAAGAAAGAACCATGTTGGAACCTTCTTTCAATCACAACCGTGAATATCAGGAGCTATTGAAAATTCTGGTTAATTGGATCAACGATGAGCTTGTGTAAGCAAAACATCAATCAACAATTTGCTCGTTCTTCATTTAACAAGTTCATTTTAATATTTTTTGTACAGAGATGAAAGGATAATTGTAAAATCTTTACCTAATGATCTTTATGATGGACAAATTTTAGGCAAACTGGTTGAAAAACTTAGGTAAGTTGGCCTGACATTTTAAATATGAACTCTTTTAATTAGTCTAATGTTTCATTTTTATTTTAATTTATATTTAGTGGCCAAAAATTGGATGTGATTGAGGTTACTCAAAATGAGGATTTACAAAAATACAAATTGAGAGTTGTTTTGGAAACTGCTAATCGTCACTTGGGTTTACAATCAAAATGGGTTAACAGCAAATGGAGTGTTGATGGTAACTATCAGTTTAAATTAGTTCTGGGTCACACTGATCTATTATTGTTTACATTTTATTCATTCTATGTTTTCCATTCATATAGGAATACATGATAAAAATCCAGTTGAAATTATTCATCTTTTAGTTGCTCTGATTCGTCATTATCGAGCTCCAATAAAGCTTCCTGAAAATGTTTCCGTTCGCGTTGTCGTCGTCCAGAAACGAGAAGGCCAATTACATACTCGAACAGTTACTGAACAATTAACTGGATCATTTGATGAACTTGGCATGAGAGTTGAACCCAGAGATGCCTTTGATACTCTATTTGATCATGCTCCAGATAAATTACAAATTGTTAAACGATCGCTTGTTAACTTTGTTAATCGCCAATTAAATTCAATCAACATTGAATGTTTCTCAGGTCCGACTGGTTCCGATTTGGATGCAAATCAATTCAGCGACGGGTTACTTTTAATTTTTTTGATGGGCACATTAGAAGGCTATTTCGTTCCGTTGGGTAACATTTATACAACATCCGATGTTGATCCATTGGCTGATAATTTGATTGGTAAAGAAACTGCCTTATCATTTCATAATTACATTAATTGTTCACCCATCAACAAGCTGCACAATGTCAACGTAGCTTTTCAGTTAATGGAAGATGCTGGTGTTTATGTAAGTTAGGCTTGTTAATTTTATCACAAGTAGATAGAAACGTACTCCAAATCTGTTGATAAATAATGTTAATTAATTTCTTTATTATCTTTTTCCTCAAACAGGTTAAAAGCAAAGTTCGGGCTGAAGATATTGTCAATGCTGACCTGAAATCCGTCCTTCGAGTATTGTACACAATATTTGATAAATACAAGCATCACTAAATTGAACCTGAAAATTTTTGGCCTAAAATCCAGCAACATTCAATACTAAATGATCAATTATCTAAAGTCTAATTTGGATTCAATTAAACTAACCTTTATGATTGCCAATTATTTTTCTTTGTCTTCTCCTTGGATGATTAACAAAACCAGCTTAAAGGTACACATTTAATTTAAACATTTTATTTACTGTATTTTTGCCTGTCCACAAATCTTACCGTCACTATTGATTAAGTTATTGTTACTAAATGGAAAGTACACCATTAATTGTTGATGAAATTATTGTTAATATCAATTAATATTATTAATAATTAGTTTCTATCTTAAATATGAGAACAACTCAATCCGAGACAATTTTCAATTTTGATGAAAATTTGAATTTTATTATTTCATATTGACGGTTTTCGGTCAGCAATTTATTTTTGACCAAATTGAAATTGATTGTTACAAACTTGAGTCGAGAAGTGACCACAATCGAAACCAAATTAAATACAAAATTGAATAAAATAGATCAATGGCTGTCATTAACATCATCATTGCACTTAGATTAATATTATCTAATACTCATTCCAAAGCCTAATCAGAACTGATTTAAATGTGAGGACGATTGTACTGGAAAATACATTTTCTTGTCCCTATTGAGTATAGCTTAAGTTCAGCCGTTGATTAAAGATGGCATCCTTCATTTGAAATGGTGAAAAATCGTAAGAAAATAAGTAAATGGAAAAGAAAAGGAATAATGATTCTGATAAGAAGCAAATTTAATTTGATAGACAACTTAAAGTTGTTAATTTCTCAAGGTATTCCCCGACAAGTCTCAATGAGGAAGGTCAATTTTAACATGTAAAAACTAAATGGTCACTTTTTTAGTTGAGACAAAAACAGGAAAATTTTTTGGTCATCATGAAACGAACCATCAATTTTATCCTTTCGGGTCAGGAAACGGAATCTTTTCTTTTTTCTCTCTATTCTTTTATATAAGATTCTGATTGATTTGCCATTCACATTTTCATCATTTCTATCCATTTGGAAATACGTGTGTTTATCATTCATCATCTGTTACATCCTTTTGTAATTATTATTGTCTTTGGTTCGTCATTTTGACAGTCCAGGTAAATTGTGTTAGCCTAACAACTTGACATTGCCAGTTACTTCTTGATAGTTCAACCTAATTTAGTTCAATGACAATCATTTTTTGGATTTTTGACCGTTTTTACTTGGTTTACTTGATCAAATCATTGATTAATGGCTGTTATTGTCCTTGGATAATTAATAAGCTGGAAGTAAAGCTTATGAAAAGTGGCAAAGTAAGATGAAGCAAAATTGTCTCATGGCAGTCAACTCTAATAAACTTGAACCATCAGATAATCGGTTTTACATAATGATAATCAAGGGCAATCGATGTAGTTAATATCGTTTTGTAATAGTTAACGAGAACCTGATCAAAATTAATAGCAAGTAATGTTAAAGATAACTTGAAGAGCCGATTGATCAAGTTAAGAGTCGTTATGGATAAAAATAAAAAGAAAAAATAAGATAAATATTTATCTTCTCTGTTCGTCCCTATTTAACTCATTTGTCCTCTATTCATTTGATGCATAATTCAATTTTACCATGATGACAACTTCAAATGGTCTTGTATTTCTGACTTGTCTGAATAGTCTGAAGATTGATCATGAAAGAAGTAAAAATGAAAGCAAATCATCATTGCTGGAAAAGAAATGAAAGGAAATTATGATTGCTACCAGGTTAATAACAACTGTAAAAATTGTGATTCGATGAACATTAAATTGCAGTTATTACCTCTTAATTTGAATTTGTTTCAAGTTTGATTAGAGTCAATGATTATAAAATGAAACTGAGGTTTATGGTAACAAAAAAATGATGAATGTCTTATTACTTGTGACAGAGAAACGAGACATTAACTAATGAATTACTTCACGGAAATTGTTAAAAGTAAATTATAATTTAGTCAAAATTTTCACATTTTAAATAATTTTTTTTTCGGTGGCAAAGTGTTCAATTGAGTTGGATTTTTTTACAATAAACTCTCGAAAAGTTTGAATTCCAATAGGATGTTTGATAAGTAAGTATAAAATCAAATGAATCAATAAAATAGGTGGCTTTTTTAAATCTCTTTGTTCCTTTTTTTCACTTACTCAATTAATTTTGTAGCTGTTAAAACTTCGCTCGGTTTTGTTTTGTTTTCCTTGTTTTATTAATTAGTATTTGAAATATTTGTTTCTAATGTATTAATTGAGTTAATTGCGTTATTTGTTAAAAATAATTCACTTGGATTAGGAGCTTTTTTGGTGCTTAGCTTCCTACTATATTCACTTTGAACTTTGGCTCTCAATTCAGGTTTCACTCGTTGACGTTTTAACTGTCCATCCCATTCAAGATCAACTAACCCACCACGACGAGCAATTGCTTTTTTAACTCTATTGGCAAAATCTACAGCAGACTCATGGTCCTAGATGGAAAGGAAGATGAAATTGAAATAATTGTTAATAGTAAGCCAAAAATAAACATTTCAATAAAATATCATGGATTATACTCACTTCTCTTGTCATAGGTTTCATGTACCAAACATCACAGACAATCGCCCAACTAGTCATCATTCTGATGATATATGTAAAATAACCATATTTACTTGAATCCCAAAACGGATCACCAAAAATTTGATCATATTTAATGGCAACCGGATAAACAACATCGGCAACTTCAAAGCTACCTTTTTTAAACATCATTACAGCTGAATTGTTGATACAAGTCCCTTCTGGGAAAATAAGGATAGGTAACTTTTTTGGGTCCATAATGTGTTGTCGCATTTTCCGAACAACAGCACTGCGATCATTAACCTCAAATCTATCAAAGAAACAATGTGAGGTGGCACGGTTAAGAGCGGTCTCTATGAGTCCAAGGAACCCTCCATGAAGTTGTCCGACTATTGCATACGGATTATCATTGTGAAGTATGAGTACATCTAAAGGTGAAGTATGGTTGGCAACACATAACGAACCTCCTTTAGGTTTATATTGAGTGTCGTGGTAATTTATGGTAGCAGATAAACTTCTTGAAAGCATTCGGAAGGCTATCACACTGGTATGATCATAAAGCCATTTTTTAAATGAACATTCTTTTAAAAGTCCAACCAAAGCCATGGTAATAAGTAAGTAAAGCATACCAAAAACGAATATAAACATTCGAATAGGAAACAGGACACAAAATCTAAAAATCCAGCCAATGGACCAAAACAAAAGTAATTTATAAGATACATTAAGATAATTTTTGTTGGTTCTCGTTAATAAATTCCATGTTTGCAATTCTTCAGTTGAAAAACGTTTAGTCACTTCATCGTCTGCTACAGCTTCAATACCACGAACAATAAAATCAAAAATATCAGATAGAACAAACTCGTGTACATAATCTCCATCTTCATTATCATTACGAAGGAAAAAGTCTTTGATCGCGTTACGCTTTTCTTCATGGTCTTTCTTGTCATCTTCATCAGATGATGTTTCTAAATCAATACTTCTCAATTGATGAAGCCTTGTTTTCCTCTCTTGTTTTTCAATTGTTTGCCGGCAAAACTGTACAGAAAAAGGTGAAAAAAGGAGAATAAGAATAAGTTAAAATATAATAAAATGTAATGATAAGCTTATCAATCTTTAAATGCAAGGTGTAATCAGATGATTTAGAAATTGGTTGGAGTTGAGAAAAGGAAAAGGATAGAGATTCATATACAGCATCGAAAGTAAAGTTAGAGCTGGTTACGTTATCTTTTGCACATTGTTTGGTAACCAAGAATATTTTAGTAGTCCATTTTTAGAGATAAATTAAGCACAATCAACATCAACCTGAGGCTCATTGGTTAAGGCATCGAATCGTTGTTGGATTGTGTTGATTAATCTCAAAAATGGACTACTAAAATATGCTTGGTTACCAAACAATGTGCAAAAGATAACGTAACCAGCTCTAACTTTACTTTCGATGCTGTATGTCATCAACACCTTAACATGGAACTCAAGCTTAAGTAAAGCGTTAAATGTTATCATTAGTTCTTCTGACAGTCAATCTCCACTTAGTTTAACCGATAATACATTTTTTTCGGAAGATGGATCATGATTGAATTCATCAAGATCGAATAAGTATCTAATGAACAGAAAATAACTAAACAAAACTGAAATAACTGGTTAGGGATGAAAAATGAGAACACCAATGCAGCAAAAGAGTTAAAAATGCTTACCTCAAATATTGACATCAAGAGCTTGATGTAACACCGACTGATTCCCGTTTTGATTCCAAACGTTGGTATGATTAAAAGATAGACCGATATTATAAGAGGTGTATAAGTAATTACGTATAGCCATAACTCTCCAAGACAGTTGAACATCATCTTGGATTTATGGAATTGATTTTCAATTTGAATCTAAGATAGATGAGGTTTGGAGAGTTGAGTTTTGGATCGGTCAACAATTGAGAAAAAATTATTCTTCATTATTGAAAAACATTAATTATAAGATGTTAATACAGAGAGGCCTATTAATTAATACTTCAAACAAATATGTTGTCATTTCTCTCCCAACAGCTTTTATTTTCAAACAGAATACGTTACAGTACTGTTCATGTTTTACACATGCCCACCGCAGTTGACTTCTGCGGCCCGCAACTTTCAAATTACTTTGAAAGAGCAGTCTGAGTTCAAGACCCAGTTAGGGAAGGATTTGTTACAATATTTTTACGACAGTTTTGTTCATTACATGGAAGTGATTACAAGTTATTTTTGTTGGGTTTTTGTCTTCGAGTTTTCAGTTACATTAATTTACTTAAAGATAAGGTTTAGTTGGGTAAGGGAGCTACAAGATTATTGGGTTGTTGGGTTTGTGTCAGTTGTTTTTGCTAAAAGATATTTTCGTTTATAAAATAGGGTAGTTCGGTCAACTAAAGGGTTTATTCTTGATTCACATGAATCGAGTTTCTTTTCAAGTTTAGTGAAGATTTTTCTCAATCCCATGGTGATGTTTGAGTCAATTCGTCTAATTCCTTGAAATTTCCATTCGCTAATTCCATTTCTTTCTTGCTCAGTTGTTTTACAGTCGTTGAGGTAATGATGTAAGGTTTGATTCTTCCGTTTGTAGAAGTTCAAAACTCTTATTTTGATGTTGATGTTTGCAATTAGTTTAATTACCTCTTCGGCGTACATATCGCCAATCATTCCATAGTCAATTACATTCAGTTTGAAACTAAAGAAGTTACCAATTGAGCCATCATCTTTGATAAAATTGTCCTCAAAGAATTGGTCTAGTTTGTCCTCAACACCTTTCATGAAGGCATTCCATGAGACAATTTTGTTTTTTACCGTCTTTAAGATACCTTTTGGTTTATCAATGTTGTTGAATTTGTCACACTTCATCCAAAGAAATTTCTTTTGATTCATATTACATAGATTGGCCACAAAGGAGGCTGAGAAAGATTGAGGATGTTCGATTATTATTTTTGGTAGGATGTAAGTGCAGTTGATGTTTTCTGTAAGTTTAACCATGATATAAACAGCAAGAAAGTGATTTTCCCGATCGCCTTTAGTTTCAAGGATGCGATAGAAATGAACCCCATTGTGAGCGGTAATTTGAATGATTTCACCTTTCAATTTATATCCAATTAAAGGAAAATTTTTCAAGGGTAGAGGTGTTTGCTTCTTGTAAAAGACCTCCATATTTGGTCTCTTAATGAAGAGTGGAAGAGGTTCAAAGTGTTTGATGAAAGGCCATCTTTTGATGTCCCTTGAAGATCGGAGAACAGCGATTGTTACGTTCTTTATCCAATACTGTAGAGGATTGTTTATTCCCATGATCGCTATTGGGGTCCAAGCTGAGATGTGTCGAGGAGAGCGGATAATTTTCTTGAGAAAAACATTAACGCGATGAATCATTTTTGAGAAGAGTGTCAGGAACTCAGTATTGTCGATAAGAATTTGAGGAGATATGGAACCAAGTAGAGAGGCAACATAAGCATTGACGATGTATTTTTTGAGAACCAGTGGTAATGTGTAGATAGTCTCCTTGTTCCTTGTTAGAATTGTCCCATTAATTTCTAGTTGTTCATCGATGTTGAGAATAGTTGGTTTGAAGTTAAAGTTCACACCCACGATTTTGGTTGATGCTTTGGATGAACCTTTGATTATGTGTGATTTATCTTTATTTAGGGTTAAGTTGGCCTTTTTAAGTTCAACTTGAAGGATATTAAAGATTTCTTCTTCTTTGCCTTCTTTGGTTAGAATGAACAAGTCGTCAGCAAACGCCATAATGTCGATGTTTCTCATTTTTACCAAGCGAATGACTTTGTTGAGGGCCACTATAAACAGAAGTGGACCAACACTAGAACCCTGTGGAACCCCGAAAGGGTCCGGTTTAAATTTGAAGGAATTGTGTACCTTGGTCCTTAGCCACCGACCGTGAACAAACTGTTTAATCATTTCAATATCAGATTTTGGCAATACCCGAGAAAGTTCATCTGTAGCATAATCAATGTTGACCATGTCGAAGGCTTTCGAAACATCCGCACTTATCAGGATTTTCTCTTTACTCCATTTCTCCGACAGGATTACATGTAGGTCCATAATATTGATACCAGTTTGATAGGCAAATTGCGTTTGTCTTATTAAAACATTACTCAAGACTTTCTTGATCCTTTTGGAGAGAATTTTATCATAAATCTTCAAGATGTAGTTGGAGATTCTGATTACACGAAAAGTCCCATTTGGTTTGGGAATAAAGTGAGCCCCGAATATTTTGAGAGATTGGGGAATGTAACCTTTCTCAAAGGTTATCTTGATGAGTTGTATGAGTTGTTCCTTGTTGTTTGACCAAAAAAGTTTCCATGTTTTGGCAGTGAAGTTATCAGCATAACCTGAACGCTTCTTAAAGATCATCTCTCTGATCGCAACTTCCTCTTCATTTGTTAAACAATTTGTTTCAGTTCCTGACGTATAAGTAAAATAAGGATAAGAGTAGATGAAGCCCCAAAGTTCCCTTTGCCTGCAATCGTCATCTGACAATAGAGCAGATAAAGTGTCATTGGGTTTCATAATTCTGTTTATAATGGGCCAGGTAACTAACGGATTATTGAGGTTTTTCATTAGATATAAAAGAGTGTTCTTCCTCGTCTTCTCCCTTTCTATTTGCTCTTGTTGTTTTAGATCTCTTACTGTTTCATTAATTTCTTCTGAGAAGTTATGTTTATTGAATCTAGATAGTTGTTTGATTCTTTTTCTAAGTTTCATTAGCTTGAGATTGTATTTTTTATACTGAATCAAACATTTCTTGTTATTGTCAAAGTTAGCGCTTAATATTCTTCTAAAAGTTTGGTCTATTTCATAGTTGTTAGTCATGTCTATTTTCATTTTCATGTTGAGATCTTTTATTGGAGTGAAGTATGACTTATATTTTTGAAACTGAAGTTTTTCATGAAAAATAACACTAAAATAAAAGCTAACCTTCATCATTCTATGATCTGTTACGAACTCTTCTGTTAGGTCAAAGTCCCTAGTCTCAATGTTGCCCAAAATCAAATCTATCCAAGAGACATGATTTTGTCGTTTGAAGGTGTAATTGTCAGCATTTGAAGGGAAGTTGTAAATCGAAAGAGAATGTTTCCAAATAAACTCACTCAGGTGTGTTGCTGGATCCTCACTGCCATAGCGAAAAGAGTTTTTACTTGACCATAGGTGATGTTGACAGTTGAAATCGCCAGCTATTATGATAGGGAATTGAAGATATTTTTCAATAAAGGTAGTAAAGCGTCGCATTTGTGTCTTTAAATCAGATGGATTGATGTAAGCTGAACACACAAGAATGGCTTCCTTTCCATTTCCAACCAGAGCTAGTATAATGTTCGGAATGGTTGTATTGTAACCAAAGATTCTTAAGTTGTTGGACACAATTAAAACAGTTTGATCATTTGCAATGATGTTTTCTTGAGACGCTTTCCTAAAAACAGTTCGCCTATTTGCCTCTACCATAGATCCAATCGAATCATTTGTTTTGAGAATGATGTTGATCATGTCTCTTGTTTCCTTGTATTTTTTACCAACGTTGCAGTGGAACAGTCGAATATTCCAGGGGAAAGCTTGGTGATAAGTGCAACCAGTCTGAGTTGATATTGTAGTTTGCTGCTGCATTTCGAATCTTTTGAAAAAGTTTCGGACACTTAGCAGACAGGGTACAATGTTTGACCTTTGTTGGAAAGCAGCTGGCACAAGTAAACTCACGATCTGCTGGGGATGTTTGACAAATTTGTGAGTCGTGTAATTGGCAACACAGTCGACAGCGAGGAGACTTATCACAAGTGGTGTAATAATGTTCAAAACACCAACAGTTTTCACAGACGATGATTCCAATATGATCGTAGCACTTAACCGTGAATTGCAGAAATTTAATCCAACCGTCGTTGTCTAGGAGCTTGTCCCTATTTTGGTTACTGATTTCAAGAATTAGTGTGATATCAGTTTGGGTTGGTCTCAAGATGCTTTTCACTTTGGTGGTATCGTCGTCAATCCAGTTGTTTTGAGACTTGATGATTTTCTCAATGTTTTCTTTTGAGGGATTGTTCAATTGTGTTTGAACACTAAATTTGACCTGAGGTGGAAGGATGCGTCGTCTGTTGATTTTCCACTGGGGAAAGAGTTGTTGAATACTATTGCAGTAAGAATCGATGAAATTTTCACTGTTCACAAAGATAATCACAGTAGAACCAAATTTCTTGATGTTTCGGATTTTTTGTTGAGGTTCACCAACACTTCTTAGAACCTGATAAAGAAGACGTTTAATTTGAGACGAGCTTGTTATTGGTTTATTCTCAGAATCACAAATTTCAATTGAGAGACCAATATTTGGAGACACAGATTTAATAGAGACCCAACCAAGTCTTCGAGCTTGTAACTCACGATGTATTCTGGTTTGGATGTTTGAAACACTTGCTGGCATGAACATATTAATAATTTTCAGACGAGAGAGTTTAAATTTTGAACTTGTTTGTGTGATGGTTCAGGATATGAGTGAGAAAAAATTTGAAATCTGAGTGTATTTGAACTATCAATTTAGCAGAGAGAGTCAGGAGTTAAGTGGTAGGTTTTGAGATTTGAGACTTAAATTTTTGTTATTATGGTAATCTTGTTACTTTCGAGATTATTCATTTTCAGAAGTTTTCGTTTAGCTGTGAGAACTGAGAGGTTTAGTATTACTTGTTAATTGAATTAACTTTCTGGAGTTCGGATTTTTATTGCCTGGGAAAGGATTTCTTAGCTTATTAGTTCGTAAGAAAAACTAAGCTTGTTTTTCAGTTAAAGTTTCAAAGAAAGGGGTTCTTAAGATTGGTTTGATGTTTGTTCATTAGGGCAATTGGATTATAGTTTAAGAAGGGTTAAGAAAGTTGAAAGGATTTGACTTCTCTATGTTAATTGAATTAGAAAACTAGCCAAAGCTAGTTCATAATTAAAGTATAATTATAATTAGTTTTTTCGAGTTCATGTTTTAGTTTTATACGATAAACAGGACATTGTTTATCCCAGACATTGGTTCCCTTCTGCATGCAATTATGGCAATATTGTTTATCAGGTTTACTTTTGGCTTCGCAAATTCCAAAATGATTGGTACCACAATAACCACATCTTGTAACAAGTTTACATTTACCAAAAGCATGACCAAAAGAACAGCAACGAGTACAGAATTTGATATTGAAGAAATCTGTAGCTTGAATGAGGCTAGAACCAATATTGATAAGACCGAATTTTCGTTGTATCTTTTCTCTGATATCAGGTGAGATTGATAATATGATATCAAACAATCCGTTTCTTTTGTAGAAGTAGTCGAGTTTAGCAGCATTTTCCGGCCAGTTATTGCGAGCATGCAGAAGGTTTAGCCAGTTTTCAAATTCCTTACTTTGCTCAGGATTAGCTTTTATACCATTAAGTTTTATCATTGGATTACGGAGTTCGGGAATGGTGATATCCCATTCTTTTAATTCGGATTTTAGAAATTTGAACAGTCTGGATCTACTTGGTATATCGATGCACTTGATTTTTAAGCTTTTGTAACCTTGTTCTACTTCAATTATTCCACCTACATCTGTGGCTGTTTTTTCTAGAATATTATCTAAAATGGCTTTCATCTGTTGAGGAATGCTTAGATTGTTTAGTCTTGTATTGATTCTATCGTTTTTTAGAACAATTAATGGCCAGATTTTGATGTCACTGACATCAAACCATGATTTAGGGTTAGATAATCTCGAGAAGCTTTGACAGATTTTCTTTTTCTGAGCGTTGTTGGAAAGTTCACTTGGACTAATAGAAATTGTGCCATTAATCGGCGAATTATCATCTTCTATTGAATAGTTTAATTCCTCTCTAAAGGTAGTACATTGAGCTATATCTTCCGCTGATGATCTGTCTAACCAGTTGTTACTAGTTAACATTTTGTCTAAGACTTGAGAGAAGGGAAAGTTTCTGATTTTCTTAATTATTTTGTCCCTATTACTATCAGTTATTTTATTGAGCTTAACAAATTCAAGGCATACTGCAAATTTAATTTCATCAGACACCGTAGTGTTGTTCTTTTGTTGGTTAAAGAGAGGTAGTAAATAACAGCATTAAATTAGATAACTTTGTCAGTACGTTTACTCATTAATTGATTATTCAGGAGAGTTACTAAAACTTACCAAGGAATTTAGATTTGGAAGAGCCATACTTTTACTCTGATTCTTCGAGTTACCACTTGTTAGACACGGTTAGAAACTGGTTAAAAACTGTTGTAAACTGATTTAACACAATTTTTGATTGAGAGAAATGATGAGGACACTGGAAGTCGAGTTGTTGGTCACAGTATTTGATTAAAAACACAATTAAATCACGTAATTAATTAAAAAGCTTAATTTTTTTTAAAAAATCAACCTTTCAGCTTCAAAATGAATCAAAAAAACAGAAAACTCACTCTAGTGATTCGACTTGAGTTGAATGATAGCAGATGGCGCTTTCCCTCGCATCTAAATTTTGTGGGATTTTTGAATTTTGTTAGATTTTCTTTGAATAAATTTCAGTAAATTCACCTAACATTGTAAATTAACGAAGAAAGTGATTATTTTTAATTCAGTTGAATTTTTTACATATTTTTCCAAGATATTTGTGAAATAAGTTGACAATGTCTATCTTAATCATCTTTATATGATTGGTTTTTGTTTGGTTTCTAAGATTTAAATTAAAATATGAATGTAAACATAAAAGCTTTTTGGCCAAGTGAAAATGTGCTGGATTCTCGTTGTTACCTGATTAATGGATTGTTTGATTTTGGATGGTATCAAACTTGAATACTCTTGAATACTTGTCTAAAGAAACAGTTTATGGTAAAATCCTGAATGACCAGGTAATGAAGCAGAATGTGAAACATATGAAATTTAAAGTGAATTTGAAAAGATCTCAAATTGACCTGACCTCAGTACAATGTAAGTCCCTCTGAAAATAATATCTCTAATTACCAATCTCTTTGTTAAGTTGCTTTATAATTTGCACAATTGTTCACAACTATTCAGTTTAACAATATAACTGAAAAGATGATGAAGAATGGAAACGTTTACCGAGCAATTAATTTTACACTTTTTAATCGTAAATCTATTGATGTTGACTACTGTCAATTCAAATTGCTCAACTTTCGGTTTATCCTTTTTCTCTCTTTCTTTTCACCTTTTTGACACCAGGCTGATGATTAAAGATCACCAAAGTACAATTGGGTCGAGTTGGGTCACAAAATATTCATCTAACCAAACCTTCAAATGTTTCAATCTTGACACTCAATGATCTTAATCAAATGGAATCACTTTAATTTGAAGATTCAAACCGAATGCTTCAGATCTTGGATTTCATCAATCACTAAAACCTTTACATTGATGTCTTACAGCTCGGTTAACATTTTCCTCAATCATCCTGGACATTAAAGTAAAACAAATCAATCCAAGAAACATATTGTGATAACTGTTTTATAAGCCATTTACCATCCCTTTGTAACATTTTTATATCATCGCTCATCGCTGTTTTATAAATCTGTGTTTTTCCCTCATCTCGTGTTCAAATATTATGTGATGTGCCAAATTTTATTCTGGTCCCATCATTGGCCAATTCATCTTTACATGATATGAAATTTGGATTACTACCATTAATTACAATACTTTGTGTTTACATGATTTCAACTCATGTTGATGCTTGCCGTGGTAATCAAAAGTCAGTGAGTTACATGAAACAAGGAGGCAAAGTGTACAAAGTAGTTGAGATATATAAGAATAACAGCAAGAAAAAGTGCAAGAAAAAGTGCCTACTAGCAGACGACGATGATGATGATGATAGCAGCAATTCAAATCTCGATTTTTTAAGACTCAGAGGAAATAAGAAAACTAAGAAAACGAAGAAAAAGATTAAACAGAGAGTCGAAGAGGATGATGAAGATGACGACGACGATGTTGAGGAGGAGGTGAAAGAAAAAACTACAAAGAAGAAAAAGAAGAGAAAAACTGAGAAAAGTGAAACAAAAAAACCAACGAAAAAGAAGAAAAAGAAAAAAAATGTCGAGGAAAAAGATGACGATGAAAAAGACGACGAAAAAGATGATGAAGAAGCAGATGATGATTGAATGCATTGAAAAATTGTCAACAATGAATATAGTAAAGATGTTTCTATCTCGTTCAAATTTTTGTAATTTATCAATAAATAATTTTGCTCCAAAAATTTCTTGACTTGAAATGGCATTCCATTGTAAACTAATGGTTCTGAACTTTGAATAAAGTAATTAACCTTTTCGATCTCCATGTATTTTTATTTCTTCAAAATATATATTTATATATATTCTTATAAATTTATTTTGTAGACCTTGATACAAAAAGATTATTAATGATTATTATATTATTACGCAGAGTAGTTGTTTAGTATATTTTTTTGGTTCCTCGTTCATGACATATTCACCTTTTTCAGATTTCAATCAAATTGTCAAGTTTTTTTGCTTATAATTGATGAGAGTACTTAATTTCTTTGAATGAGTGTTGACTTATTTTTTGTTGAGTTCATTGATTGAATAGCAGAATCAGATGGCGAAAAAAGAGATGAATGTTATTTACTCGGAATAATTCATCTGGTTTTGATTGTAGTTCAATTTACGTTAAATTCTGTTGCAGGGACAAAAGCGATAAGTTCGTGTGTAGATTATTGATATAAAATCAATATAATGGTTGAAATAGTTAATGAATAGATTTTGGAATAAATTTTTCCAAGGACTTCGATAAATTTGCAGGTTGACTTTAAATCACTTTTTGCTTGGGTGAAAAGAAATTGACAGCTTTGACAAGCATTTTCAAATTAGAAGCTCTCATAATCAAATCAAGACACTGGTCATTAAATTGTTCACAAAGCCAAACTATCAATCCATCAACTGGTCCTGTACATCGATAAAATTCAAGTGGGCTAGAGGCAGTCACAGCTTCTTCAATAGCCTCAGAAACCTCTTTCAGTTCAGATCGAGCCAACTTAAAATGGCTAGCCAATGATTCTTGAAGCTCGGTTTTGTATTGTTCACTATAAAATGATTTCACTTCATCGCTGGTAGTCTTCCAACAAGCATTTAAATCTTCCTCCATTCTTTCCTCTTTGGTCATATCAGTTTTATAGCATAAAGGCTCGATACAAACAACTTTGACTCCGAAATCCGTCAGTTCTCGTCGAAGGCCATCAGTGTAAGATTTTAAGGCATGTTTGCTCATACAATATGGAGTCAATCCTTTCAATGTAAAACGACCTGAGCAAAAGACAGAGCAACAAATTAATTTCTATCATATCTGAAAATGCGATTAAAGCAAGAATTACTTACCGAAAACACTAGAAACATTCACAATTCTTCCCTTTGAACGCCTTATCAATGGTAAACAAGCAGAGATAACTCTTATAGCTCCAAATAAATTAACATCCATCACTTTGCGGATACGGTTTGCATTATTGTCCCATTCAATAGCACCATAATCCACAATACCAGCATTATTGATAACAGCCCAGAGAGTAAGATCAGATTCTTCAATTTCTTTGATTGCAGCATCTATATCATCTTCTCTGGTAATATCAAGACTTAAAATTCTCAATCTATTTGAAGTAGTCTTGTACAATTTTTGGGCACCCAGACCTTTAGGTTGCAGGCATCCAGCAAAAACATGGAACCCATATGTATCTAGAGCTTTGGCTGCCATCTGACCAAAGCCAGAATCACATCCTGTAATCAGAACGGCTTTATTGATTGGTGAAACAAAAGTTAATTGACACCAGTTCCTAATAACTTTTGAGATTTGCCATGAAATGTGTGGGAGTGCGAAAAAAAATCCGACCAATTTGATGAGACCATTAAGACCCGTTAAATGGTTAGATAAATATAATACGATGGCAAAAGTGATTAAAAATATTCTCCACAAAGGATGCCAAGAAGTGAATCCCATTGTTAAAAACTGGGTGACTAGTCAGATATAAAACCAATTTGGCAGGTTAACTGATGAAGATGATTATTTGTAATGGAGATGATCACAATAAATTAGACACTGCAATTATCACATGAAAAGGTAGACATCCAAAAACCAAGCACTTAATGTCTGAGCGTGAAATACTAATGATTAACTCTGTCACAGTGATTGTTTATGTTGATAGTGTGAGTATGTTTACAGCTAAACAGATAAATGAAGAAAAATGAGAGAAAAAAATAAGTGAAAGTGAAAAGAATCTGAATCAGAGTGAAAAGGAAACATTTAAAATGTAAATTCAGTCTACCAGATCAATATGAGCAAGTATTGTCACCGAATGAGACCGGATTTGCAGTAAATTAACTTGATAGCTTTCCCTTTGTCCATCACTGAATCAAGTCTGCTGACCTTTATAGTATTAACCACCTACAATAAGTAATAATAGGTGATATTAAATTAAAAAGACACCGTTCCTTTTCAACTCTATTACACCACTAGACCTTGAACTTAACCACTAAACTGTATGACACAAGCTTTGACAATTAATTTGGAAAGCAAATATACTATTTAACATTACCAAATCACTAATTCTGTCCAGTTAAATTGAAATAATCACATAAACAGCAATGGTCATAAGGGTAGACGAAGAGCCTGAAAAGTGAAAGCTATCAATAAATGAAAACATCTGCTGGATTCAGCTTTTGCAGAGACTTACCTATGATTTACAGGATAACAATGGGTTGACAATAAAGCACAATTATAATTAGTCAATACTTAAAGATTCAACATAATTAATGTCAATAAATCTAATTAATGTCATGATTAGTAACTCATGACATTGAACAATAATTAATATCCTGTTAGCCGAAAAATCAAACAAAAGACCAGTTTGTGTCTGTAATCACATGTTTTTCCTGCGCATTTGTCATGCACAGATTTTCAAGTGAAAGTTGTATTAAAAATTGTTGTTTCGCAGATTCATTTGACGTTTTTTCACCACTTTTGGCCTACAGAACCACTCACGAAATCAGAGCTTAATTAACGAATCATTTCAATTGAATTTACCTCTTTTTTCGTCTTGATTAAGTTAAACCAGAGGAAGCTAAAAGAGATATGCAAAGGGCTACAAAAAGATGTTCCAGTTCATGTGATTTATTAGGTCTTATTATTGTGACTATTTTACTGTTTTGTAATTGTTAGTTGAATTTAAGCTTTATATAATTAAAAGGCTGGTTTCGTTATTAATTTCATTCAAGAGCTTTCTTTGGTTGAAACAATAAGTCAACATATACATTTGAAACAGTTATTTTCCGGAATCATGGTTGATGCACTAATCACCGGATTCAAAACTGTTCAAATCAACCATTTTAAGGTCAATCAAGTTTAGCTAGAACCTCAATAATCGACAAATTGTATCTGTTTCCCATTTATATCATTTTAATGTTTCAAGTTGCAACTGTTTTTTTGGTAACAAACAATAAAACAAGTCCTCAAACTTGAACAAGATTGCCTTCATTTCAAGGAATTAACTATCAATTTCACATGTTTTTTTCTAACTCATTTGGTTTTAGCAAAAAAGTGACTAAAAAACAACTGAAACAATACTGATTTTCAAAGTATTTCACCAACTGATGTCACTTATTCATTTTAAACTCTAACCCATTTTCATTACCAACATGATCTTTTGGCTTTTATACATCCAACTTGGTAATGAATCTTGGTCGATATTCAAAAGTATCAGAATGATATTTATTTTATCAGATGGAATCAACAATAAGAGTAAAAATAGGAATGTAATTTGCACGATTATTGATAGAGTTGTCATTGATGGTAAAGGTATTTCCGTTGCTCGTCCAGGGCCAATCCACCTGTTTGCTTGATTGTTATGAATAGGTCGCATATTTTGGAGGAACCCAAAATGGCAATAATAATGAAAGGAAAGAAAGTAAATCAGAAATCAATTGTGTTTATTAATAGCAATTAAAAGCTGTAAACTTGTGATTGAGATGGAGTGAAATCCAAACAAAGCTGAATACAATATAAACATTGAAAGTCAACTTACCCGCTGTTTTTATCAACCATTTTCATCCAATGATTGTGTTAAATCAGTTGATGGGGTTAATTCAACTGAATTTTCCGAGGCTGTATTGATCAATAGATTGTCACTGGTTACTTCAATTGACACTGAATCTGTTGATAATTCGCTTGTCCTTGGCGGTTCTGTTGATGGTTTTGTCGGTTGTGTTATTGTAGTCGCCATTGATGTTACAGGGTTATCCTTATCCTTGGATCGAGATGACAACCTATTTAAATGGTCAATTGCTTCAAACCATAATTTCCTCAGAATCAGTATATTGGTTCCTTTAGCCACACAACATTTACATTTGATTACCTTCTCATCACCGTCAACCCTACTCTTACCCATTAAATTGAGATTATCATAGGAAAATACAGCTGATGTCTGGTTAGCCAAAACTTTACATACTTTGTTTGGTAGTACATCGCAATCAGAATAATTTTGACACCAATAGTTATCCTCTGAACTTAAACCATAATCTTCCAGCTGTTTCAAAGTTAAATGAGATAGAGAAAAATTAAAAATGGACAAAATTAAAATCAACTCGATGGGGATAAACCTCATTGAAAATTAGTTGACACTTTTTTGTAATAATTTGTGATAAGATTGGAAACAAAATCAACAGATGTGGCGATCAACTTTCGGAAAAGTGCAAACTTGAACAATCTAACTCATCTTTTCATAGCATTTACACCTAAAAATCCCACCTATCAATTTCATAAGAGGACGAACCCAATCAACACTCAATTTCACTTGGACAACCAAGTAAATACGCTTCTAAATAACACCTTTCCATTGAATTCAATACATTTATCGGTTCATTTTAATGTATTATACCTTTGAGATCTCAAAATGGTCAAGGAAAAAATATATAAACAAATTATTATTCAAAACATATTGGTGCATATTTTTACCTGAAATTAAAAGGTGTTTAAATTCAGAGGCATTGATTATTGACTGATTTTAATCTATACAGATAATGAAATTAACAACAAACATTACTAAATGTAAACAAAATTGGAAATCTTTACAATTTCATCTGAAATTATCATAATTTTCATGAAATTTAGCTTCAAAAATGATTTCTATTTACTCACCTTGCAAAATAATCGTTAATGCATAAACATCAATTTTCCAGTAGTTGTGAGTAAATTGAATGGTTAAATGGTGAAATTGAAGTCTAAACACTTTCTTCAAGTAAATTTGTTTGCCAATTTAACTTGAAAAAGAAATATAACAAAAGATGATTTAATCAATTATATTGATTACAACATAGCATTCTAAGTTAAGAGTAATCCAGGAAATTAATTTCGAGTTCATTTTCACATGCAATGGAAATGTAATTCAATAAAAATATAATTGATAATTTTGATCAAAACAAACTGATAAACTAATAACAAGAGCTATCGACAATTGGCTTACTCAAACATAATAACCAAGCAAACGGTTTGCAACTTTTAGCAATTGAAAGCCATTTCTTGATGTTCAAGCCTATTTACCTGAAGTCAAATTGTTGTAGGACAAATAACACGGAAGTATCGTAAGCTATGTTCAATAAAATACATTAATATCATAGAATAATTAACGAAACAAAAGCGATAGAAAATAAGTGATTTCGACCAATTTGTATTGAGATCTGTAAACATAAAGAAGTGATATATGATCGGATTAATGGTAATGATCGGACAAAAATTGACTACAAAAGAGACACGTTGGAAAGCGATTATTAGGAATAGACCTCGACAATAATGAAAATTTCAACGGAAAGTATAACAATAAGCCATTCGGAACAATTGAGCAAATATTATCGACAATGAGAAAAGTGGAATTAAATGAAAGGTATTGCATGTAACATCATCACCATTATCCTTGTCCTTCTCTTCCTCTTCATTCATCTTCAATTGTCATTCCCAATAACTTATTAGGCGGAGCAATTAAATTTGATTGTCACTTCCGAAGGGTTTATAATGATGTACCTAAATGATAATAACACCAAAGGACAGTTGTGTTTAGCTGCATTCGCAAGGTTGGTTCTTGTTGATCCAACTACATTTGTCTTTGATAGTAACCATCAATTTTCTAGTTTTAAATCATCAATTCGACAAGTTATAATTATATCTTCAAACAGAAATATGAAACAAGTTATTATTCTTACGTGTTTAGGGGTTGCCATGTTGGTCACATTAACTGTTGCTCAAGATGAACCAACGGAATCAGCGCCAGAATCAGTTGATTTATCCAAATATCGGTGTAAAAATGCAAACTGTTCAGGAAAACGAGTTAAAATATGTCAACGAGCTGCCTCCGAAAGTCCCTCAATTGTGTTTGTAGATCAAGTTAATGGAGATAATAAGTGCCAGTGTTGCTTCGAGAAGAGCGTGAGTCGAAGGAAATTACGACGTATTTGGGCCAAAGCAAGGAAAAATGCTTCCAAAACTTCATCTGGTTCAGATGGTGAAACTACGGTCAAACCAGAGTATTCAACCTTTGCCGAGTTACCAACTCTTCCTTCAGTAGAGTTGCCTGGACTGTCTCCTTGATTGACAAAATTCATGAAATAAAGATTCTGGAATTGTTGATACACCTATGAAAATTTTGGGAACTATAATTTTGATCCATAAATGTCCTTATTGTGCTCATTTGATCCTTCTCTCACTTGGTTAGGTGAAATAACTCATGATTGTCTATTGATAAGAAAAATGAAATATTCCATGATTGTCTCCAAATTTAGATAAAAGGATGATAGCCTTTGTAATTGTAAAGTCTTTATAATACTATTTAAATAATAAAATATATGTTGTCTGTTAAATTTGGTTTAATGCTATTTATTTTATAATAACTGTGAACAAAATTTATTAAAGCTATCTTATTTTACAGATGACTATTCAATAACTAAACTTTTGCACTTGTTTCAGCTTTCACTGTTTTCAAAATGGCCTCTACTTGATCTTTATATTTATCTGATTCGAAAATATCAACGTATTTATCAGAAAGCTCCCAAAATTTAATTTTAAATTTTTCTTCGGTTTCTGGTGATATAAGCCAGACAGTTTCGGGAAATTGACCTGAGAAATATATGGAAAAGTGCATGTTAGAAATCATCTTTTTTTGTAAAATTGTAATGTAAATTGTTTACCTGGAGCATCAGATGGACGATGCCTTTCTGAATCTGTAATAAGGGCCAATAAATTAGCTGCTAACTTGTCATCCTCCATATTTAATGTACCGATAGCAAGATCAATATAGCCAAAATTGTCCTGAGAAATATTTTTTTTGCATTGATAGTCATAACCTTCGGCAAATTTTTTAACTAATGCGACAATATCAGTTCCGAAGTTTCCTTTGCTTTTGCTGGGGAAATTATCGCCAATCAAGCCTCTAACTGCGGTTAATGGAATCAACATGTCTGTATGACATACGAGATGCTCGTAATCAATAGAAGAAACTAAACCAGATTTGATATTTCTAATTATATCATCTCCACCGGCCAAAATAGCACCAGCAGCTTTAGCAGCTTCTTGTTCCTCCACAGTTTTGGCAATTGCTATAATTCGACTTCGCCTTTGCAAGGGAAATGGAAATGGATAAGTGACAGTTGACGAAAAGCCATCTATAAATTTGGTCTTTCTCTTTGCTTTCATATAAACTTCAATACGGGCATGTAAAAGGTTGGATTCCAAGCCAAAAATAGTTGATGAGTGTGTTTCTCGGTGCATGCTAAGAGCATCAGAAATTGAATAACTCGGAACAGTAAAACCCTCAGTGAAATATACATCATCAGGAGGTAAAGGTTTACCTGTAGGATCAGAGCGTAATACTTGAATACGCTGAGCAGATGATCCAGCAGTGAATTTCCTTTTTTCTGGTTTAGGTAACATTTTTCGAGCTAAAGCCCTTTTTTTAGCCTCCATAGCTCTCTTAATTCTGGTACCTTTACGGGCAGCATAACTCCGAGTCTGTAAAAAGTTGTCATTAGATGGTGGAGCAAGAAGACATCCTATCCTAGGAATTAAAACTTTCGCACAAGTAAATTGATTAGAATGAATTGTAATAGAACTGTTTCTCAGTGATTTGGTCACTAGATTGAGAAACATCTTGATTAAACTATTTCAAAATAGAGTAAAATGTTCAAAGTGATTGTTTTTTCACAACAAAATTGTTTTCACATGTGACTTCTAAAAATGGGGAGCGTACTTAAATTGAATAATGTTAAAATGACTTTCTTTCACTCTAACTTTAATTCAGAATTCAGATACATTTTTTAAAAGAAACCTGATAATCAAATAACCATTTTAATTTAATTTTAAGTGATTTTCACGATAGTAGCACCTTATATGGTGTAATAAAAGTTATCAAATAAACAAAATAGCAATTTGTAGCTGCCTGAATTTGCTTAATTTGTATTGCAATCATATTGCATGATTTGATCAAGAAAAGGAAACTTATTATATTTACTTACAATATTACTTATAATATTTGAAATAATCAATTCAAATTTGATTATTGAAGCAATGTAATTCTTGTTAACCTAACTTTCATCTCATTGAACGCAATTTTTGTTCAATGATTATCGATTCATTTCAGGGTCATTAATTGAAGAGTCCCAAAAATTCAATTTTATCCTTATTTTATTCAAAAGCAACAATCATTGATACGCACTCAAAACAGTTAATTAGAGTTATTGCATTTAGTGCATTAGTCTCATCTAAATAGACAAATTAGACTACCGATTGACGATCTAATTTTATATTTGATATTTTAATATAACAATAAGCTATCTAATCAATTGATTTACAAATTAATCTGTTTTTGCCTCTTCAAACGTTATTAGTCTAGAGGCTACTGCTTATTAGTCCATTATTAGTGCTCAACTACAAGGTACAAAGAAAGTTCGCGAAGAGGACGAAGTCCGTTCCCTAGTTATAGCTAACAAGACTTTTAAGACTTTAAATCTTAATAATTTAATAATAGCAAATCAGAGTTTTTTAGCGAAATAAAAAAGAAATTCGAAAAGTGTTTAGTAAAATTGATGCCGAAAACTCCATCACTCAGCTCTATTAATTTGCCAATAACAAATATCATGAGCAGAGAAAGCCAGAATTATGCAGAATAATAAAAATATTCCAATTTATCCTGATTATACTTAAAAATACAAGTAAATAAATCCGGCAAAGAAACCATTGATAAATATTAATAAATAAATAATAAATAATAATAAATAATGAAACTAAATTAAGCGCCTTGGTTGAATGAAAAAGACTGAAATGCAAAGGATTGAGCAGTCAATGAAGGACGGCCAAAGTATTAATAAATATTCACTAACACTGACACCTGTGAGTCGATTGGCAATTGTGTAAACCACAGATTGAAGATTATGTCAATATTATGCTAGGGATTGGATTTATGCGTTTAGAAGCATCAAAGTTATACCTATTTACACATTTAAAAGTTTTTTATGGGAAATGAGTCAGTTTTGCTAGGTCACAAGAAATTTACCTGATTCATAAGCTTCAATCTCAATCAACATTTGAGAGACTCCAGTTATTTATGAAAAAACATATTTATGTAAACCTGCCAATCACTTCATTCAGAAATGATTTGATATTCTTTGAAGTTGTTGCATAAATAAATGAAACAATTTGATTAATGCTTCGATATTTATTCCATTTTAATAGATAATAAAACTCCAAAATTATAGCTAATAATGGGTGAAAATTTCTTGTATGTTTAGTCAACAAGTAATGCCATAAACATTGATCTAATGTTTTTTGTCCAATACAATCCTCTCTAATAGTGATGAAACTCCAAAATTATGGCTAATAAAAAACGAAAGTTTCCGTAAATTGATCCAACAAGAAACGAAGTTGCAACAAACATTGATCCATTGCTCTTCGAGCAAGACTTTGTTCCTCATAAAGGATTTCATCGTCCCGATAAACATTCAAATTTTTCAAATCATTGGACAATGATTTTAGACGATCGACAATCTCCATATCCACTCGATCCGAATGTCCGAAGGATACTTCATACACACGAACCATCTCAATGTCATCGATATAAGCGTCCATCATAGCTTGAAGTTCATCTCTTGGTAAACTAGAGCGCGAATTAACACTTATGTAATCAACATCAACAATTTTCAATTCTTTTTCAACAAAGTATGTAAGTTCCACAACATTTGAGTAATATTTAGTAGCATCACTGATTTGAGTGTCATTCATTGATTTCAAAAGTAATTGTAACGATTGTTCAGTTGAGTTGTAAAAGGTTTTTGCGTCTTTAGGAATGTCTCTGTATCCGTATAAATTCTTGACTTGATCGATTTTTCGAGCTACCATAGAAGTCAATAACTGCTTCGGTATACCTTGAGGATATAGACTTCCAATAAAGTCCAACTCTCGTAGTTATTTTGAGTATGATCCATTGATCACGGCAACTAATTTAAAATGAAAGAAGACATTAAAAGAAATGAAAAGTCAAGAAAAATGAACAACTTACATAAAAAGATGAGTCCGATCGTATTTTTCATTGTAATGGCTTTCAAATGAGTTAGTCAATGTTAATAATTCAAAGGTAAACTGTTCCAGTAATAACAGGATAAACTTTAATGAATTGGATAGATCACAACTCGTCTTTATATCTACGCTGACTTGACAATCAAATCATTGAATCAATTACTAATAATTAGCGCTAAATCTATCTTATGTTGCCAAAAATGGATTCAAGTTATGAATTCAGCATTGAATTTTACATCTTTATTGTTTAGATTCCAGAGAAATTCTGTGTTAGGTAGTTATCCCTATTCTTTTGTTCTTCACCCTCGAAATTCATTGGAACAAGAACAAAGGATTAAAAATATTTAGCACTGGTTACCTGTATGTTTTGATACTGATTTATTCATGGAAATGTGTGATTCATGACCTGTGTTATCGATTTTACTTTGATAACTATACTTTGAGTGTTTGCTTTATTGTTGTTTTCCAGCTAATCATATCTTTCAATTCAATTGAATCATAACTTTATCATTGTTCTGATTGAAACTGAACAAATCATCATGAGCGGCCAATCCAAATTAATCAATTTTACATGGATTAAACTGGTTTGAATTTGAAAAAAACAAAGCAACAATTAGTGCTTAGTTAGGGCTTATTTAGTGTTAATTATTAGTAATATATTTAATGCTACAAGTGGAGCCGCCGAACATGACTGATCGCAAATTTATTTTCACTATGTGCGATAAAGTCGATCCACATTTAAAGACTAAAATTCTGAATAAAAAGTTTTGTCTGGACAATCGTTGATGAATTTGACTTCAAAATTTGTCGTTTGGTTTTTTTAGTACAGTTGAGGCGTCAGCTTATTAACCAAACTCTGTACTCGAAAGACAGTTTTGCATATATTCCTAGTTCAACAATAAACCATCAACCTAAATAACCAAAAGTTTTTCCCCAACACAATTCTACTTACAGATTCTGCATTTTTTCCCCTACCCTTTTTAAACGGGAATTTCTCAGTAACCTGCATTCTGATTAACCTCTGACTATTTTTCGGACATGTAGTTCAATTGTGGCTTTCAGTCTGTGGAAAAATTTCCTTCAGAATCCTTTCCGTTTAGTTACAATTTTTACACAAAAATTTCATGTTTTTACTTTATATATTGTAATACTGTATGTATGGATTCTTATACAATTGTATGTAGATCCATTTAATGCAAACCAAGAAAAGTGTCTTTGAAGATGTTGAGACTAAGGTAGTGGAAATAGAAATTTAGACATAAATTCAAAATTGATTTGCAACAGAATGACTAGACTTAAACGCACCATTTTTTCAGGTATCGAGTTAACAACCTAACTTCACCTAATTATGAAATTTGAAGTCAATTGATCAAGTATTTTCCAATTAGGACTTAGATAGCTATTGTTATATAAAAATATCAAATATAAAAACCTTCAATCTTCCAAGTAACACCTCATGGATCAACGTGATAATCTAGTTTTCATATGGATTGAAAAAAGGGCAATCTTATTTGTCTGTGTAAAACAATTGCGTTAACTGTAATTAATTGTTTCGAGTGCATATCAATGATTTTTGCTTTTGATAGTTAGATAATAAACTTTTCCAATTAAATTAAATTGTGATACAAGAAAATGCTCATCAAGTATAAAAACAGATCAAGCTGTTCAGATCAATTCACAAGCTTTATTGAAATATTACTTTCTAAAACCTAAAACCTAACCAGAATCAAAATGAAACTGTCTACTGTTTTAATTGCCATCTTCTTGGTTTCAACAATCAGTGCTGCTTCAATTGAAGGTAAAAGGACAATGTTCAAAAACTTTGATTTCACCGTTAAGAGTTGGGACTTTGTGAGTTTTTAGGGGCATAAAAACTGAGTCTGTCAGTGCTATTGAAAATTTGTTTGAGTCGCCAGTTTTCGATAAAATTGAGGTCAAAGTTGAAGCTTCGATCGCCTTTATTTCAATAATAAAACCAGATTTTTTCATGAAACTTATTTTCCTGGTGTAACTGTTGCTGATTAACCAGAAAATGAAGTTATTTTCAATGAAAAATTCTCTGTTCAGATCAAACAGATCATTTCAATTTTCAGTTAAATTCGAAAAAGTTGGCTGACTCAACATGTTCACCCATGATTTTTGCCGGTAAAAAATGAGTTTCAGATCTCTAACTCAAGCGGTTACAGAAAGCGGTCAATTTAACTGAAAATCGAAGTGATCTGTTTTTGATCTGAACAGAGAATTTTTCATTGAAAATAGTCGGCGTTTTCATGATTCCACTGCCACTTTCATGTAAGTAATTTACTATTAATTTGATTTGAGATTAATTTTTGTCCATACACTATTGAACAGCTTTTTTCCCAAAAGAGGAAATGGCAAATCAAATTATCGACGATATTTTTGAAAAGTTTCTTCCAGGTGAGTAAATTGCTGTGAATTTACATCAACGAATTGCTAATATTTTTGCCATTAGGTGTACTTAAAGACGAAACAATTGGTTATGAGGTTGAAGAATGGATCCATAGTCATGATGATCTTAAAGGTCTGTATTTTACTTGCAATAATCAAAGTATAATAATTTAACAAACTCTTCAAATTTAGGTTTGGATGGGAAAGAGTTTATTGTAAACTTTTTACCCAAAATTTTCAGCCAATTAAATGTATCTGATGTCGGTCCTAGCAGTACTTTGGAGGAAATTGCTGTCAGATTGGCTGAATTATTATTCGATACACTTTATAACAATTGATGGATGGATTATATTTTAAACTGAATTCCAATAAATATACTCGTGCATAGCAAACGAAAGCTTCTGATGATTCGTTATTATCTTTTCTTCAATCAACTATTAAAATTTGTCATTTAATTCATATCTCAAAAGATTGAACATGTGACGAGGTGAGAAAAAATCATCAACATGAATATAAGAATTGGCAGGAGCTGAGCGTTTATAGTCTTCTGGATGAGCTCCCATTGTGATGGGAACAACATTGTGCTTCAACCCGTTTGAGTAAAATTTTTCAGTGATATAATCACGACAATTGGAGTCTTTAAATGAAAGGTAAAATTTGTATTCTTGATTATGCTGGGCGACTATGTGAATTTCCCATTATCGATTATTACGCAACTTTTTCAGTGAAAATCGATGATTACGATCGACGTAATTCAATTCTAAAATTTATTCTCAAAATTTACCGGCCATACCTTAGTCTTCGAGGAAATTAATGTAAAGTCTAAAATTCGCTCGCCTTTTGTACAGTTATGCGACCAGATTTTTTATTACAATACATCAAAGTTCTTTTGCTGATGTAACTTTTGAAGATGAAAATTAAGAAAAATGTGAGTCAGTAATGTGAACAATCAAACTCCAATCACTCATACGTGCATCTCGGCCAAAAAATAAAAATATGCTAACAATTTAATTGTTGACACTGACAAGAAAACTATACTGCAATTTAGGTACAACAAAATTGACTCTCCAACAAATTACATGATGATTATGATTAGATGCCGATCAATAAACATTTGATTAAGAATAAAATTGACTTTTATAAAAAGTTTTATCCTTTCTAAATCTTAATTGTGCTTTAATGATTTACTTCTTATCATCTGTTCATGTTTATGCTGATCAAATATTCACTAATCGCGTCTATTTAAAGGTGAATCGAAAAAACTTTGCTTTCTAATCAAAGAAAATCGAAGCTTCAAAAAAGTTTCGGTTATTCGTGTTTTCAATATTCTCCTTTTATTCACCTTTATAACCATTATTCTTACTACTGTTTGGATTGACCTCTCAATCTGGACACGTTTCAAATTATCAAACATATTTGGTTCCATCAATAGATTAAGATTTGGAAGCCAATCTGATACATTTGCTGAAAATGAACTGCAATCAAACAACAAGTTGTTATCCTGGTCAGCCATAGCGAAACCTTGGTTTATGACCAATGGTACAATAACTCCTAATCCAGGTGACGTTCACTCGTCTCAGTTACCTTTGTTTCCTGCATCCTGTTTCTTCGAGAAGAGCGTGAGTCGAAGGAAATTACGACTTATTCGGTTCAAAGCAAGGAAAAATGCTTCTTCTGGTTCAGATGGTGAAACTACGGTTAAACCAGAGTATTCAACCTTTGCCGAGTTACCAACTCTTCCTTCAGTAGAGTTGCCTGGACTGTCTTCTTGATTGACAAAATTCATGAAATAAAGACTTGGAAGTTACTTGTGCAAATACATTACTAATAAAATTGCTGAATCGGTATATCCTTAAGTGAGAATCAAACACAAAGCAGCGAAAAATCAAACATTTTTTGAGCTTGTTTGGAGCCAAATCTGTAAATATTGATCTGATTGCAATATTGATTGAAATATTAATCGTATTATATTATCCCGCCTTGAATATAAAAAATGCATACCTTAAAAAATTTTCCCCCTTCACTCAATGTTATTGCATACGGATTCTACATTTCTTCCCCCAGCCACTATTTGCATGAATTTCTCAGAGATCTGAATTCTGAGGTGAAGTTTCCTATTTTTCGTGAGTGTAGTTGAATTCGGGTTTTCGTGCTGTGTATTTTTTCTTAGAACCAGCTCAGTTTGACCACAATCTTGACATAAAAATTTGATACATTAACTTTATAAGGTATATGACTGGTAAAGAATGGAAATAAATCACTTTAGTCCTGGGTTGATTTGGGCGCATCAATCCGTTTCCAGGCTTTTATACCGAATTTTTTTAATTATTCTTGACAATAGATGAGGGAAATGTCGAATTTTGAGGTCAGTTCTCTTTGTGAACCGTTCTAGCCTTCCGCAATTTTTCGAAACGGGCGAATTCGCACTCCGTCATTTTGGCCGGTTTTCGGCCACAATTCGCATGATTCATCAAATTTTTTTCATTCCTAACTCTTCTGCCAATTCAATAGACTGCACCTAATTTGATTTCATGAGCCCTTATTTGCTTACTGCATTCACACAAACTTAGTTCAGGATAATCACCAGCAAAATTAACCATGAGATTTCGACGATAACTTAAAATTAACAACATTTGAATTGAATGACAAAGTGAAACTAACCTAAAAATTATATCTAATTGAAGCCCATTAAATTTCCGTTAAAACAAGTCTGATTTGGTAACAATATGTCCAGACTGTGAATCGCCATGCAAATTCAGAGTTTTTATTTCCATTCTTTACCAGTCATACCTTATATTGTATGTAGTGTAGATTATTCATCGATGAAAATAAAGTTAGTTCATTACATTCAATTATTAAGATTGAAAGTCTTACAAGTCTTGTTAGCTACAACTAGGGGAACAGATTTCGTCCTCTTCACGAACTTTCTTTGCACCTTGCAGTTGCCCACTACCAACGAGCTAATAAGCAATAACCTCGAGATTGATTAGTTATCTTATTGTTACATTAAAATATCAAATATAGAGATCTACAATCTTCCCAATGACACCTCCTGGATCAATTATAAACAATAACTTTCATGTGGATGTGGATTAAAGAGACCAAATTGATTTGTTTGCGCTAACTGCAATTAATTGTTACGAGCATGTATCAATGATTGTTGCTGTTGATAGTTAGATAATAAACTTGCCTCATAATTAAATTGTGACACAAGAAAATGCTCATCAAGTATAAAAACAGATCAAACTGTTCAGATCAATTCACCATCTCTATTGAAATACAATTATTTACTTTCTAAAACCTTAAATCTAAACCAGAATCAAAATGAAATTGTCAATTGTTTTAATTGCCATCTTCTTTGTCTCAACAATCAGTGCTGCTCCAGTTGAAGGTAACATCTCATCTAACATTAACATCCAAAGTAACATTATTAACTCGACTTTGTTTTCACAGAACCAATTGTACTTCGTGAGGCATTATCAATTATATTACGAACCTTGTCAAGCTTTGGGAAGGTGTTTTGCCTGGTAAGTTAATGTTTACAAATGATAAAGTTTTATATTCATTTTATTCATTGATCTTTAAAAGCATGGGACCCAGAAGCTTCACTCGAATCAAATGTGTTGGCATATGTCTTTGGTCCTACAGGTCCTGGTGAGTTGAGTTAATTTCTTTAACATCTAAATGTATCTTTAATTAAAATCTTTATTTTTCTTTAAGGATGGGATTCCAATCTTAGCACTGACAAAAATATTGATAAAATCCTAAATTCATTGAAATTGGGAGGTAAGTAACGAAATTTAAATATGTATATTTTTTCAATTTCTTTGCAATTGATGAAACAATTATTCCAAACTCAGAACCAGACGTATCTATCGGGCAAGTCATTACATCATTGGTAGGAGCTTCCATGCTCCCGCTTCCAATTTCATGTGAGTATTAAAATTACTATTAATTTGTTTCGATATTTATTTTTCGTTTTCCATAATTGAATAGCTTTTTTCCCAAAAGAAGAAATGGCACAGCAAGTTGCTCAAGATATTTTTGCAAAGTTTCTTCCAGGTGAGTAAATTGCTTTGCATTTACATCAACAAATTGCTAATACAATAACCTAACCATACAATGTAATTTGGCATTTGTTTTGCATTAGGTGTGAACGAAGACCAACCAATTGGTTATGATATCGAAGAGTGGATCCATAGCTTTGATGATCTTAAAGGTATGTATTTTACTTGCAATAATCAAAGCAACTGTAATAATTTAACTCTTCAAATTTAGGTTTGGATGGAAAAGAGTTTATTGTAAACTTTTTACCCAAAATTTTCAGCCAATTAAATGTATCTGATGTCGGTCCTAGCAATACTTTGGAGGAAATTGCTGTCAGATTGGCTGAATTATTATTCGATACACTTTATAACAATTGATGAATGGATGAATATTTTAAACTGAATTCCAATAAATATACGCAAGCATAGCAAACAAAAGCTTATCTTGATTTCATTCTTACTTTTTCTCTATTACTCTATATCAAAACTGATCTTTTTTTCGATTTTTCAATGACAGAGAAATATTACATTAATCAAAAAAATGGCCAGTTTTAGATCAAAATGAACCCCTTCATTGAAATCAGAATTAAATTTTACATCTGACAAAATAATTCAGAAAGTGGTTAACCTTTGGTTATTTCGCTATTTGTCCCCTGCATTTCTAACGTTATTTCATGATATCTCAAAAACGAAGAATTATTTTGAAAAATGGATTGAGCATTTGAAAATTTTGCATCATATATCTTCATAAGAAAAATATTCCATGCTAGACAGTTTTTCCTATTCTTTGGTCTTCATCTTTTGATGCAAGAAAAGACAAATATGATGAACCTTAATTTAATATAATTTTGTTTGATAAATCAAATAAAGTTGCTTGTATAAATAAAATTTGTAAAATCTGTACAATTTATAAGTGTTTAGAGATGCCAGAAACTCTATCAATCGACTCTATTAATTTGCCAAGAACAAATATCATGAACAGAGAAAGGCAGAATTATGCAGAATAGATAGCAAGAATATTTCAATTTATCCTGATAATGCTTAAAAATATTCTAAGCTTCTTTTGTTCAGAAACGTTTTCGGGTTGGTCATAAAAAGTTACATCAGTAAAAAGAGTTTTATGGAAAAATCTTATCCCACTGTTGAAAAAGAGTTTCAACTTTACCTCGATTTCCTCGAAAAATGTTCATTAGAGATTGAGATTTTTTTAATAACACTAATGCACTCAGTTTTTATGTCTCAAATTACCCTTTTTAACCCACATCCATATGAAAGTTAGATTATCACTTTATTATTAATAGTTTATCCAGGAGGTCTTATTGGGAAGATTTTAGATCCATCAGATATCCAAGAGATATCCATTGATATTTTAACATAACAATGAACTATCTAATCAATCTGGAGGCTATTGCTTATTAGTTCATTAGTAGTGCTCAACTACAAGGTGCAAAGAAAGTTCGTGAAGAGAACAAAACCCCTTTTCCTAGTTATAAATGTAAGGCTTTCAATCTTAATAATTGAATAATTGCAAATTGTCCCAGAATCGTTGTAACAGTTTATAAGTGTTAAGTTAGAGTTGCCAAAAACTCGATTACCCGAATCTATTAATTTGCCAAGAAAAATTATCATGAGCAAGGCAGAAATTATGGAATAGAATCATGCAGAATAATAATACGAATATTCCAATTTTTATTCCAGATTATGCTTTAAAATATCCTTAAAAATCCATTCAATGTAAACCAAGAAAAGAGTCTTTAAAGATGTTGAGACCAGATAGCTTATTGTTGTATTAAAATATCAAATATAAAGATCTACAATCTTCCCAATGAAACCTCCTGGATCAACTATTAATAATAACGTGATAATCTAACTTTCATGTGGGTTAAAGAAACCAAATTGATTTGTTTGCGCTAACTGCAATTAATTGTTTTGAGCACGTATCAATGATTGTTGCTATTGATAGTTAGATAATAAACTTGCCTCATGATTAAACAGAATCAAACTGTTCACATCAATTCACCACCTCAATTGAAATACAATTATTTACTTTCTAAAACCTAAAATCCAAACCAAAATCAAAATGAAATTGTCAATTGTTTTAATTGCCATCTTCTGTGTTTCAACAATCAGTGCTGCTCCAGTTGAAGGTAACATCTCATCTAACATCAACCACATAATTGATACTATTATATTAATTCGACTTTGTTTTCCCAGAACCAAGCGTATTTCGTGAAGGTATTAACAACTATATTTTGAACGCTGTCAAGTTTTGGGAAAGTATTATTCCTGGTGAGTTAATTTTTAGAAATAAAAAGGTTTATATTCATTTTATTCATTGATCATTAAAAGCATGGGATCCAGAAGCTTCACTTGAATCAAATGTGTTGGCATATGTCTTTGGCCCTACAGGTCCTGGTGAGTGATCAAATTTCTTTACCATCTGAATGTATCTTTAATTAACATCTTTATTTTTCTTTAAGGATGGGATTCCGATCTTAGCACTGACGAAAATGTTGATAAAATCCTAAATGCATTGAAATTGGGAGGTAAGTAACGAAATTTTAATATATTTTTTCAATTTCTCTGAAATGGATGAAACGATTATTTCAATATCAGAACCAAACATATCTATCGGTCAAGCTGTTGCAGAAATGGTGGCCGCTTCCATGATGGCACTGCCACTTTCATGTAAGTAATTAGTATTATTATACTTTGATTTGATATTAATTTTTGTCCATCAACCATTGAACAGCTTTTTTCCCAAAAGAGGAAATGGGAAATCAAATTTTTAGAGATATTATTGATAGATTTCTTCCAGGTGAGTAAATTGCTTTGCATTTATTACATCAACAAATTGCTAATAATTTGGCATTTGTTTTGCATTAGGTGTGAACGAAGACCAACCAATTGGTTATGATATCGAAGAATGGATCCATGGCTTTGATGATCTTAAAGGTCTGTATTTTACTTGCAATAATCAAAGCAACTGTAATAATTCAACTCTTCAAATTTTAGGTTTGGATGGAAAAGAGTTCATTGTAAACTTTTTACCCAAAATTTTCAGCCAGTTAAATGTATCTGATGTCGGTCCAAGCAGTACTTTGGAGGAAATTGCTGTTAGATTTGCTCAACTATTATCTGATACACTATATCCTGACATATGATGAATGGATCAATATTTTAAACTGAATTCCAATAAATATACGCGAGCATAGCAAACAAAAGCTTCTGCTGATCTCGTTATTACCTTTACTCTATTACTCTATGTCAAGTTATACTTGGACAGAATTCCTTAAAAAACTTTCAATTTATTATAATTCATAACTGAAAAGATCTAAACATGATAGAAACGATTTTTCACTTAAGTCTCTTCTTAACCTTGCAAGATTGTTCAGATTATTCGTGAACTTTTATTTTTTCAAGCTTTTTTAGTCAGTCTGAATGGACTTTAAGTGTAAATTAATAAATATTTGCTGAGAAAAACAAACTTGTTCAACTCAAAAATTTGATGCAATAAAAGACAAATATAATGAGTCTGAATTTCATATAATGTTGTTTGATAAATCAAATAAATTTGTTATAATTTACCTGATGTACTTTGGCAGAGCAAATTGGTACCTCACATTATTTCGAGTTACTTGAGTTACAACTACTTGGACTGCCGGAAAATATGAAATTTATCATTTAAAAGCCTGATTTAAGTTAAAAAGTTTAATTTCGTCAATAATTTGAGCTTCTATTTGTTATTCATCGATTAAAGTTATAGTTGAGTAGTGTACCTTTGATATCTGAAAAATCCAGAATGAAAAAACAAAGGTACTCCACAATCATCGCTCAAACTCGGAAGAGAAAAAAATGTTTGAAAAATTCTTTTTGATGCAAGCAGAAATTTGGATTAATTCGAAAAATTTTGACGAATGTATTCAATCAAATAGATAAACAAACTTTTGCAAAAGTTTTTTTCAAGCAAGAACTCAGATTATTCAGTAGAAAATGAAGATTTCCATTCATCAAATGAAAAATATTAATTTTTAGCCTTGTATCTATTCTAATTTTCTTTAAAAAATAGATTAAATAATTCAAAATATTGCAATTAAACTTCAAAAATGCGGGCTTTACTAACAGGGCACCTTTTAGTAACTGAAATAAATTTTCTTCTGGTTTAGAAGTCTTAGAAAAGTATTTCAAAATTATAGATTATACGTTATAATATATTTAATAGGTGTTTGATTATAATGTATCAACAGCAACAATCATGGGTACGTGCTCGAAACAATTAATCGAATTGCCCTCTTTAACCCATAGATATCCACATGGAAGTTAGCTTATCAGGTTATTATTAATAATTGATCCAGGAGATGTCATTGGGAAGATTGTAGATCTTTATATTTGATATTTAAGTATAACAATAAGCTAACTAATCAATCTCGAGGTTATTGCTCATTAGTTCGTTAGTAGTGCTCAACTACAAGGTGCAAAGAAAGTTCGTTAAGAGGACGAAATCTGTTCCCCTTGCTATAGCTTACAAGACTTGTAAGACTTTCAATCTTAACAATTTAATGATTGCAAACTGTCCCAGAGTCTTTTTAACGAAATAAAAAATTTTTAAATGTTTAGCAAAGTTGGAGATGCCAAATACTCGATTACTCGAATCTAGTAATTTGCTAAGAACAAATATCATAAGCAGAGAAAGGCAGAAATTATGGAATAGAATCATGCAGAATATTCCAATTTTATTCTAGATTATGCTTTAAAATATCCTTAAAAATACATTCAATGCAAACCAAGAAAAGTGTCTTAAAGATGTTGAGACCAGATAGTTTATTGTTATATCAGAATATCAAATATAAAGATCTACAATCTTCCCAATGACATCTCCTGGATCAACTATCAATGCTAACGTGATAATCTGACTTTCATATGGATGTGGGTTAAAGAAATCAAACTGATTTGTTTGCGCTAACTGTAGTTAATTGTTTTGAGCGCGTATCAATGATTGTTGCTGTTGATAGTTAGACTTGCCTCATAATTAAATTGTGATACAAGAAAACTTTCATCAAGTATAAAAACAGATCAAACTGTTCACATCAATTCACCATCTCTATTGAAATATTACTTTCTAAAACCTAAAACCTAAATAAAACCTAAACCAGAATCAAAATGAAATTGTCAATTGTTTTAATTGCCATCTTCTGTGTCTCAACAATCAGTGCTGCTCCAATTGAAGGTAACATCTCATCTAACCTCAACCTCCACTTTAACACTATTAACTTGACTTTGTTTTTATAGAACCAAGTGTATTTCGTGAAGGCATTACCAACTATATTACGAACCTTGTCAAGCTTTGGGAAAGTATTAATCCTGGTAAGTTAACATTTAGGAATGAAAAAGTTTTATATTCATTTTATTCATTGATCTTTAAAGCATGGGATGCAGAAGCTTCACTCGAATCAAATGTGTTGGCTTATGTCTTTGGCCCTACAGGTCCTGGTGAGTTGAGTTAATTTCTTTGTCAAATGTATCTTTAATTAACATCTTTATTTTTCTTAAAGGATGGGATTCCAATCTTAGCACTGACGAAAATGTTGATAAAATCATAATTTCATTGAAATTTGGTAAATATTAAAATTTTGATCTATTTGTTTAATTTCTTTGAAATTTATGAAACAATTATTTCAACATCAGATCCAAACGAATCTATCGGTCATAATGTTGCACGTATGGTGGGAATTTTCATGATCCCACTACCACTCTCAAGTAAGTATTATAATTACTATTAATTTGATTCGATATTTATTTTTGTCCGTCCATAATTGAATAGCTTTTTTCCCAAAAACGGAAATGGCAGATCAACTTGTTAAAGATATTTTTGCTAAATTTCTTCCAGGTAAGTAAATTACTGCACATTTACATCAACAAATTGCTAATATTTTTTGGGATTTGTATTGCATTAGGTGTTGGCGAAGACGATTCAATTGGTTATGATATCGAAGAGTGGATCCATAGCTTTGATGATCTTAAAGGTATATATTTTACTTGCAATAATCAAAGTATAATAATTTAACAAACTCTTCAAATTTAGGTTTGGATGGAAAAGAGTTTATTGTAAACTTTTTACCCAAAATTTTCAGCCAATTAAATGTATCTGATGTCGGTCCTAGCAGTACTTTGGAGGAAATTGCTGTCAGATTGGCTGAATTATTATTCGATACACTATATCCTGACAATTGATGAATGGATCAATATTTTAAACTAAATTTATACTTAATTCCAATAAATATACTAGTGCATAGCAAACAAAAGCTTCTACTGATTTCATTATTACCTTTTCTTTATTACTCTATGTCAGGTTATAATAATACTTGGAAAGAGTCCAAAACTTTCAATTTAATTCATATCCTAAAGGTTAAAACAAGAAGAAATGATTTTTTACTTTCGTCTCTTTTTGAGCTTTTAAGATTTTTTCGTGAACTTTGATTTTTTTCAAGCTTCATTGAGTCAGACTGGATCGACTTTAAGTGAACATAAATAAATATTTGTTCAGAACATGGTCAAGTTGGTGGAAGTGAAGCCAGTCATTAATCGTTGCGTTATTATTGCAGTAGATGTTATTCAGAAGTGGATTATGTTTGCAACTAGAAAGGCCCCCTGTACAGTTCGAAGTAGTTTAAATGTTTCGGCCGATGGACCATTGAACTCTTCATTAAAGGCTGCTCAACTAAAAATTTGATCCAAGAAAAGAGGAATATAATGAGTCTTAATTTAATATAATGTTGTTTGATAAATCAAATAAATTCGTTACCTGTATAAATAAATTTACCTGGTGTACTTTGGCAGCAAATTAATATCTCACATTATTTCAAGTCACTAGAGCTACAACTATTAATAATTGGGCTGCTGAAAATCTTGAGCTTGGTATTAACATGAAGCTAAGCTTCAGTGACTATCAATAAAATGGTATCTTTCATTTTCATAAAAAGTGTTGAAGTGCCCAAATAAACATGGGTACAATTTAAGTAGTGAATACTTTAAATTCAGATACTTTTTCCGGCGAATAGTGTTCATTGCCATTGGTCTGCGGTGCATATAGACGATGCATACCACCAGTTTGCTAGGTCATCATAACTTTTGGGCTTGATAGGTGCATGTAACATGGCACACAGTCGACACCAAAAGTATGTATTTATAAACTCTCCTGATCCTTTCCAATTCAAGTATTGATTGAAAAGTGTATCGTTTGCATCCAGTTGATCAAGATATTGAGCCAAGTGACGAGGTGACAGGAAATCATCAACATGAATATAAGAATTGGCAGGAGCTGAACGTTTATAGTCTTCTGGATGAGCTCCCATTGTGATTATATGCCGATCAATAAAAATTTGATTAAAAATAAAATTGATTTTCATGGTTTATGACCAATGGTACATAACTCCTAATTCAGGTGACATTTCCTCGTCTCAGTTACCTTGGTTTTCTGAAGACGCAGCACCCTAGGACGATAGGATTGTGAATCAGTTAATGTACATTCCATTTGGTTATGATACATCTAAACTGTTTAAACAGGGTGAATTAAAGAAGATAATGTTGCTTGAAAACTGTCGCTGTTGCCCAAGATGAACCAACGGAATCAGCACCAGAATCAGTTAATTTATCCAAATATCCGTGTAAAAATGCAAACTGTTCAGGAAAACGAGTCAAATATCGCAACAAGCTGCCTACGAAAGTTCCTCAACTGTGTTTGTAGATCAAGTTAATGTAGATAATAAGTGCCAGTGTTGCTTCGAGAAGAGTGTGAGTCGAAGGAAGTTACCAACTCTCCCTTCATTAGAGTTGCCTGGACTGTCTCCTTGATTGATTTCAGTTGACTGTCAAAACTCATGCAATGCAGATTCTGGAACTGTTGATACACATATGAAAATTTTGAAAATTTCGGGAAGCTGAACTGAGACATGGAAAAAAGCATGATATAAAAAAAGAATCATTCTCATTGATTTGGTCACTAGATTGAGAAACACCTTGATTAAACTAAATCAAAATAGAGTGATTGTTTTTACATGTGACTTGTAAAGAAAGGGAGAGTACTTAAATTAAATAGTGTTAAAATGGATTTCTTTCACTTTAATGATTTTAATGACTCTAATAACTCTTTCATGATTTGATTAAGAAAAGGAAACTTAATTAAAATAATAGACTCAAATCCGATTATTGAAGTAATGTAATTCTTGTTAAACTCTAGCTTTCACCTCATTTAAGGCAATTTTGATTCAATGATTATCCATTAATTTCATTATCATTTACCAATCTGATATATTGTACATTAATGTAAGATATATGATGAGCTATCTTATATCTGCTTGGTGCAAGTAAAGTTCGTGAAGAGGACAAAATCCCTTCTCCTAGTTGTAGCTAATAAGACTTATAAGACTTTCATTCTTAGTTATTTATTAATTCCAAACTTTCCCAGAATCTTTGTAGCGAAGTAAACAATTTACAAGTGCTTTAGTAAAGCTATAGCTACCAAAAACTCCATAACTCGAGAGCAGAGAAAGGCATAAATAAGATATAGAACCATAATAAGAATATTTCAATTTATCCTGATTATGTTAAAAGTATTCTTAATAATCCATTCTATGCAAACCAAGAAAAATGTCTTTGAAGACGTTGAGACTAGAGACTAGCTAGTTACTTCAATCTCCCAAGTATCACCTCCTGGAGCAACTTGATAATCTAGTTGGCATATGGATATCAATGGGTTAAAAAGTGCAATTGTCTGATTTGTCTTAAATGAAACAATTGCGTTAGCTTTAATTAAATGTTTCGAGTTCGTGTGGGTGATTTTTGCTGATAGTTAGATAATAAACTTGGCTCATAATTAAACTGGGATACAAAAAAATGCTCATCAAGTATAAAAACAGACCAAAAAAGCTGTTCAAATCAATTCGTAATCTTCATTGATATACTTTCTGAAACCTAAAACCTAAACCAGAATTAAAATGAAATTGTCAATTGTATTAATTGCCATCGTCTTTGTCTCAACAATCAGTGCTGCTCCGATTGAAGGTAAAATCTCATCTAACCTCAACCTCCACAGTAACACTATTAACTCGACTTTTGTTTCACAGAGCCAAGTGCATATCGTGAGGCCGTTACCAACCTTATTTTGAGCCATGTGAAGCTTTGGGAAAGTGCTACTCCTGGTAAGTTAACATTTAGGAATGAACAAGTTTTATATTCATTTTATTCGTTGATCTTTAAAGCATGGGATGCAGAAGCTTCACTCGAATCAAATGTGTTGGCATATGTCTTTGGTCCTACTGGTCCTGGTGAGTTGATTAAATTTCTTTGTCAAATGTATCTTTAATTAACTTCTTTTGCTCTTTAAGGATGGGATCCCGATCTTAGCACTGACAAAAATGTTGATAAAATCCTAAATTCATTGAAAATTGCAGGTAAATTACAAAATTTTTTATATTAGTTTAATTTCTTTGAAATTAATGGAACGATTATTTCAACATCAGAAATAGACAAATCTATCGCTCAAAACGCTGCAAATTTGGTGGGCGATTTCATGATGGATCTGCCACTTCCATGTAAGTAATTTACTATTAATTTGATTTGAGATTAATTTTTTGTCCATTAACCATTGAACAGTGTTTTTTCCACATGTGCAAATAGGAAAGCAAATTGTTAAAGATATTTGTCAAAAGTATTTTCCAGGTGAGTAAATTGCTGTGAATTTACATCAACGAATTGCTAATAGTTTTGCCATTAGGTGTACATGAACACGATACAATTGGTGGTGAGTTTGAAGAATGGATCGATAGCCATGATGATCTTAAAGGTCTGTATTTTACTGACAAATTAAACAAATTGTCAGAATAATTAAAGTCACTGTAATAATTTAACTCTTCAAATTTAGGTTTGGATGGAAAAGAGTTTATTGTAAAATTTTTAACCAAAATTTTTAGCCACTTCAATATATCTGATATCGGTCCTAACAGTACTTTGGAGGAAATTGCTGGTAGATTCGCTGAATTATTATTCGATACACTATATTCTTTCAATGAATTGATGAACTCTTAAACTGAACTTATACTTAAATTGAATTCAAATAAATATAATCTTGCATAGAAAAACAAAGCTTCTGCTGCTTCATTATTACCTTTATTTCAATCCACTAAAAGTTAATATACATGTAGTTCGTAGACGAGGTTGGAGAAAATCATCATCATGAATATAAGAATTAGCATGATGATGATTTTCTCCCACCTCGCATGATGATGAACTTTATAGTCTTCTGATGTAGTTTTTGAGGATGAAATTTAGTGAAATGTGAATCAGTAATGTGAGCAATCAAACTTCAATCATAAATACGTGTATCTTGACCAAAAATGAAACTATACAAACAATTGAAATGTTGACACTGACAACAAAACTGACTTAGCAAGAAATTACATGAAGATTATGATTAGATGCCGGTTACTAAGCATTCGATTAAAAATAAAAATTGACTTTTATATTAATACAAATTTTCATCCTCTCTTCATCTTGATTGGGTTTTTAATGATTTACTTCTTATCATCGGTTCGTGTTATGTTGATCAAATATGCATTTCTTGCGTCTTCTTTAAGGCGAATCGAAACATTGCTTTCTACTCAAAAACATCGAAGCTTCAACAAAGTCTATTATACACGAAAAGCTAGTCATTGATACACTCTAAAATTTAACTCTTTGTCGAACCTGAAGTCAAAGTCGTGTTAATATTGTAGATATTGAGGTTGAGGTTAGATGAAATGTTACTTCTGGTTGAAGCAGCACATATTGTAAAGATATACAAGATAGTAACTGAAACAAATTGAATTCTGGTTTAGATTTTAGGTTCTAGAAAAGTATTTCAATGAAGATAATAATTTATAAATTATCGATATATTAGTTGTAGTTGGTTATAATGTAACTATCAAAAGCTACAATCATTGATACACTCTCGAAACACTCTCGAAACAATAAATTATTGCATTTAGTGAAATTGTCTTATTTGTACAAACAAATCAAACCCTTTTGCCCTTTTCAACCCATAGATATCCACATGAAAGTTAGATTATCACGTTATTATCAATAGTTGCTACAGGAGGTGTTACTGGGAAGATCGTAGATCTAATTTTGTATTCATATTTGATATTTTAATGTAAAAATAAGCTATCTAATCAATAAAGTCACAAATTAATCTGTCTTCACTCCTCAATCATCATTAATCTCGAGGTTATTGCTTATTAGTTCATTAGTGCTCAAGGTGCTTGGTGCAAGGAAAGTTCATGAAGAGGAAAAATCCCTTCCCCTAGTGAAAGCTAACGCGACTTGTAAGACTTTCAATCTTAATTATTTAATAAGCGCAAATTATCCCAGAGTCTTTGTAACGAAATAAACAATTTTATCTGAAAAGTGAATAGTAAAGTTTTAGATAACTCCATAACTTGAATCTATTAATTTGCCAAGAACAAATATCATGAACAGAGAAAGGCAGAAATTATGAAATAGAATTATGCAGAATAATATTAAGAATATTCCAATTATTCTGATTAAGCTTAAAAATATTCTTATTAATCTTTTGGACAGAAACATTTTCGGGTTGGTCATTAAAATTTGCATCAGTAAAATGAGTTTTATGGAAAAATTTTATCCCATTGTTGAAAGACTTCAACTTTGAGCTCGATTCCCTCGAATACTGTTAGTCAGGGATAGTTTTCAATAGCACTGATGGAATCAGTTTGTATGTCCCTACAAAACAAAGTCCCTACTCTTGACTTGAATTCAAAGTTTTTTTCATCAAGTCATTAGATCTACAATCTTCCCAATAACACCTCCTGAAGCAACTATTCATAATAACGTGATATGGATATCTAGGGGTTAAAAAGGGCAATTTGATTTGTCTGCATAAATGAAACAATTGCGTTAACTGTAATTAATTGTTTCGAGCGCGTATCAATGATTTTTGTTGTTGATAGTTAGATAATAAACTTGCCTAATAATTAAATTGTGATACAAGAGAATGCTCATCAAGTATAAAAACAGATCAAACTGTTCACATCAATGAAGCCGTGAAGCCATTAACAACTATATTTTGAACATTGTTAAGGTTTGGGAAAGTATTACTTCTGGTAAGTTCATGTTTACAAGTTTGATGAGTTTTATATTCATTTTATTGATTGATCATTAAAAGCATGGGATCCAGAAGCTTCACTCGAATCAAATGTGTTGGCATTTGTCTTTGGTCCTACAGGTCCTGGTGAGTTTAATTTTTTCCCATCTAAATGTATAGAATTAATTTCTTTTTTCTTTAAGGATGGGATTCTGATCTTAGCACTGAAAAAAATGTTGATAATATCATTAATACGATAGGAATTGCAGGTGAATATCATTATTTGAATCTATTTGCTTAGTTTCTTTGAACTTTATGAAACAATAATTTCATCATCAGATACAAACCAAACTACCGGTGAAGTCGTTGCAAATGTGGTGAATGCTTTCATGTTGCCACTGCCACTTTCATGTAAGTAATTGCTATTAATTTGATTTGATATTAATTTTTGTCCATCTACACTTGAACAGCTTTTTTCCCAAAAGAGGAAATAGGACAGCAAATTATCGACGATATTTTTGAAAAGTTTTTTCCAGGTGAGTGAATTGCTGTTGAATGACAGAAAAAATTGCTAATGTTTGTTTTGCATTAGATGTGAGCCAACGCCAAACAATTGGTGATGATGTCAAAGAATGGATCGATAGCCATGATGATCTTAAAGGTCTGTATTTTACTGACAAATTAAACAAATTGTCAGAATAATTAAAGTCACTGTAATAATTTAACTCTTCAAATTTAGGTTTGGATGGAGAAGATTTTATTGTAAACTTTTTATTCAAAATTTTCAGCCATTTGAATGTATCTGATGTCGGCCCTAGCAATACTTTGGAGGAAATTGCTGTTAGATTGGCTGATCAACTATTTGATACTGTATATCCTAACAATTGATGAATATTTTAAACTGAATTTATACTTAAATTGAATCCCAATAAATATACTCGAGCATAGCAAACAAAAGCTTCTACTGATTTCATTATCGCCTTTCACTATTTCTCTATGTCAGGTTATATTAATACTTGGATACATTTAAAATTTTCCATTCAATTTAATTCATAACTGAAAATTTCATTTATTTTAAAGCTGTATTGAATCGGTCTGAATTGACTTTAAGTGTACATAAATATATATTTAGTCAGATTATGACAAAGTCGGGGGAAGTGAAGCAGTCATTAGTTGTTACCTTATTATTGCAGTGAAAGTTAGATCGAAGGCCACCAGTAAAGTACGAATTAGTCTAATGTTTTGCCGATGGTCCATTGAACTCTCCACTAAAGCTGCAAACGGATTATTCAGCTAAAAATTGCAAGAAAAGAGGAATATCATGCGTCCTAATTTATTTCTTTGAAAAATCAAATAAATTTATCATAATTTACCTGATGGCAGTGCAATCCAATATCTCACATTATTTCGAGTCTATTGTGCTTCAACTAGATGGGCTGCGAGAAATTTTTGAGCGTGAAATGAGTTCCAGCTTCGGAAGACTAACTTCAATGGCTATCAATAAAATGGTATCTTTCATTTTCATGAGAAGTGTTGAAGTTTGCAAATAAACTTGCATACAATTTAAGTAGCGAATACTTTAAATTCGAATACTTTCTTCAGGCGAATAGCATTTATAGCCATTGGTCTGAGGTGCATATAGACGATGCATACCACCAGTTTGCTAGGTCATCATAACTTTTGGGCTTGATAGGTGCATGTAACATGGCACACAGTCGACACCAAAAGTATGTATTTATAAACTCTCCTGATCCTTTCCAATTCAAGTATTGATTGAAAAGTGTATCGTTTGCATCCAGTTGATCAAGATATTGAGCCAAGTCACGAGGTGACAGGAAATTATCAACATGAATATAAGAATTGGCAGGAGCTGAACGTTTATAGTCTTCTGGATGAGCTCCCATTGTGATGGGTACAACATTGTGTTTCAACCCATTTGAGTAAAATTTTTCCGTGATATAATCACGACAATTGGAATTTTCAAATGAAAGATAAAATTTGTATTCTCGATCTAACTTGTCAAAACATTTTTCTGCTGTGTTCAATGAACATTTTAACGATCCACACCTGAATAAGAAAAGAGACAGAAAATCTATTAGATATAAATAAGGATTTAGTTAACTTTCTCGAAGAAATAGAAAAGATAGATTTGGGTTGTTACTAAAAATACGCAAGTAACACAATCGTCACAAAAAATAACACAAATATTCAAGAAAGATGGCCCAAAAAGTGTGAAATTTTTAACTGGATAGGACCAACATGCATGATGTATTTGTTTTAGGTCGTAATGAATTGATAATCAGTTAAACTTCAGTCACAAAAATCATATTCAGCCTCAAACACCAGCTTTCTAACATCAAAAACAACACTTTTGTTGCTAAAAAGACACAACCAACACAATTGTAACATTTTTGCACAAATTGACACAACTGCTTAAGGCAAAATGGGTGCAAATGGATAAAAATTGATTTCTTTGGCGTTTAAACTCTGTAAGTTTGTAGACGGATGCAAACTGTGTCTATTTGTGCAGTTAAAAGTTTCTACGACCCACAGTTGTTGAGGAAATTGCGGTCAAAGTTTAAACTTCGATCGTCTTTTGTACAGTTGTGTGCCTTGATTTTTTCATGAAACTTATTTTGCTAATGTAACTTTCAATGATACACAAGAAGACGGAGTTATTTTGACAAATAAAATTTCCCGTTTCCTTTTAAACCAATAAGTTCGATTTTTAGTTAAACCGAACGAACGCAGTGACCATAAGATTTAGAGATCTGAAACTTAATATTGGTCCATAAAAATTGATTGCGCACCTCATGAATAGAATAATTTTTTCAATTTATCAATAGTTCTCTTGATTTTGGCCATTGGCCTTAGAACTTTGAACCTCGATATTTCGAGAAGGGTAGTACCTAAAATCATCATTTTTCGACAAAACATTAGATTGCATCATGGACATTATAATTATGAAATATTAAATCATTAAAGATCAAACGGAAAAAGTTATAGCATTGTATCACTTATGGTTCAGATTTGATTATTATTTCATTGAGTCAAATGGTTACTCAAACACAAATCGTGTGTGTTGGAAAGATATTTATTGTTAAATGAATTAACTCATATCATATTATAGCCCATCATTCAATCTAATACCTATTCGTAAAACGATGTTTTTAGGTGCTTCCATTCTCGAAATATCGAGGTTCAAAGTTCTAAGGCCAATGGCCAAAATCAAGAGAACTATTGATAAATCGAAAAAATGATTCTATCCATGACGTGTGCAATCAATTTTAATGGACCAATGTTAATTTTCAGATCTCTAAATCTGATGGTCACTCCCTTCGTTCGGTTTAACTAAAAATCGAACTTATTGCTTTAAAAGGAAACGGGAAATTTTATTTCTCAAAACAACTACGTCTTCTTGTGTATCATAAAAAATTACATTAGCAAAATAAGTTTCATGAAAAAATCCAGGCACACAACTGTACAATAGACGATCGAAGTTTAAACTTTGACCGCAATTTCCTCGAAAACTGTGGGTCGTAGAAACTTTTAAGTCACACAAATGGATACAGTTTTCATATCTTCACAAACTGACAGAGTTTAAACTTGAAAGAAATTAATATTTATCCATTTGCGCCCATTTTTCTTTAAGCAGTTGTGTCAATTTGTGCAAAAATGTTACAATTGTGTTGTTTGTGGCTTTTTAATAGCTTAAGTGTTGTTTTGCTGTTAAAAAGCTGGTGTTTGAGGCTGAATATGATTTTTGGGAACGAAGTCTTACTAATTATCAATTCATTTCGATCTAAAACAAATACATTGTTCATGTTAGTTCAATTAATCCTATCTAGGCAATTTTTCAGTCCATTCCCTCACCTAAAATCTCGGATAATGAGTTATATAAAATATTAAATAGATTGCTATAAAATTAGGCTCCAAATGAAAAATACGGATGAATTTACAGATCTGACGTCTATCAAGGTATATAATTCAATTGAATAGAGCAAAGCTGTTCGAAAAATAAGATGTTATTGCTTACCTTCCATAAATATCGACCTGAATATACTTTGCCAACATCCTGGCGTATTGAAGTCGCTTATTTCTCGCTGAACAATTTGATACAAACCAAGCGACTTTTTTAGTTTTACCTTGAGCATAGTTGACCGATTTTGAATGAACCTGTCCAAATTATTAGATGATAGATTTAAATGATATTGTAAAGAGTGTAATCAAATGCAAAAATTGGACTTTTGCTTACTTTAAATTTTGAATTGTAATAAACAAATTTCTCATATGGTGTAACAAGATCTGAATCGTGACGATAAGAGGCAGTCCAATTGATGACATCATTAAGACCTCGAAATGACGGTGTATGCAATGGACTTTCAAGTATATAAAGTATCCAAATTTGGTTTTGAGGCTTCACATGTTTAGGTTTAAAATAATGATCCTTAAATGACAAAGAGGGCAAACAATAAGTACAATTGTTGGTTATAAGATTGGCCATTTGAATTTTACATGCGAATAAAGGATGAAATTTAAAGTTTCGATGATATACCAGTGCTAGTGACATTTTCATTCAAGTCAACTTCGAAGTTACTTATGCAAATATTACTATCAAAATTGCTAAACGATATATCCTTTAGTGAGAATCAAACACGAAGCAACGAAAAATCAAACATTTTTTGAGCTTGTTTGGAGCTGTATCTGCAAATATTGATCTAGTTGCAATATTGATTGAAATATAAATCGTATTATAACATACCTTGAATATAATGGCATCAGCTTCTGTTTTGTATTTAGCATCAAATGTAATCTGACACGTATTTACAGGACACGAGTCTCGGAGGAAAATATCTTGTCCAGAAGGTACCATTTGTCCCCATGAACTTTTATCGAGCAAAAATATCTTCTTCAATTTACTCTGCTTAAACAGTTTAGATGAATCATAACCAAATGGAATGTACATTAACTGATTTACAATCCTATCATCCCAGGATGCTGTGTCTTCAGGAAACAAAGGTAACTGAGACGAGGAAATGTCACTTGGATTAGGAGTTATTGTACCGTTGGTCATAAACCAAGGTTTCGCTATGGCTGACCAGGATAACAACTTGTTGTTTGATTGCAGTTCATTTTGCCTGGCAAATGGATCAGATTGGCTTCCAAATCTCAATCTATTGATGGAACCAAATATGTTTGATAATTTGAAACGTGTCCAGATTGAGAGGTCAATCCAAACAGTAGTAAGAATAATGGTTATAAAGGTGAATAAAAGGAGAACATTGAAAATTCGAACAACCGAAACTTTTTTGAAGCTTCGATTTTCTTTGAGTAGAAAGCAAATTTTTTTCGATTCGCCTTTAAACAGACGCGAGAAATGCATATTTGATCAACATAAACATAAACAGATGATAAAAAATTGCAGAAGCAAATCATTTAAAGCACAATTAAGATGTAGAAAGGACGAAACTTTGTATAAAAGCTCAAGTTTATTCTTAAACAAATGCGTATTGATCGGCATCTAAGCATAATCATCATGTAATTTGTTGGTGAGTCAATTTTATTGTATCTAAATTGCAGTAGAGTTTTGTTGCCAGTGTCAAAATTTGAATTGTTTGTATATTTTCATTTTTTGGTCAAGATACACGATTCCATGATTGAAGTTTGATTGTTCACATTATTGATTTACATTTCACTTAATTTTCACCGTTTACAATGACTGTTCATGACAATCACAAATTGAGTAAATAAATAATGCCGACGAGAAACATATGATTTGAAAAGAAATGAATAGCTGAACCCATTTCAGATCAATAAAATGATTCCCTCAGTAAGGGATAGAGGGAAATCCATTACAACAGTTTGATTGAATAAATTTATTTACTCTTTGAAGGAATTAGCAAATTTTATTATTTAAATGAATCAGTCTGGAGTAATCGCGATTAAATATAAATATTAAAAACGCGATTATTTACTTTTAAATCGATTGATTGTAGCTATTGATTTTTTTAAATTTTATAATTTTGCACAAAATTTGATAAAATTTTCACGCGAATTTAATAAAACAAAATTAATAATTATTCTAACTCTGTTCAAGTAATTTGACTAGATCTGAAATGGGAATCATTAAGGTTGATGAAAAGGTAAGCAAAGATTTCGATAAACCCAATCAATAATGGAATAAGTGAGAATAAAGAATTTCTTTTCCGTTTCTTATAAGAAATCGATGAAAAATTTACCGAAAAAATACTCAATTGAAGTTCTATTAAATTGAACTGGAAAGATTTAATTTCTTTTCTACTCTAAATGAAAAGATTAATTTTTGATTTCAATACATTTTTGAGTAATCAAAACAGTAAGATTGACAAAAGATGAAAAAATGACAATTTCCATTTTGAATTGTTTACTTTTTGAGTGATATCATTTTTATTATTAGGCAAATGGCAAAAGCCTCAAGTTAAACCTTCAACAAATGGTGCATTTCATTGCAACACTATTTATTAAATATCAGAAGGAAAATAAGGATAACCAACAGTATAATCAGGTTCGTGTTGCTCTGGAACAGTTTCATTCATCGAAACATAATTATGGTTCATCATGTAGTTGATTGGCATCATGCTAGCCATTAATTCATCATTTGGTGCTGCACCAGCCCCTGGAAGTAACCATTCATTACCCTCTGCCGAGGGCATCTCTACTGAATTAGGGAAAGGCCAAAGATTTGGTTGTAAATTTTCTATCCCAGGTGAGTAGCCCATATTTGAACTGGACATTCCGTGTATTGGATTCTTTTTCTGTGCCCTCTCAGTACCAATGGGACGAGGTAATTTCCTCTCTTCACTCATATCGCTCATATCTGCCTCTTTGGATCCTCCGGCTTGAGTCCGCTGTGAGTTTGGCTGCTGACCAGGATGGTGATGCTGTTGATGGGTTTGCTGTGATGCTTGTTGTCCTTGTTGTTGCTGTGCTTGACGCATACTAATAGGTGGTTGCATCATATTGTAGGGTTGCATATTTTGGGGTGGACTTTGGTGTAGAACAGCGTTTGCAGCTGGAAAGGCTGTAAGTGCCGTTTGGAGAAGTCTTAATGTTTCTGCTGATGGTGGATTGAACTCTCCACCTAAGGCTGATTGATTCTGTAACTGGGGATGTAATCCTAGAAAAGTATAAAAAATAAGTATTAGATTAAATGTCAACTCATAAGTTAATTTAATTGTGCTAATAAGTCTAATCAATATGGATCATTTACCTGGTGTGGGTACATTAGCAGGACCAACTTGATATCTCACATGATTTTGAGCCACTTGAGCTACTTGGGCTACTTGAGCTGCTTGCGCAGACTGAGCCGCCTGAGCAGCCTGAGCAGCTTGAGCTTGTAATGTTTGCATTTGAAGACTAGCTCCAGCAGCTAAAATGGCAGCTCTCATTTGCATGTGCAATGGTGGAGCATGTTGTTGCGGATTCTGTAATTGGATTCCTTGAACTGTAAACAAAAAAATAACAGAGATAAATTATTTTAAAATGCGTATTTCATATTAGAAAGTAAAAGATGGGCAAGACCGGTTTCATGTTTTCAATCCTAGACAAGTTTAGCTGATAAGTTCATGTTGACTTTACATCATAAAATCAATCTAAATAGCCAAGTAAAACATTGTTTTTGATGTAAACATCAGATTTCAATTTAACTACGTTTAGGTTAAGACTAATGTTCCAAATAAAGAAGTGTAGAAATAGAGAAAAATATGCTGATAAAGCGAGATAGACTGAGTGAGGGTGAGAATGGAAAGGAAACGGAAGAAAATGCTAACATAACTCTGAATGAAGGTCAAAATAAAATGAATTCAGAGCACATGCTAAGAGCGTGAGCAGATATTCAAATTTTAATTGTTGGATTTGTAACGATCGACTCTAATATCGAAGATTGAATCGATGAAAGTATCGATCAAGCTCCATCAATTTGAGTAATCTAAAAACCTAGTAAGTGAATGTCAGGTGTTGAAAGAGACTAAATAAGGTGTACTGTGCTAGGGAAGGAAAAATAATACATTAGTAAATTATAATAGAAAGCTGCCTTTAGCCATGTTAATTCACATTATAATGTACGAATTAATTATGGACATCATTATAGTAGATTCATTACTTTACCAATTAAGGTAAGAAAAATTGAACGCATGAAAATAAAAACATGAGAACTCAATATAAAAAAAATTATTCCTAACAATTTGATAAACAAGACATAATGAATGGTTTAGAAGGACTGAGAATTAGCGTCCAACCCTTGAGGATGAAAATTACAATATGTAGGAAAAAGATGGCGAGTAAGCAAAAAAAACGAATGGAAAAGGAAAGATAGAACTATTAAGAGGACTAAATTGATTGAGTAGGAAAAAATGAAATGCTTTCATACAAGAAATGAGGAGTTAAAGAGATAGAAATAGGGAAACTAAGAAGCTTAAGTTTTGAAAATGGTCTTGAAATGCTGCTGACAGTCTGACAAAAGATAAAACTGGTTGAGAATTGTGAAAAAATTGACTTTTAACTTACCATTAGGCATAAGATCTTGATAGCCCATCGTTCTAGGTTGAGAAGCTTGTAGATGATGTTGATGAGCTGCTGATCTTAATAAGGGTCCATTTTGTTGGTGAGACAGATTTGGTATGTAATTGGGATTACTGCGAATCGAGAAGTCGGGTGCATTGGGATTTAAACTACTTTGAACAGTAGTATTGATCAAATTGGGCATAGAAGGGTTCATTGAAGATACACAGGCATGAACTGAATGAGGATCAGATAAACCTGATGCCACAGCCGGATGGATAGGATCAACGGATGATAATGGGCCATGATGTTGACTAAAGGTGGTTGTTGTTGAATAGCCTCGTGAAGCATTTGAACCCGGGGTAAGATTGAAGTTGGACTGTTTACTTGTTGGATGGTTTGCTAATGATGAGGAAGTATATACATTTGAAGAAACTGAAGATTGATATCCTGAGGATATGTTGGATGTATTTGTATTGCTAGAATACGAAGAGACAACGGCTGGCGATAAATCAACGGAAGAAGCTGATTCTTTCATCATTGTTCTAGGTTGAGAGGAAGAAGCTGATGGTTGAGGTGAGACTGAAGGTGGAGGTGATGAAGGTGATGTTGATGATGGTGCTGCAGAGACAATTGATGTTCCAGAAGATATTGGTGAACGAACTGGCGCAGATGAACTGACAATTCCTGGGATGGTCGACAGAGGAGGAGTACAGGGAGCGTTTCTAGGTCCACTTCCAATAGGTCCGAAATTGGGACCAGCTGATGAAGAAGGTGTTGATGTTATCGAAGCGTTGCCAGGTGAACTATGCAAGTTGCCACGATAACCGGGAGCTTTAGAGATATCAACCGAAATATGCTCATGTTCGTTATTAGAAGATGTAATGGTCATAGGAGGCGCTGATTGAGATGTTGCCACAGATGATATTCCCGTGGCTGCAACAGAAGCAAAATTGGGCTTATGGGCTTCCTTGGAAGGTCCCCAAACACTTGCCTGGGCAACTTTACTAAATAAATTGTTAAATGGAGTGTACTCGGGTGTTGAATTGGGTATTGATGATTTTGGTGAACCGGGGACATTGGATGAGCTAGAAGTTTTAGGTGTAGGTAAAGATGTAGGTGGTATTGTAGTTGTTGTAGTGGTTACAGAACTACTATTAGTGTTGCTGCTATTGCTATTACTACTAATACCACTAACACAGCCAGAATTGCTGACATTATTTCCACCACTAGTGCTATTGTTATTGTTGTTACCAGTGTTAGTACCAAAAGGTTGCTTAGATGTTACATTTTTATTAGATGCTGTTGGTCCGATTACTCTTGATGCAGAATTAAATGGTTGAGTTAATGGTCTAACAGGAGCAGCAAAAGGTGCACCTGTTGATGGCTTTGATTCTGGGCCAGTGATGAATTTTGTTGAGCTCAGATTATTAACAGATTGGGTGCTAGGTTTTACAACGGTCTTAGGTTTTGACGATGAAACTGCTGTAGTATAGGAAATGGTTGTCTTGGATCCTGAGGAGAGAGCTGGTGGAGAACTGGTAGAAAAGGTGAGAGAAGAGGTAGTGACTGTTGAGTTTATGAATTGACTTGAGCTATTGGACTGCATTCTTGGTGGTATCGATGATTTAGGTGAAGTCCAAGCATTGATTGAGCTGACAGTAGATACCGAGCCCCCAAATGGAGGTGCAGAATTATTTATTGGTGCCGAAGCTCGAACAGATACAACACCAGACGATGCTCTAGCAGGGCCTCCTGTTGATAAAGTTGCATGTGACACAGTTGTGAAGACAGCACTAACAGATGATGACTTAGTAACACCAGAACTGTAAGATGATACCAATGTATTTGGCACCGAGACAGCTGTTGTAGGACGATTAGCTTGAGATGATATTACTGAAGTTGAGCTGAAACTCTTAATGGGTCCACTTCGACTGAAGGAAATGTCCTCTTCATTTGAACTAGCTGATCGATTTAATCCGAGTTGTGAAACGATTTGAGATAAATCTTTATCAGTTTCATTGACAAGGCCATTGATTAATTGTTGAGCATGCCGCGTTGCATCGGCAGATCCTTTAATAATTATTTGACGATCACCTTGGCCTTTTTGCTTTTCAACTTCAATATGAGCGCCAGAAATTTCTCGTACAGCATTTATATTGCAGCCTCCTCTTCCAATGACTCTACTGATTGCATTAGCTGGAACCGAAACTTTCTTAGATCGTCTTACAACCTCTTTCCAGCCTTCTTCTCTTTTTTGACCCTTTTTAAGACCAATGTTTTGATTACTTATAGATGATGCGCCACTATTACCAACAGAAACATTCGACACGGATGAAGACGTACTTTTAGTTGATACAGTAGCACAAGGACTCTTCTGAGAATGAATGTTTTTTTCTGAAGTAACATCCTTTGGAACTTCAATATTCAACTCACTCAATCTAAAAAATGACGAAGATTTAAATATGATAAATTATGTTAGAAATTTTAAATAATTGAAAAGGGTATAGTTCATTTTATACTTACAAATTATCATTGATGTTTTTACGATTTGTTTCAGAAGCATTGGTCTTTTCTGCATTTTTTTTCTCATTTAAACCAGAATGTGCCATTGTTTTAGTCTGATTTTCGTGATTCGGCGAGTTTTCTCGATCAATAGGAACATTTAAATTTTCTTGATTTTTTGATTTTCCTTTGTTTGATATTGGCGATCTATCCAATGAAGCTTTTGGCTTTTTAATATCTTTACTTTGACTATCTTTCTTCTCGGTTGATTGTTTTTGACTGGAAAGAGCATTATTCTCTTTTTGAGATGAATTTTTCTTATTCTTTTCAGCTTCTTTTTTCTTAGTTGGTGTTGAAATTGGTTTCACTTCACGAGCTGGTTCAACTGGACCAGCTTGCGTTTTAACAGGAGGTTGCGGTTCCTCAGATCTTTGCTTGATTTCCTTAACGGGATTTTCATTAACTTGATTATTTTTAACAACGGTTATATCTTCAAAAATATTTTCTTCTTCAGCAGAGTCAGAATCGTCGTCTAAATCTGAATCAGATTCTTCAACTTCAACTTTCTCTTCATTCTTCTTATTTTGTTTTCCTCCTTGTTTCTGTTTATTAGCAGGATCTTTTGATTCTTGAGCAGCTTTAGCAGCCTTTTCTCTTTCTTGTTTTTCCTTCTTCTTATCCCTTTTCTTTTCTCTTCTACGTGCAGCAGCGAGTCTCCTTGTTTCCTCACGATATCTTTCCATGTCGATTTGTTCCAAAAGTATGTTCGCATTCTTATTGGCTTCAGCAGCTTGTTTTTCTTTGGCTGCTCTAATATGCTCCATACATTGGTGACATTTTTTCAGAAGCTCATCATCATTTATCATGGCAATGTAACGGGTCATCTCTTGATCACTTGGAAATTGAGTTACATGTTTGACCATCCATTTTACAACTTTGACATGCCCTTTACGAAAAGCCGCCATTAAACAGCTAACTTTTCGATTATCTTGACTATCAATATCAGCTTTAGCATTGACCAGAAGCTGTACAACATCAAGATGGCCTCCATTACAAGCTAACCAAAGCGGGGAACTACCTTTCTTGTTTTTAACATCAACTTGAGCTCCTCGTTGAAGTAATAATTCAACAAATCTATAATGCCCTTTATCAGCACTTATCGTAAGTGCCGTGTCTCGTGATGATGGAACTGGAGGAGCATTTACATCAGCCCCTTTATCGAGCAGGATTCGTCCCACTTCCACATATCCACCAGAAGCTGCTTCCATTAATGGAGTGAGACCAGTTTTAGCTCGATGTTCAACATTAGCTTTACGATCAAGTAAGAGGTCAACGACTTCCTTACGGCCTTGAAAACACGCTAATGTTAAGGCTGTATTGCGATTTGTTTCTATCTGCGCATTTATATCACTTCCCATGTCCAATAAAAGTTTAACTGTCCCTGTATGTCCATTCATAGCAGCCAACATTAAAGGAGATATGCCCAGTTTGGAACCTGTTCTAGAGTTTATTTCAGCTCCATGACTCAATAGTAATTTGATGATATTAACATAGCCACCTGAAGCAGCAAGACTCAGTGGTGTGTAATCGGAAACATTACGATGCTCTTTATTGGAACCTTTTTCAAGAAGAAGCTCAACTACCTCATAACGACCAGATGAACAAGCTAGAGATAAGGCTGTGTCTTTGGTTCTTTCTGATTGAGACTCAATATCAGCTGAGTGACTTAAAAGAAGCTCACAAACACCAGCATGACCTGCAGTAGCTGCCAACATTAGTGGGGTAAAACCTTTTTTATCTCTATGTTCAATATTGGCCCCTCTTTTGATCAATAATTCAACTAACTCTTCGTGACCGCCAGCACATGCAAGAGTTAAAGCAGTATCGTGATTAGAATCCGTTTGCGAATCCAAGTCAATAGGAGGATACCAAGGGGGTGGTGATGATGCTGGGTTTAATTTCGCGTTAGATAAAGTTAAACTAGAGGTACTGGTGGAGATTGAGATAGTTGAAGGTAAAGGAGCGTCTGTTGGAGTTTGCGTTTCACTCTCAATGAGCAGATCAATTGAGGGAGTTTGTGTCATTGACTCAGCTTGAGCTGCAATGATTGAATTGGTTGAAGTAATCACGGGTAAGGCCATTGAAGTAGCAATGGTACCTGGACTTGGTAGAATAGAAGATTGACTAAATGACCCAGCAGAAACTGGGATGCTGGAAAAATTAAACGACTCTATTAAAGGCCCCACTGAGCTTGAGAATAAAGTTCCACTGCCTGAAGGAGATGTTCGGTGATTTAATGCATCAAAACTGGGTATAATTGGTTGATGCTGATGCTGATGTTGATGATGGTGAGCTTTAGAAAAGGCATTTTTAACTTTAATTGTTTGCCTTGTTCGAGATCTGTTTGAACCGGGAATAGAAGTTGAAGGGGAGATTGTGGATGGGCTAAAGCTTGAGGACGTCATTATTTGAGGCACAACTGATGAAGCTGATATATCTGAGAGTGTTTTATTCAGACCATTGAGTAAAAAGTTGGTATCAGTAGTTGTAACAGTACTGCTAGCACTACTAATATTACTACTGTCATTACTAATATTGATGATGTTACTGTTACTAGAATTTATGGCTGAGTTTGTCATATTACTTTCACCAAATGATGTTTGAAGAAGAATAGGCTGTGAATTTGGAATAGTACCTGAAGCGGTGAGACTTGAAGGCAACTGAAAGTTGAGAGGATCACCAGCTTCCAGTTGCTGTTTTAGAGCTGACATATCAAGGAGTAACATTGCTTGGGAGGAAAGATTAGTGGTTAGATTATTTAAAGAATAAGACTGTTGATCGGCTGATAATGTTTGTAAAAGATGATTGTGACCATCATCGGACACGAGACTGGTATTGGTGGAAGCTGGTATTGTTGCAAACCCTTGATTCCTTGATGCAGATAAATCAGCTTCATAACAAAGTGTTTGAATCAGCTGTTGCTGTTGTTCAGCTTGTTGGTTTAATAATAAATGTTCTTGGCGTTTTTCTTGTAATTCTTTTTCAACTCGGACCAGCTCCTCGAGAATTTGTTGTTTATGAAGAATCTGTTGTTCCCTTGAAGTTGGGCTCAGGTCATCATTTGAACCAAGCTTCACACTGATACATTGACTCAGAGTTTCGGCATCTTTGAAAGCATCTGTACCAGAGGAACATGAGGAAGAGTTATCAGTAGAGTTGCTTAACAAATTAACAGAATTGAGAAGTTGAGATGCACTGCTATCTGATAAACTTCTCTCGAGATGTTTACCAGATGCAGACGAATTGCGTCCTTTAGGTAGAGGTATATAGGGTTCGACAGATTCAGATGGCTTGTTGAAAGACAAACTTTTATTTCGAGATGTTTTTGGCAGACCATATTTACCGGAAGCATTTGAAATTGAAGAACTTTTTCTTTGACTACTTGTTGAAGAAGTTACTTGGTTATCCGAAGTATCTTGAGTTGATATTATTGACCCTCGTTGAACCATACGACTAGTTGTCGTGGTAGTAGTGGTGGTTACCGTGGTGGTGGTCGAATTATCACATAGCTCTGGAGATGTTATATTGTTGAGATTGGGTGCTGAGGTGGATGAGGCATCTTCTGGTGGAGGAGACCTACAAATAGCGTTAGGATAATCCAATAACAACTGAACTACTTTTGTATGGCCCCCTTTAGCCGCTTCCATCAACATTGTTGCATTATCTTTTAGACGATGAGTTGGATCAGCTCCTTGACTTAACAAATACTCAACAACAGGTAAATGACCTCCAGCACAAGCAAGGGATAAAGGTGTCGCATCATTTGTAGGAGTAATCTTGTTTACATTGGCTCCACGTGAAACTAAAAATTGAACAGTACAAATATGTCCTGCTCTAGTAGTCTTCATCAAAGGAGTGCGACCACCGTCAGCTTCGTGCTCTAAATCAGCTGAGGCATATAACAGAATTTCAGCCACATCAGTGTGACCGTTTTCACAGGCATGCATTAAAGCTGTTTCTCCATTAGCATTGGTAGCATTAACATTAGCACCCACATTTATTAGATGTTTGACCAATTCAATATGGCCCTCTTGAGCTGCTTCCATTAATGGTGTATTACCACCCGCTTCAATATCAGCTCCAGCTTTGATTAAAAAATCAGCTACCTCCAGAGAGTTACTACAACAGGCTAGTGTTAAAGCTGTCTCCTGGGTTTCTTCAGTTTGAGCATTAATATCAGCTCCTTGACTCAGTAATAAGGCTACCATTTCTTCTTGTCCTTCACGAGCAGCTTCCATTAAAGGTGTATATCCCTCGTCGTTAACTTCTTCAATGTTGGCACCTCTTTCTAATAATAACATAGCCAATTCAACATGGCCACCACACGAGGCGAGAGTTAAAGGTGATTCAAAACTATCAGCTGGCATATTGACCTGAGCACCAGAGTCAAGAAGTAAACGTGCTACTTCCACATGACCATCCATGGATGCTTCCATTAATGCTGTATGCATTTCTTCTGTTTTATGCTCCTGGTCTGCACCAGCTTCTAATAGGAATCTTACCATTTCTAAATGTCCTTTATAACAGGCTAAAGTTAAAGCTGATTCTTTAAATTCATCTGAATGAGAATTTATACTTGCACCTTTTTCAACTAAAATTTTTGCCACCGCAACATGACCAGCACTGGCTGCCTCCATTAAGGGAGTATGACCATTCTCATTGTGATCCTCAACATTGGCTCCAGCTTCAATTAAAACTTTAACCACATCAACATGGCCACCAGCACAAGCATACATTAAAGGTGTATTCCCTTGTGACGTCTGGGCGTTAACGTTGGCTCCATGTGATATCAAAAGTTTTACTATATCAACATGGCCAGCACTAGATGCTTCCATTAATGGCGTAGTGTCTTTTAAACCTCTATCTTCAACGTTGGCTCGTGTTGCTAATAATAACTGGGCCAACTCAGCGTAACCAGAGGAACATGCTAAAGATAAAAGGCTTTCGCCTTCTTCCGTTATTTCATTTACATTTCTTCCCTCATCCAGAAGCTTACGCACAGCTTCAAGATCACCTACATTGCATGCATCTATTAAACAAGAGCCATCTACAACGGCTGCAGCAACAGCTTCATGAGGTCTTTTCCGGGCAGATTCTGAACTTTCTACCATTGTCCGAGAGAATTGGAAAAACAAGAGGAAAATGTATCAAAATCAAGGTTATTCATTGAGCTGCCAAATAGTTTAATCGGAGAAAAGAGCGAGGGAAGAAAAATGAAAGAGACTTAAGAGGTTTGAGGTTTGATAGAGACAGGAAGAAAGAGGAAAGATGGTTAAGGAGATAGAGAAAAATTAAAGTAAAGAGAGAAAGAGGGAGTGAGAAAGAGAGAGACAAAAAATCTTGCATCTTGCTTACCAAAATGACGAGGAGATCTAGATAAAACTCGATTCATAGTTAATGAATGAGTTATATCAGATTACAATTAAATAAGTTAGCAATCAATATGTTTATTGAAATGAATTTGAAGTAAAACTAAGCGCACAGAAACGATACAATTTGTTAAATACATTAGATTTGCAGCACTTTTGCTTACCGGAATACACATAAAACAGACCTTGTTGTATAACAAGGAAAATTGGTTGGCTGGTTGTATAGTGGTTATCATTTCAAACTATAGATGGCGTAATATATATAAAATTATTTAAATCGGATTAAAAATAAAGGTAAGTTGAGTTAAGGTAAACTAGTGATAACAATTGCAAATAAGATTTTAAGTTAGATATTTAAATTCAAGTTTGCCTTTAACCTCTTTCACACATTAGTCTCCATTCTTAACTAAACTAACCTTAAACTAACCTTTAACCTAAATCAATATGAATATCGATTTATCAATAAATCCCAATCTAACTGTAATTTTTAAAATTAATTAAATTTCATATTTCATATCAAGCGACTCTAATTTTGATGAAATAAATAATGCAACCTTAAATTGACATAGTTCAACATAAACTAATATGCTTCTGCTTTAATCAATAAATGCAAATGCAAAATGAAGATGATTGTAAATCAATCTTTCAAGGTTAATGAAATCTCAACTCCTTAAACCATGTTAATGAATTATGAGTTAAACTTAAACCATAGTTAATCGCTATTCTCAATCAACCATTTATCACTTAATCATCAACCAGCCAAACAATTATGCAGCCTATAATTGTAATCAAAAATATCAAATTACCTTAGTCCAATCAATCGTAGACAATACATTAAATCGTCTTGCACAAATAAACAACACTAAACACAGAAGGCAAAGTTGACTATTTTTCAGTTTTTCAATAAAACAATAATACTTAATAACTTAAAGTCAAAATATTTGATCGTTATTATGACAGTTACTTATACGCTTAGTGTTGCCGAATCTCGTCTTTCTGGATTCCCTCGATTACTAATCAAATGGAAAGGAAGTATTTATAAACTTTTGTACCGCGAAATGATTATATTTTGCTTCTTCTTTTATCTAATTCACTTAATTTACCACCGAGTTCTCAGCCAAAATCAACAAAGGTATTTATTGACAATTTAAATAATTTTAACCGTTAAAACATTTTATTCTATTTTTATATTCCAGAATATTCAATAAGCTCTCTGATTATTGTGACACTTACACCAATTTCATTCCACTTTCCTTTGTTCTTGGTTTTTATGTAACTATTGTTGTCACCCGTTGGTGGCAGCAATGGTTGGCTATCCCTTGGCCTGATAAGTAATTGTTTTTTTTTGATAAAAGCTGAAGTGTTAAATATTTTAAAAATGTTTACTTATTTTGTATTTTTATCTTATTTACTTATCACTTTAGATTGGCAATGCTGGTATCGGCGTATCTTCCTGGAATCGATGAAAGGTCCACCGTGATTAGGATTACACTAATGAGATACATGTTAGCCATGCAGGGATTAACCTTTCAAGCCATTAGTACATCAATCCGTAAACGGTTTCCAACGGAAGAGGATTTAGTGAAGGCCGGGTTAATGACTTATGAGGATTTAGAGGCTTACTTAGCTACTGTCGATGTTTATGGTCGCTGGTGGATACCAAGCCAATGGTTTACCTCACTATTAATGGAAGCTTACAGAGAAGGCAAGGTTAAACATGAAATGTTTGTACGTGAAATTATCAATGAGATGCATGTTTTTCGTGGTAATTGTGGCTCTTTATTTGCTTTTGATTGGATAAGTATTCCTTTGGTTTATACTCAAACGGTTACAATTGCTGTGTATACTTATTTTGGTGCCAAATTGATTGGACGTCAATATACAACAATATCATCTTCAAACTCAACAGCTACTGAATCAAGTCAGCTTGACTTTGGATCGTCCACTGTTAATCAAACCAATATTGATCCAATAGCTTTTCTTGGAACTGATACAACACCATTTACATTTTATATACCTTTCTTTACGATTGCTGAGTTCTTCTTCTTTATGGGCTGGTTGAAAGTTGCTGAACAGTTGATTAATCCATTTGGAGAAGATGATGATGATTATGATTGCAATTGGATTTTAGATCGTAATATTTTTGTAAGAACAAAAAGTCCCCTGTTTATCATTTCAAGTAACATTTTTGCTGACATTTCTTTTCTTTTTCCAAGGTATCTTTCATTATTGTTGATGGTATGCATCAAAAACATCCAGATTTAGGTTTACCTCCTAAACCAGAGATTGTTATTTCTTCTCAACCAACAATGGAATTGAATCAAAGAAGAGCTTCCATCAATCCTCATTCTGGTTCAACAATGAATCTCTCTGTTGTCAAACAACGTCGGCCTTCTCGGTCAATTAATTCAATTAATTTTCTTGATTCCTTGTCAAATGACAAATTGTCACCTAATCTAGAAATTGATAGCAATGAGGACAATTTTAATATCAACAATAACAGTCTAAATAACTGCAGTAATCAAACTCCTTTAAGCTGGCAACACAGAACGATGTCATTTTGTGTCCCCTCTGACAATGTATTTCAATTAACAGGTGAGCCAAATGATTTGTTAAACTCATTTTTTTAATCAATTCCACTAATAAACAGTTTTTACTTTTCAGAATCTAAACAAGTTGGAGGAAGACGAAGAAAATTATCTCTAGAAGAGAATCGTTCATTCAGTGGAAAACCGTTTAAACCAACAAACAAACTTCAAACCCATGTTGAATGTAATGAAGATGCTGAAATTAATGCGACTGAGAATCAAAATTGTGAAGACGAAATTCGGTTGCTTTTGAATCAAGATGAAACTGGGACCGATTAATAACCTGAAATTACAAATCAAACAAATCATTGAATTTGTTTCTTCTGAATTGTTCATTCACCAAGAATTGTCTTGTTATTGAAAGTCTTTTAATTGTTTGAAGATAACTTAACAGATTTTATATGAAATATATATTTAATTATAACCAAATCTTATTTAGTAATAATACCAAGTTAATTTAAGTTAATTTTAATAATTAAAAACAAATCATAAACATTTAATTAACAATTAAAAATTAAAATGAATGAAAGTATGAAAGACAGTTCGAGATTCTTCTTAATTTGGCAATAGATGGCAGAGTATGTGATATTTAAAATGGGGATAAGAAATAGAGTTGCCCATATCTGTGATTGAAAATTTTGGTGAAATTGTCAATAGTAAATTGTTTAGTACAGTGATTGGTTTAACTTATTAATAAATCGTTTTAATTAAAATTTAACCATGAACCGAGTTTTGTCACAATTCCCCCGGCATTTAGGTGAGTTAAGCTCTTGTTTCATTTACCCTTTCTGTGTACCTAATTTTTGCCAGCTCAAGAAATAACCTTGATTACTATTTAATTTTTTTATCTGTTTATTAATTTTCCAGAGCGTTTTGCATCATTAAAATGTCGACAGCTATCAACAATTGAGTCAATCAAAAGTCAATCATGTATCTTACCTTTTCTTACCAAACCAAATTCTCTGGTCAGTGTGGTTCCTCAGAGATTCTGTGCCACCAATGTTAGCTCACATTGTAAGTAATCGTATAATTGTATTATAAGTACTTCAAATCAATTTTAAAATGCTAACATAAAATTTCTTTATTTCTTCATTATAGCTGAAAATCATACACCAGTCTGGAATGCTGAAAGACTTCTTAGCGCCGGATTAATTGGTGTAATGCCTCTTTCTTTTATGATAAAGTCTCCTGTTATGGATTATGCTTTAGCTTTGGCTATGGTTCTTCATATTCATTGGGGTATCGAAGCTGTTGTTGTCGACTATATTCGTCCCAGAGTTTTCGGCCCTATTGTACCTAAATTAGCTCTTTTGTCCGTCTATGCCTTATCCATCGCTACCCTAGCCGGTCTCTTCTATTTCAACTATACTGATGTTGGAGTTGTTCAAGGAATCAGGATGACTATGAAGATGTAATAATTGTATTATTGTGTAGAAATTTTGTTTTCCCTCTGTCAAAACATTATTTATTAGCTCAATGATAACACCATTTCAAATAATCAATTTTCTAAGGAATTACGGAAAAGTCATCGAGTAGTTTTAGATTTAAAATCTTGTGAATTCATTTCACTTTTGCGTTAAATCTATAATAAGATGTTAAAGATTTAACCCTTTTATTATTGTTGGTTGACTTTTATTAATTAACATCTACCTTGAAATCCTTATCCATTGTCTCATCAGCTAACATACCTCTTAGTCCACTATTTTATATCTTCAGAATCCGTTATCTGAAGTGGTTTGAAAAATAAGGTTATCAGAAATATTTCAAGTCTCGTGATGCCAAATCATCATTGACCTCAAACCGAGAATGTAGACTTTCACAAAGTAAGCAAATAATCTTTAAATGATAAAAGCATATGATAAAGGATGAATTTAACCAATGATAAAATCGGTTTTTATCTATCGTGAAAATACAGACCATGAACAAATATCATCAGAATCAAATTCTACACGAAACTCAAAATTAACGAATTCAAGAGTTAAAACATGATCTATTTAAAAAATTCATTAGAAATAAGCATTTTAATGAAAATTAAGAAATGTTTAAAAAATATTAGATGCGTAATTTACCTTCTTTAACTCACTTAACCTTACCGTACTACGGAGTTATCTAATCTTGTATCCATGACACCTCCATCCAGCATCATCCCATCAGCTGTTTTCAACAAAACAGGTTCTCAATCAAAGGTTTGAGATAAATATCAGTTTAATATGGCTCGCTTTCTCAACAGAAAATTAAATTTAATTCACCCATACTTTACAAATTGTATCCTAGACCATCTCCCTGTAAACACCATTTCTGTGCCCTCAGTTCTCCAACAAAGAAATGTCCATACGTTTAAAATCGACTCCAATCTACTAAAATCTACATTCAAATCAAATCTTTTTGGACAGTCAAGTAAGCTTTCAACTCCATGTGATTCTTTTTTGTAACATTTTCCGTTCTTATCGTTCTAGAAAGATGTATGTTTATACAAACTCAAGATACACCTAATCCTAACAGTTTGAAGTTTCTGCCTGGAGTTACCGTTTTGGAATCAGGAACTATGGATTTCTCGGATAGGTTATCTGCAGTTAAACGATCGCCTTTAGCAAATGCTTTGTTTCGCATTGAAGGTGTCAAATCAGTTTTCTTAGGACCTGATTTTATTACAGTATCTAAAGTAGATGAAGATGTTGAATGGAGAGTACTTAAACCGGAAATATTCGCAGTGCTAGTTGATTTCTTTTCTTCTGGGCTGCCAATTGTTAATCAAGTAAAAGATGAAGCATCTCAAGGTATTTACAGTGCATATCTATCTTCATTTCAGTTTTTTAATCGACATTCCTGGCTCTTATTAATTTAGAAGGTGAAGTCGAAGAAGACGAGACTGTCCTCATGATCAAAGAATTACTAGAGACTAGGATCAGGCCGACAGTGCAAGAAGATGGTGGTGATATTATTTTCATGGTATGTCAACTTGAATGTCACATTGGATGTACAATTTTTAAAATTTATTACTATTCTTTTACTTAAAGGGATTCGAAGATGGAATAGTTAAGTTAAAACTTCAAGGTGCTTGTAATTCTTGTCCAAGTTCCGTTGTTACCCTTAAAAGTGGTGTTCAGAATATGCTGCAATTTTACATACCTGAAGTTCTTGGCGTGGAACAAGTAAGAATATTCAAAATTTGCTCATTTCACATTCACTAAATATTTATTTCAACATTTACAGGTAGAAGATATTGTTGATAAAATTGCCAAGGAAGAATTTGCGAAGTTCGAAGAGAAAAAGGCAGCTGATGAACAGAAATAAAATCAAAAATATTATTTTATTGAACTCATCAAACTAAGGATACATCAGATTTCTAAATCCATAAAACTGTATCCAAAATGAGTTATTCACAACCTCATCAATCACCAATCATCGTTTTGAGAATGGTCAAGATTTTAATCTATTTGTAAATTTTGTCAGACTAACAATGGTTCATCTATTTTCAATAACTTTCAAGTCTAGTCTATTCCTTTGGTACTTGTCAACCGTTTGAGCTCCTGTTGCCTTTGATTGAAAATTGTCTCGTACCAATCTAGTTATTGAACTATCGGCTTTTAGCTCTGCCAAGATTCTGGATGAAAAGACAGAAATACGTAATCAAATCCAAAGATTGCTGTATAAATTGAAAAGAAAAATTAATTTAAGTTGAACAATTGATTAGCGAGTTTGACAGTATTTCTTACAAAAACAAAGCTTATATACGATGGTTCGTGAAATGTGAATATCGAAAAGCCTTTGAATTCACTGATATGTTCCATAGTCACCATCAATCTGATCCCTTCGAAAGGATTAGCCAAATCTTTAATTTTAGAAAAAATCCTCTTGTTGACTCTCGAAATCTAGTTTTGTAATTATAATTAAAAGAAGGTTTAATCATGTATTGATGCATTCATTTCCTAGATGATAATTAAATGTTTTGCGTAAAATACCTTGAAATTCATGTAAGAAACAGTCAAGTATGGGAAAGCAAACCAAAGCAGACAAAGTATGGTCCAGTAAACGCAAATAAGTCGAGTGATCAAAGTTGACTCAATAAAAAAGATCGGATAAAGTATATAGGAATTAATCATAAAGCTCATACAATGACCAAATCCGTTAACAACACTCCAATATTTGTTGTAAGTAAACATTTCTTTGTACAATTTAGCCATTATTTTCATGTCACTAATTGTATTCGTTTCCCTTACAGGTATCAATGTATTCTCATCAATTTTACTCAATTGATTAATTTTAAGAGGGACAAAAATATGGGTTAGTTTATAATTAAAGGTGTAAACACAGATAAGGAAAATACATGGATAAATAATCAACCGTAGGATCGAGATAGTTCCAGCAATGATGTAGAATAAAGTCCAATTAAGATTAATAAGCCAGTAATCAGGATTGGCAATCATGGTTGGAGTCATATAACCACATACACTTAAAACGGACATCAGTGAAGTGAATCGAGCATAGCGAATAACAAGACGAAATTTGTTGCAAACATCAATATAATCATCATAACCTAAATGATGAACTTTATCGACTCGCCATGAAGGCAAAGGATACTCTTCAAATATTGAAGCCATTTGCTTTGACCAGAAAATGGTTGCCTTTGCATTGCGGTTATAAGTATCAGCCAAGAAATTGATGAAACAAAGGACAATCCAGCCAGCAATTAAAATGTCCAAGAATAATCTGTTTGTCCCAAAAGGCTGGAAAGGATCGCCAAGTAGAATCAACGTTTCATCGTCCGCTGTCACAAATAAACAGATAATTTGCTTGATCGATCCAATGGCATAGAAGCTCAAGAAGATTGCGATTGATTTCAAACGGTTGATTCCTCCTGTTGGTGAATAAATTGGTGTTAAACTTGATATAAAGCGCTCAAAATTTTGATCCTTTTCAACTTTCGGGTTGAAAATAAAATCATACGGAAATTTAAACTTAAACTTCATTGCAATCAATCCAGTTCAAGACTGATCAACAAATTGAGATTTCATTTATATAATAAATTTTCAGCCCATTTCAATGAAAATAATCAATTAGTTTTTCAAATGTTGCAACAAAATATCCAACAAATATTAACAATAATTGAAATTTTAATTACTGGTTAGCGTGATTCGCAACCATTTGTTTATTGATACATCAAAAGCAAAAAACAATAACATTGATATTTACGATTAAAACATTGATTTTCGTATATTTAATGTACAAATGTAAAAATTTTATAAAATGTAATTCATCAAAACAACTTGTTTACCAATTGTCAATAACCATCCCAATCAATTTTTATCAATTCTGTATTTTGTCTGGTTTTGTCGTTTTGCTTGATATATACAACTGATATGGTTTATAAATTTCAGATCAGCATTTCTTACCCATATTATAAGCAGTTGAGATTAATCTTGGAGGTTAATTGTCGAAATGAGATTGCACTGAAATAAGCAAAGGTTACCAAATTGTCTGGTGAATTTAAGTTGATGTCGCAGGTCATTTTGCATAGATGATTGGTTGGATTACCAGATACTCCAAATTGTGGTACATCTACCATCGAGTTCATCAAACATTGTTAATGTTGTAAACATTGTGGTTTCATTAACAAAAGCTGACAAAACCTTATTCGGTGGCAATCTGATTATATATTCATAGCGACTTCTTCTAATAACAATCTCCTTGTCACTCATTGTCCACTTTAAATTGTATTTACGTTGCAAATCTTTATAAGGTATTGCAGTTGTTAAAAAGGTTGAATCTGTATCACAACATGTTGACAGAATGATGACCATAATTGTGGATATGTATCGATGATAATTTACTAATAAAACAAAATGTCTAACAAAAAGACAAACAAAACTGTCAAACTGTCCTTCAATGTTGATTAATGGTGAAAGTGAGTGTAACAAATAAACAAATAAGCATAAAAAACATTAAATAATCGTAATTAGTAATTACACGTTACTGTTATTTTACAATCATTTTATTCATATATTGATTAATCATCTCCCCATTAAACCACCCTTATCTAATCATCTGTTTCAATTTTAATAGATTTCTTTCAAAACCTGATTTATTCACACTTTATCATTACCAAGGTTTTGTCGATCAGACTAAACTGCACCCTACAATTTAATTTACACTGATTAATCAACTCATCCAAGTATTATCTCAATGATTCATCATATTGAAAGCTACTGAATTATTATCAAATTATTGTTTTATTAAGGTGTGTATCAAAAATATTAAAATCGGTTGACAATTTGTGATGTTGCTTGATGAACATTAAATCACCAACATTTAAGCTCAAAAATCAATGATAACTTTGATGAAATTGATCTGTATTGTGAATTCGGGGTCAATAATCCAATCAGTTGATCATCATTTGACAAATATGGACTAATTTCAATTTGTATCAAAGCTAGGTTAGATTATTGATTGACATATTATTTCTCTTCATCTTTTCCTATCAAATATTGCCATAAGTCTGAATCACTTTCTATTTTTGAATTCATATGATTACTTTGGTTATCAATCACATTATTTCAGGGTGTTTTCCAAAGATTAAGCTAGATTAAAGTATTTAAGGTTGCTGGGAAGAATTAAATTCTGTTTTTTTCATGATTGTAAATGATAAATTATTGAATGTTGCTTTTTTATCTTTTGGATCACGGATCTTGAATTTTGAGAATTTTGAAAATGGCGCCTTTGTATGTTTTTGCCTTCTTTCAAACTTGATTCAAGTCACTTGATGGCTCAATTGATCACCAATTGGTCATTTCAGCTGATTAAATTTTTAATTTGCTTTAAATGTTGTTCACTCTTGTACCAATTGGTCATTTCAGCTGATTAAATTTTTAATTTGCTTTAAATGTTGTTCACTCTTGTCATTTCATAGTTAATTTTTATTTAATTCAGTTGGCTGACATCTGCTGATTATTTTTCCACCATGAAAGTCAATCTTAGTTTTATCATGTCATCCTTGTTTGTATTGTTACTTATTGTAACTTTGTCACAATCAACTAGTAAATATTCACGGGAACTTAATGAAGAAGTGTCACTGTCTAATGATAATATCGATAAACCATTTAGGATGTACAAATTGAATCAACTATGGGAGAAAGCAAGCAAGGTAAGGCCAATCTCTGTGCTGTTACTTTTGCAATGCTATTGAAATCTAACTGATCTGATTATTGTTTCATCCGTTTTCCTTTCCTTTTTAGAGGTTAACTGGTCAAAAATTAAAAAACTTAATGACTGATTTAAAAGATCATGATAAACAGGAAATAAATCTCAAAAGGCTTAGGACTGAAGGTGCTGATAAGGATGGTATGAAAGAAGCTGCTGTCCGACGAAATTTAAAAATAATCTTGAAAAAGTATAGTCTTGAAGGTGACATTTTAAATTCTGAAAATGGCAACTCTGTTGGAGATTTCAAGACTTTTGAGAAATCAATATTCCGTGATAAAAAGCTGGATAAGCTGTGGCAAAAAGCAATGGACACGGGTTTCGATGAAGAACAACTGAAACTTTTGAAAGAAGAGTTTCTACATCACCAAGATAAAATTGATGAATACCACAGATTAATTACTGAACATGAGATTGCCTCAATCGATACCAAAAAAGATGAGCTTGATAACCATCTAATCAGTTTTGAAACCACAGAAAAAAAGACAAACATTACCACAGGATCCATGCATCAAGCCTTAGAAGATAAACATTTTGAACTGAAACGAAATTATGAAGATTTAAAGACTAAAGTGAAAGATCGCACCATTAGACCGAAAGGTAAAGAATTTGAAGAAGCGAATGTCCAAAAATTATGGAATCTAGCTCTTGCCGGAGATTTCACTCGAGACGAGCTTGAATCATTAAGAGACGAATTAACTCATTACCAAACTCGAATTAAAAAGCTGCATTTCTTTGAGGAACAGTTGAATAATGAACGTCTTACGGGTAAAGATACTGTCAACCAACCTGATGATGTTAAAGTCTCAAGTCATATCGAGAGAAAAGTAAAAGAACTGAACTACAAAGTGGATAAAGTCCACAACGAACTAGAAAAACGAATCCTTAAACGTCATGTTGAACTATAATCATATTTATTTTTGATAAACTAATATTTCCTATTCCTCATAAGGATGTACAAATTTTCCGGATTTGCAATCAAACCAATTTTTAAAAATAAATCTTTTTCAGAGTAATCTGTGATAACAATTTATAAATTTGTTTTGATTTGATGCAATTATCCAGTCGATTTAAAAATCGGAAAAAGTTGAGATCAATCAAGAAAAGTACAATTCATTTTTCCTTTTATTGAAAAAAGCATACAAAGGTTCGGTTGGTTTTAGAGTGAAATCAATTTCTTGGCCAATCTCTTCAAATGGTTTCGTGGACTTGATTTGAAAATGTTTAACCAACAAAGCAACCAGTAATTTCATCTGAACCATGGCAAATCGTTGACCAATACAATCCCGAGGACGAAGACCGAAAGGAATATAAGAGCCAGATGGAAGTGAAGATGCATTTGATTGTTCAAACCGATCTGGATCAAATTTTGTCGCATTTGAATAAATTCTTTCATCTCTATGGATCGAGTAAATCGAGAAGAAAATGAAAGCACCTTTGGGCAACACTTTATCATTGAAAGGTTCATCTTCCGTAACTAATCGAGAAGCAAACGGCGCTGGAGGAAAAAGTCTCAATATTTCTTTTACACATTGTTCCGTATAAGTCCATTGTTTGATTACATCTAAATCCACTAAATGTTCATCAAAATCAGCCACCTCTTGATATATTTTTTCCTGGACATCGTTGTTTAGGCCTGAAATTGTAATGTTATTCAAAATTTGTTTTTGTGTGAACAAAATTGTGAATCTGTTTAACTTACCTAAAACGTAGATTAACCAAACAAGAGCGTTATTTGGTCCATCATATCCAGCAATGAAAAGTGTTTTCATTTCTTCGACTGTTGCCTCAATTGCTTGATCAACTGATTCTGTTTCATTCAATATTTGGTCAAAAAGATAAACCATTATAGATTCATCAAGAGCTGCTCGATAGACAAATTTTCCGTTTTCTGGTTGTGATTCCGTTTTGCTGACCAAATAATTAAGGATTGCTTCCTTCACTAGTAAATCAACCTGTTCAATTTTACTATTCAAACCAGTCAGACACCCATACAAGCTATGCGACCAATCAGGCCATAGAAACGGATTTATGGTTCTAAAAAGGGTACCTTTAATGAAACATTTCAAAGATTCATCCAAGGAAACTAATCGTTCTTCATCGACATCAGTAGCTAAGGTTATTTTTATCAAGATGGATAACGAAGTCAATGAAACAAATTTGGTTACATCAACACATGTACCTTCAACAGATTCCAATTTTTTCAATAGCAGCTGACCCTTCAATGTGACAGTTGGTACAAAATTGGAAACTGAAGCAGCCGTGAATTTTGGGCGAATCATTCGTTTTCGTTCCTTCCATTTAGAAGCTGATGAACAAAGTATTCCATCACCAATAAAGTAGCGCAAATATTCAAAAGGAAATCCCTTTTCGAGAATTGATGGTTTTGCCAAAATTTCCTGGTAACACAGAATCGAAGAAACTCGGAAAAATCAGTTTCATCACTAAACCAGTATTTTTGACTCTCTGTCATTTATAAACATACCTGAGTCCGCTGATAGTCAATTACACCAATCACTGGAAACCAACTCAACCAGAAAACGCCATAACCAATTTGTCCAAAGTCTTTTGCATATCGTTCAAGTGTGCTTCGGACAACTGCAAGAGAATCCAAAAAATTTCAACAAATAAGATGAAATGATAAAGCGATTCGATGAACATTAAAATGGTTGAAACTTACGATGTGTTTTATCACCAAAAATGGGAAGCACTTCAAATAAATTACCAAATAAAATGTTCCCCTTTTTTTGGGCAAAAGTCTGGTAGCGCTTGACTGAACGTATTAATGAAATTAGTTTGATTAAAATAAATACAACAAAATTTATTAACAGTATTTTGATCAACAAATCTATATAATTGGTGGAATAGCTTTTCAACAGCATTTTGGTCAATATTATACAACATAATATGGCCACAAAGAAATTTGAAATGAGATAACGTTAAATTATAAATTGGTTTTTCAAATTGACTAACAATTGAGATGATATTTACCTGGCACAATCTTCAAAACAAACAAAAGGGCTGAACGGGACTAGAAGAATATGATTCTTAATGGAATCTTCATTTCAAGTAATTGTCAGTTTATTGTTTATCGCTTCGATGGGAGCTGATTAGCATTCAATTATTTGCATACAATTATTAATATTTTAACATTGACTTGATAAACAAGAAATGAACTCAACTTGTTCATTTTATCCATTATTCAAGATTTGTGACTTTTAATTGTTATTTTTTACAACTCTTACCCAACTATTGCAATTCACAACTGTCATATTTATAAGCGTATACAGCTAAGATCATAATAATGAGAGAAGCAATAACAATTTATGTGATTACTATGAACGTTCTTATAAAGCTTGCTGAATAATTAGCAGTATTAATAAATTAATCAGATAAATAATACAGTGCGAGTTTGTCTTGCGAACGAATTGTTTGGTTTTCATAAAAATCAAGAAAATCCAAACGTTTGTCTCCCACTGTAAAACTAAATGAAAATACAATCACAAATGAAAATTAAAGTCGATACACACAAAGATACATGTACGATTTTTTTCATCGGGTTTCACAGTTTATGGTCACAATTAGATGACTGTTGTGTGAAAGACGATAAAGTCGGGTTTTTAATGGATTAAATGTTGATCCAAAATGGTCGGTTGAAAATTAGATTGAGATAGATTTTCAGCTTGAGTTTGCTCATCAGTGTTTGTTTATAATTTGTAACTTTTTCAGCATTGATGTTGACATTTGATACACTCCAATTAATGATATTAAATAATTTATGATGATGAATTTGATACATGCAGTACTTTAGTCCTGATGCTGTGTCGGCTCATAAATGTATGATGATTGACAATCAATGGTTGCTCATTCCATGAAAACAGAAAGTATTGAAGAGATGCACCGATGATTCTAACATCAGTTTGAAACAGAAGCCGTCAAGAGAGCTGTTACGGACATTGAGACTGGGTCAATCCAGCCTCCTATCCTGATTGTTAATTTCAAAATAACCATTTCCATGGCCAAACTCATTGAAAAAATATTATTCTGGTGCAATGTAATCTTTGTGTTAAATATTTATCCAAATGAAGTTAGCATCTTTTAGACTGAACCAATCCTAAAAGATGTCACTTTGCAAATATTACCAGTTTTTAGATCCAAAGATCAAATATACTTTGATATTAAAAAAGTTATTGAAATTGTAACACTTTGCAGATTGAAATGGCCGAGGGTCAAAGTCAAAGTGAATACTGAACCACAACGATTATTACCATCGTTATTTGTATCAATAAAATGAATTTGACAGAATGTTTTGTTTTTTGTAAATAAAAATGCAAAATGAATTTTATTACCTGAATAACATCCCATACAACTCATTTATGTTAACTTTAATGAGAAATGAAAATGTTTGCTTGAAGCAATTTTAAAGTGCATCTCATTAAAACTACTTACTGTAAAAACGGTTGAATAATGCGAAAACAATAAACATATTATTTAAACTCATCTGCAAATGTATTCCGATGACTATGTTTAATCATTGGAATATTGGAACTTAATTTTCAACTGAAACTATCGATTACTATCTATACAGTAATCAAGACTTTCATTCTTAATCCAAGAATAAAGTTGTCAAACAATTAACCGAAAGAAGGTCAAATTTTATAAATAAATTGATCAATCATTGAACAAAATTTAATCAAAACAATTACTGAATGAATAAAATCATGTCTGTAATGAAACAAAACTTTGATCTCAAAAGGTTGATCAATTGATCGATACAAATGTCTGTATCAAAGCTGTACCAATAGCGATAGTAAACAATGCTGCTAAATAGTTCCAGAAATTTAATGCTTAATTGATTCTTGTGTTTTATTGTTGGTTTATTTAAAAGCGATGATCTAGTTCATACATAAAAGTAAATCCTAATTGTGTAAATTAAAAGTCGAAACATCATTCAAATTACAATTTTGCCACATAATGAAAGGAATAAAGAAGTCCAGTAAATCTGGTTACATTGTGTGTCGTATGATTAGACTTGGCATCGCATTTTGATTTATATTGTTCAGCTTTCACATTCCACTTTCATTAAATTACGTTCCTAATAATCAAAAATCAAACTGATCTCAACTTCAGGGTCAAGGTTCGTATTATGGCTACTTGGCTTCAAAAATGTGGAAAGTGTTTACCTTAAAGCGCAATTATTTGAAACAACAATTATTTTACCTTTTTCTCTATTCATCATCATAAAAGTTTCTCACCTAATTATCAGGTTTATCGCCATCATCATCATTACCATTAGCTAACTCAGTAACATGTTAAAATTTGTTAGCCTTTCGGTCAGATCAAAGTAGAGGTAAATTCATTGATAATTTTTAGAGACGAATGTAACTTTGAATGTTTTTATTGATGAAAGAAAATTTGTTTTGTGCCGATTATTAATATTATTATATTCATTATCATTTTCATCAAACAAACGGCTGATTTTACAATATGTTAATGTGTGTATTAAAAGGGAAACTGGATCAACAAGTGATCCCTTTATTTGTATTATTATCCACTTTTTACATTATTGATTTATTAATAGCTCATCATTTTGATGTTATTATACTTTCTTGATTACAAATTAAATGCCTGGCAATCAGGTCAAAAGTAGTTTTCACAAAAAATTACTTTTTTCTAATTTCTTTCAGTTAACACAAACATTTACATTAAGCCAACTCAGTGACCAAACTCAACCCAATATGACACGACCCACAGGACAAACCAAAGCCTCAGCAAAGCCTCCAATACGTTTCCTGAAAACTACAAAATTTTCATCGATATTAGACTAAATCATCATTTTCATCAATCATTTCTTCCGATACGATTCCATATGAAACCATCGCATTTATAATTGAAAATGGGCTGAAATTCAAATTGATAGAAGTTATAATCTACTCAGCAAAAGCAATTTTGTCACCTAATAACGGAGTAGCCCTTGACTGACCAAGCATAATCTAATATCTATTGGTACCACTCAATGTAATCAAAAAAAGCATTTCATTAATGATGATGATGAGTTTGAAGATGATTCTGATGCTTATCCTGATGGTGATTTGGTTGAAAAATATTGTAGTTTATTCGCGTTGGAAACAAAATGGTCAAAAAAGCAAACCTTGGCTGAGTTATTATAAAATACTGACCTTCACTGATTTGTTTTGCAAATTGTGTACCAACAGCAAGTCCACCAAGCTCATCATTTATATCGTTTTTTTACAGCTCAGCAAAAGTCAAATGATCAAACATTGGTGTGGCCACCAAAGCCGACATTATTGTACTCATAAACTTGAAATGGAATAATGAAATGAGTGAAAAAAAGGTAAACCTGGCTTCTAGCCGATTCGAGCTTCTGGCCTTAGGCATCGCTCCCTTTCTCCCTCTTTACAACTTGATTCACTACTCTCATTATCATCATCTTTTTCATCCTCATCAGTTGAGCAAAAAAAGATCCACTCATCTTGAATTGTTTTTCTTAGTGCTCACAAGATTCACCAGAAAACCAAAAGTATTTGTGAAGTTGCTTTCATTTTGTATCATTTAGTGCAATCGATCCAACAGTTAACCAACAATTAAACCAAACCATCAATTTTAACCTTCTTCAACCATCAAAGCAAATCAATTTCAACGGAATCAAATCAACTTTAAATATTGACGTTTAGCTGAGTTGTTTGTTACAATATTAAAATTGGATCTCAAGATGATTGTTATTCATCGTTTAAACTGCTGTTAATTGTGAAGCAAAATTTCATGGATTGTAATTGTTGTTAACAATTTATCAAAATCAATTATTTGTTTTATTTTGATACTTGGATTGAATTAAAACAATGCAACTCCAAACGGTAAGTTAACATTTAAGTCAATATTTATGAACAATTTACATACAACTAAAATTGTTTCATGTGAAAATATAAACACAATTTGCAAATTGTAATTGAGGTGAATCTTGATCTAAATCAATCAATTGGATGAGCTCTAATTAGACAATGACATTGAAATGAAGCCATTGACCATCCAATTACTTGAATTTGATCACAAAATGTGATGTTAGGCGTTAAACTGCACGTTAATATACAATTTAATGGTTTGATTGATATAAAAAGGCTGCAAATTTTGTACATAACATGGTTGAAGATGATTAATGTTGATCAACAGCATAATAAATCTTGTATTTTGAATGATCCAGTAATTAGTTCAGTCAATCAGTAAAAAGTTGAACCTAAAGGAAGGAATAAATTAACTTGAAATTTAAATTTAATTTTACTTGTTTACAGTTTATTTGGATTCCACTTTTGGTCATCTCTATAAGTTCAATAAAATGTGATAAATCTTCATCTCAATCTTCAACCAAAGGATCATTATTAACAGTAGCAAGTCCACTGATGAAGAGTCTTATAAAGGAAACCTTGGCTTACATGGCTGCACCTTTATTCATGCCCATTGCCATTGGACGCACATTGCGGTCACCTCCAGGTTTAGGTCCTGACGGTTCACCAGTCCAACGATTTGCCAGATATCTATTTAAATTGGCGACAATGAAGAAGAATGACGCTGAAGAACAGTTAAAGAGCGATTTGTTTGATCTGTTGACTACTCATAGACGCAATATTGTGTTGACAATGAAACAATACCGGGAATTGGAGAGAAGCTCAAAAGCAGCCAAAAGTTTACGCAAAAATCACCGTAAAGCAAAACAATTTATTGATTAAAGATGGCAATTTAACCGTAATCAACTCTCATTGAATCCAAATCTCACTTAAACCACCAACAAGTTTCCCTCAAAGAAACTCGCCTTCGATATAATATCTCATTCAATTGTTACAATATTGTACTATTTTTGATGCTTTCAAATTTTATTTTTAATAAATTATTCCATTAAATTGCAAGATTTGTCAATTTTAATTGTAACCTTAAATCCATTGGAAGTTGTATTTACTCTTCATTTTTGAACCATTAGTTTGGTTTTAATTTAGTTGTGAAAAGCAAGACATTTGTTTCTTTATTTGGGCCACAATTTAATTTGATCAAATTCAATTAACAGTTTCATTGATGTACAAATGGTTCAAGAGTTAAAACTGGTTGTCAAAATTAATAGAAATGGTTATTTAGTTTGATCAACATTCCATCTGATTGTAACAGTTAAGGTGTTGAGTCAACTTTAATCACAATCAGCTTTTCAATTACAAATATCCTGGTCAATCTATTCATGGTTAATCAACAATTATCCTTACAGTTAGATTCACTCCAATTTACTTGGACATCACGCTGGTTCACCAAAACATTAACCAGTATCTTGATGACCAGTGAACGACTGACAGTTAAAGTAATGAAACCCATTGAAGAAACAATAAAGTCAAAAATTGTGATTTATGAGAGTTGAGATGAAGTTAAATTAAATTTTCAAAATGATTATTATTGTATTTTATAATGATAAATGAATTTAGTTTCAACAGTTTCAATCATAAACAATACTGATACTGAACAAGTTGAATCAATTTATAACTCAACAGTTACATGGGGTTAGACTTTGAATTTACATTTAAATCAATCACCTAATTTGATTATTTTAACCCGATTCGCGAAACTTAATCAATGGAGACTAAATTTGGTTACAAGTCAATAGCATTTGTTGGTTGTTTTTTGATCACAAAAGGCAAATATTTGAATAATAATCATTGTAATCGGTGAATTACAATTACTTGACCCAAATTGATCTCTATGATCAGGGAAAATACATTTTAAAATTTGGATTCTGATTCAGTAAAAAGTGTCTAATCAATCTTCAATTGTAATATTATTAGACATTAAAAGAGTTAATTTTCTGCTTCCCAAGTTTAATTAATCGGATTAACTGTTATAAATTGTAAATTGACTAACCTTAAAACCTTTATTCACATAAATAGAGATGAGTGTTGCTATTTGTAGGATTATGATTTACATTAAAAATGTTACAATTAAAGGTGTACATTTTAAATGTAACTGTTGAACAGCATTTAAAGGTAAAGGTCAAGGCCTACTTTTCATGTTAATTTTATCCTTTGTTTCCTGCAGTTATTTAATCATAAAAGGCTGGTTAATTAGACAATTTGATTAAGTTGCCTATGGTCATTTAAAAGGATATAATTGTTACAATTTGGGTTGCTCTTAACCTAAACCTAAATCTACTTAAAAAGTGATCAAAAATTGCTGCTGTTTTCTGGTTTCTACAATTAACTGTGTTATTAACAGACGGCTTGATTGTTTCCGGGTCATCATTTGATTGTCTTCAGTTGTTGAAATATTATTAGTTAATTAACAATTGTTGACTGGTTCAAACAATGGCAAAAGATGACATCAAAAAAATGATTGTGTCAACGTTATAATTAAAAAAAGTCATTTCTTGAATAATCTGACTCTCGATGCTTAAGTCAATTCAATGGATTCAAATTGGATGCTCTAAATGATTAACAGAATCTATTTTAATTTACTTCAAATTGGAAGCTTTCAAGGCAACAGGATTTAACTGTCAATTGCGTCAATCAGCAATAAACACAAATACAAAGTCAGAAATAATTTAGTCGATAGTTGCTTCTTGTTCAAGATTAATGTTTGGGTCAGTTTTTAGCCATAATTCATCCTGTGTGAAGGTTTGTGAACATTTCATCTTTTCAAAGGAAGTTGAAGAAAATGATTCCAACGAAATATTAATGCGTACAAAGGTTCAGTTTAACAGGACTTGAAAATGGATCAGATGGTTGAAGAAACTTGTTTTACAGATGATGGTGAAGATGATGTAGATGGGGAAAGTGAATGATGGTTCCTAGAAAGTGTTTTGGAAAGGTGAAGCTGAGCAGAATCCTTGGGTGTACCTTGAAAATGAACTTTTTATTCCTTCCTGGGAACATTTTATCGATCATCATCTGAAGAAAGATAAGGTTTATGATTAGACAGAGAGAAAGAGAGAAATTATCATGAGAATAAAAGAATCAACATCTTACAAAGTAGTGTAAAAGACGATTGAATGTTAAACAATAACATTATCACCTGCTTAGAACTCTTGATTTCACTCAGGATTTTACTATTCAACAACTAACCAACAATATCTATTCCTTTGTTTGATTGCTTTAAAATTAAATATATTTTAACACTTGATCAACCTGAAAACCATCCATTTGCACCTTTGCTTTCCTAATTTCACTCTGTACTTCATCAAGCAACATTAATCTAAACTTAGACCTTTATTTCACCAGAAATATCATTTTGAAGGTTCATTGTAACGGAATTACAATCTGTTTTGTATTGTAATTGATTATAATTGACTGTAATTGGTTTTAATTGACTGTGATTACTGGATCACAAGTGGATAAGTTTATTTGCCATTTGAATCTTATACTCGGTCAGAAGCAGGATGACAACACCAAATAATGAAAATGACACCAACAACAGCAACATTGATAAAGTTGTTGTTAAAATCGAGCAAAAGACTGAATCCGTTAAAAAGGTTGATGCAAATGCTATTCTATCAACTGGAACTTTGCCTGATGGAACCAAATATCATGTTCGATTAATGAGATTGGACGATGTTGATGAAGTATTGCAAGTTTGGAAATCGATTGGACTTTATGAAGGAACGAATACGATACAAAGTTTCCATGCAATTGATCCAGAAGGCTTTTATGTTGCGGTCAGTGAAAAAGATGGTGAGTTTATAATCATTTAATTGTCTCCATATTAATACATTGTATGTCCATGTGAGTGTTGTGCCTGTTTTAGTTTAACCTTACCCTCTATCCTTCACCCTTAATGCATATTTGAATCTAAATCCATTTGAAACAAAAATCCAATTTAAACGATAGTTTCTTAACCCATTTTGCTGCACAATTAGACAAAATATTAACCTTTTACAACTTATGAATACAGTAGAATGGACATGATTCACTAAAGGAAATTATTTTTGATTAACTCAACTGTAGCTCAAAGGATCGTAGTAATTTAGATTGAAATACACAGACCGTTCGATTAAACAGTCTTGGAGTATTTACTTCTCTCATTCAGTTACTGTAGCTTATTTATGTTTGAGCAATATTAATTGTTTATGAAGCTAATGATATTTGTTTTCATATTAAGTTGACTTCCATTCCTTCAATGCAAACTGCAAGAATACGGATAATCATATCATTTGAAGTCATTTTATTAGCTGTTAATTCATTGTTATGATTGCTCAGCCAATGCGACGAGTTAATCACAAAATAAAAGCTTAAGTTGAACATGAAATATCAGCTCAATTCAGAGGGAATTCATTTAAAAAAGTCATTTTTTAGAGGCTCAGCAAAAATTTGTATCTTGAGTTGACAGCTTGAGGCGATTGAATACAAACTTGAGAATATATTTCTGTAGAAAGAAGGAAAATAACATTAATAATGAGAAAGTATAGTTTTAGATTGAAGATTGAGATGTAGTTTATTGAATTTTTAAAGGTTCAATAGCAAATTCTTATAGATTATTTGAAAAATTGAAAATCCGAACCAAATGATTTAAAATTGATATAATTGGATTCCTGATGTCAGATCTAGCTATTGATGAGGAGGCTATTGATAGTGATAAGGAACGGACAATTAAGATGTTAACGAATCAACAAATATTCATCAAACAGTCAATAAGCTAGATAAATTAACGAATCAATAATTTAGATCAGCTTTCTTATTATTTCTTATGTTAACAACATAAATAATATCAGTGATTCAATCATGAGTTTTATGGAGCGCTTTAAATACAAAAAAATAAATGTTATTATTGAATGAAATACTGGAATATTCATGAAACTAATCAGACAAACTGTCATCTATTTTTGATGAAAAAAGAAAAGAGAAATTGATAATTTCCTAATGAAAAATGAAAATATTGAATCAGAAGCCACTTGTTGGGATAAACATTGAGGCGCTTAAAACTTGCAGATCAATTTTTATGGAGGTTTGATGATATGTTGGCCCGTTAAGAAGCATTGTATAATGAAAGACAAAATAATTACCAAAATAAAGCCGGATCTATTGAAAGGAATGATTAAATCAGGGAATAATTCACTTAAAAGCATCAATTTTGGGAAATCCGATTAAATTGAAGGTTAGGAATGACGCTTGAAAAAAGCATTTAATGACACAAAAAGAGATGAAAAGATGAATTAAGCTTAAATTATATAAAGTTTATCTATTTTAAAGATCAGAAGCAAAAACGAAGGGTTAATGCAAATCTCTTGTATTAAAATAAACCAAACAAAAAGATTAACGTTAATATAAACCCGAATGCATATTTTGTTTTCTGGTTAAAGGTTTCTCTGGTTTTCGTGTTTTGGGTAAACAGTTTGATGTCAACTTTTATTAACAGGATTATTTGAATGGAATTATAATTTCGATTGATATTAATTAAAAGGTTCCATTATAATAGCTTCTGGAAGATGGATCATTTACCAGGGAAATTTCAATGCAACCAGAGATCCAGAGAAAAGGCTGAAAAAGATTGATCTTGTTGATTCTGGCATGAAAGCTGCAATTGAATGGACCCAAAATTTTGTCAGTTTTGTCCTACTTTTTGTTCATGGAGAAACTTGCTTTCATGGTAATAATAGGAAAATATTTATCATATTGAGAAATGATGAAGTAGTTGCATCGATATATAAGTTAATAATCGTGAATTATTAGGTGAATGGTGAGAGATGGCATTTATATAAAACCTTTCAGTATTACCTTAAAAGATTCCAAGTTTAGTCAATTTTGGGCTTGAACAGGCTTACAATTGTTCAAGAAAGTGAATTCAGTTGATGTAAACGTTCACATGGAGAATCTGAAAAGATGAAAACATGAAAAAAATTACTATTTACTAAGTATGTCAAGATTATAAAGAAAATTAATATCACATTCTCTAAATTCTCAAACTCTAATTAAACTGGAAGTCTATTCAGATCACAAGATAATATATAATAACATCCATGGTAATTCAAATGGTTGGAGGGACTCTATTTGCATAAGCCTGAACAGTTATAATTTAAATTGCTTCCAATCTTAATGAAAGTTGAATGATTGCCTGCTTCATTACAATTCACTTTATTTTCCTTTGCTGCAAACTTTTCTTTTCCTGCTTGAACCTTTAATATTCAACATCTCAAGATGAAAATGGAAGTAATTTTCAACATTTTTTGTTCTGCAAAAGCCTTCATTATTGGTCACTTGAAAAACAATGAGTCCTCTTGAATGCGTTAACAACTTCACTGAACCAGAATTTAGAATCAAAATATTGATGAAACAAATCACACTTAATTGCAAGTTATCATCAGCTTGTGCTTGCTTTCATAATTTTAAGCTTTGCGTTTGTCCGCTTCATTGGAAGAAGCAAAGGAAAGTTTGAGGAAATATGAAAACTTGAAAAGATGAAAAGGTTGAATTAAATTGTTACAAATCTCTAGCTTGACGTAACTAACGGGTTCGTTGATAATCCCAGGAAGTATCATTGGGGAAGTCGGCGCTGTTTTTATCGAGCCGACCACTGCATTTATTGGGTTGTACGCAGTTAGACCAGATTGTCAGAAGATGGGTGTTGGTTACGCTGTTTGGAAGCAAATGATGAAGCATGTTGGCGAAGCAAATGTTGGTCTTTATGCTCTTGACACTCAATATGATATGTATCGTAACAAGTAAGTTTAGTTTAATTAGCTTCAAACTGCAGTGTTAATGAACAATAAACTCTTATGTTTGTTTTTGGTTTGATCGCAGAGCTAAACTTGAGATTGAAGATCCGGTCAAGATTGTTGAATTTAAAAAGATAGGAGAGACTTCACCTGAAACTCTTGCCAACTTAACCCAATCCATAAACAATGTTGAGCTTGTCCAGGTTGGTGTCAATGATGAAATTATCAATCAAATCATTTCCTATGATCAAACAGTTGCCAGACATGATCGAAGTAAATTGATACCATTAATAATTGGTGAACCAGATGCGTTGTGTTTAGCAGCCATTGATCAAACATCGAAAAAGCTATTGGGTTATGGTGTTATTCACACATCGATTCTAGACAAGGCAATGGTTGGACCCATTTTTGCTCGATCAAGCAACATTGCAGAGTTGCTACTTTACCACTTGATTGACCGGTTTCCGATGGCTAAATCATCAGGCTTTTTCTTAATGACTTGTGACTGTAATAAAGATTTCATGGAAACAGCTACAAAATTGAATTGCACCAAAGAGCACATCTTACCTCGGCTATTCCGCTCTTCTTGCCCACAAATTGAATGGAGTCAGGTTTACTGTATCACTTCACCCAATTATACAGTTGTTTAAGCACATACTGACCCAATGGTTTGTAGACAATTAAATTAAATCAATGAAACATAAAAGGAAAAAAAGGTTCATGATAAATGAAGCAAGCGATCGAAAGAGAAAGGATTCTCAATGTAATGGCATTTTGCTTTTTTGTTTCATCTCTTCCTAAGAAACGGCTTTTTAATTGTTTTTATTTAAATTTGATATCTTTTCTGCTATCGTTTGGAGTTGTCAGTTTTGTGGTTGATGAGGTTACAATAATGAAAATGTCTAATAATCAAAGCCAGAAAAAATTACTGAGTTGATTGAGTTTATCATTAAACCTTTTCTTGATGTGATGATTGGATGAACAAAATGATTTCAACGCACCGATGAAAAAACTGCACAAAATTAACACAAAACTCATACAAAATTGAATAAAACAATCAACATGAAAAAAACCCAAAAACAATGTCACAGGAACCCACAAAATTTGAAGCCAAGTCAACAACAATACAGCCGAAAAGCTTGGAAGTTAATTGCAAGGAATGAAAAGCAATTTATCTGCATAAATTAAATGACTTGGACTTCATAAAATCATCTTATTCACAGCATTTTTAACCAAATCAAAATGTACCCTTTGTGGCTATTGTAAAGCCATGTCAAGTTTCTGATGTTAATTCAGATGTAGCATTATTAAATTTGGATACTGATCAAAGTTTAATTTAACCTGTCACTTCTAATCGAGGAACCATTATCAAGATCATTTTCATTGAATCAGACAATCATAAACATTGTAGTTCCTTTAATGGCTATTCATTAGAAATAAAATGAGTTAACTTATAAATAAATTGTTCACATTTTCAAATTTTATTGATAATTTACAGTAATCATTAATTCTGAAAATAACTTTACAGTTTACACTTAATTTTGAGTTAATTTAAGGTTAAAAAGTCTCATTATTTGTCGATGCATTGAATCAAGTTTTCCTTTAGGTTCAAACTAGTGCAACTCTTATTCAATTTATTGGACAATATTTTTCCTGGTCATAACCTAGATTCGGGTCTAATATTATCAGTTTATGTACCTTGTAAATATTGATTTCAATCGGTGTGAAAGGAAAAATGGTTTTAATCAATAACAATGGTGAGTAAATTGTCAAGACTCTTGAAGTGGAAGGACCTTATGGTGGTGAAAGGAATGTAAAGCCACAATTCAGGTTTGCTATTGAAAATGAACAATAAGAAGAAATAATCATAACAATCAACATGGGATGGTGAATGAGTGTCTATACACATCACACTGAAGTAATTACAATAACGAAAGAAATGAGGAATTTCAATTCCATCAAATAATTGGTAAAAAAAGTAAAAAAGTGTGACCAAATTGCTTTTGAAAATGATAGTTTAGTCAGTTTAATCACTCGAAATTTCAGCCAAACCATCAATTTTACTATCTGATTAGTCCACTTCGTCTATTATGTTTCATTGTTAATAGTGTACAATAGCATGGTTTACATGTTAATTCGTGATAAATGTTGTTTCTAGTTGGTTGGCGTTTTCTTGTTCTTGCTGGTCAATATGTAGTTACTGTCTATGCTTAAAGTTAATGTACTAACCGATGATTCTTTAGGCTCTATTCTTGGATGTTGTGCTGGAGTTTTTGTTGATCCAAGTGTAGCTTTCATGGGGCTTTATGCCGTTAGACCAGCCTTTCAACATAAAGGTATTGGCACAAATTTATGGAAACAGACTGTCATTCATATTGGCGATAGAAATTGTGGTCTCTATGCTGTTCCAATACATTATCTCACCTATCGAGACAGGTAAGCTTGAAGTTGAAGAAAATCTTAGATCTATTAATATTATATTTATTATTGAATAAACGAGACCTGTGTTGGGAAAATATTGTTGTTACTAAAGAAAGAATTGTCACATTATGCCAAAACGGCAAAAACGGGTATTTATTATTGTCTGGATAGGTTTCAAAGGCCCAAGATGTACAATGTAATTGTTTTAAGTCGAAACGAATTGAGAATTAGTCAAATTTAATATTGAAAGATCATATTCAGCCTCAAAAGCCAGATTTTTAACTGCAAAACAGCACTTTTGCTATTAAAAAGACACAAACAACACAGTTGTAACACTTTTGCACAATTTGACACAACTGCTTAAAGAAAAATGGGCGCAAATGGACAAAAATTGATTTCTTTCGCGTTTAAACTCTGCCAGTTTGTTGAGACAAGAAAACTGTATCTATTTGTGTGAGTTAAAAGTTTCTAGGACCCACAGTTTTTGAGGAATATTTGCGGTCAAAGTTGAAAGTCGCTTGATGGCACATAACTTGCGTGGATTTCCG